AGGCACTAAAACTGTTTGGCAGAGAATGCAAAAACCTTGTAAAACCACAACTCCCAAAGCACTGAGCCATGACAGTTAAAGTGGTGTCAAACTGTATTAAATCTATAGTGTGGATGTACCCGTTGCCTTCGTGGAAAATCTTACTTTTTGGTTCTTTCAAATGAATCCTATTGTTAGCCTCTAAAGAGAGAGACCTAATTTTTTTTGTGTCAGGAGCAACTTGAGAAACTGCAAGTTGCTTCTGGTGTGAGAGAATTGGCCGTCTGCAAGGACGTTGCCCAGAGGATGCCCGAATGTTGGATAGTTTACCATCCTTGTGGGAGGCTTCTCTCATGTCTCCGTATGGGGAGCTGGAGCTCACAGAGGGAGCTCATCCACACTCTCTCCAGATTCAAACCTCTGACCTGTTGGTCTTCAGTCCTGCCAGCACAAGGGGTTAACCCATTGCACCACCAGGTGCTCCGAAGAGTAGACCTAATGAATGAAAGGGACTGACACACTTGAGAAACTGCAAGTCGCTTCTGGTGTAAGAGAACTGGCCATCTGCAAGGACATTGCCCAGTGGACGCCCAAATGTTTTACCATCCTGTGGTAGGCTTGTCTTATGTCCCCCCATGTGAAGCTAGAGCTGACAGACGGGAGCTCCCCCCACTTCTCGGATTTGAACCACCGATCTTTCCGTCAGCAGTCCTGCCAGCACAAGGGTTTAACCCATTACGCCACCGGGGGCTAAAGTGAGATGAAGAAGGGGATTGAGCCCATTGCTTTTGGGGGCGGAGAACATTAATAATAACAAAGCCCCTTATCTATGATTCAACAGGCAATTTTAAAAGCCACCGCAAAACTGTTCCCCTGACAATTAAGAGGCACTTCATTATCTCCCTGCAAAAGCAGCCCACACCAAATGCATTTCCCTAATGGAGCCTTTGTTTAAAAAAGTCAAAATCTCCTCCAACTACTTCTCTCAACTTCATATGGCTTCTTTTCTTCACACCAGGGAATGCATCTACACCAACGGTTCTCAACCTGGGGGTCGGCCCCCTGGGGGGATCGCGAGGGGGGTGTCAGAGGTGTCGCCAAAGATCATCAGAAAACACAGTATTTTCTGTTGGTTATGGGGGTTGTGTGTGGAAAGTTTGGCCCAATTCTATCGTTGGTGGGGTTCAGGATGGTCTTTGATTGTAGGTGAACTATAAATCTCAGCAACGACAGCTCCCAAATGTCAAGGTCTATTTTCCCCAAACTTCACCAGTGTTCACATTGAGGCATATTGAGGCATCATACCAAGTTTGGTCCAGATCCATCATTGTTTGAGTCCACAATGCTCTCTAGATGTAGGTGAACTACAACTCCCAAGCCACTGATCTACACTATGGAATGCAGTTTGGAATCACTTTAAACTGCCATAGCTCAAGTGCTATGCAATCCCAGGAATTGTAGTTTGCACCAGACCTCTTTGGGAGCATGCAGCTTGACACCACTTTAATCCTCATATAATAAAATCATGGGAGTTTTAGTTTGACAAGATCTTGAGCCTCTCTGCCAAAGAGTGCCGAACTACAACTCCCAGGATCCCATAGTATTGAATCATGTGAGTCAAAGTACATTAATACTACAGTGGAAGTGCAGCCACAGAATTACGCCACTTGAAAGAGGCTCTATCGACACTGCCATATAATGCAATTTAATTGCTTTGAGCTGAATAATATGAGTCTACACTGCTGAATAATATGAATCCACACTGGTGATGCAGCAGGTTAAACCACTGAACTTGCTGATCGAAAGGTCAGCGGTTCAAATCTGGGGAGTGGGGTGAGCTCCTGGTGTTAGCCCCAGCTTCTGCCAACCTAGCAGTTTGAAAACAGGGAGCCCCGGTGGCGCAGTGGGTTAAACTCCTGTGCTGGCAGGACTGAAGACTGATAGGTTGCAGGTTCAAATCCGGGGAGAGGCAGATGAGCTCCCTCTACCAGCTCCAGCTCCTCATGCGGGGACATGAGAGAAGCCTCCCACAAGGGTGATAAAACATCAAATCATCCGGGCGTCCCCTGGTCAACGTCCTTGCAGACGGCCAATTCTCTCACACCAGAAGTGACTTGCAGATTCTCAAGTCTCTCCTGAGACGACAAATTAAAAAAAAGCTTGAAAACATGCAAATGTGAGTAGATCAATAGGTACTGCTCCTGTGGGAAGGTAATGGCACTCCATATAGTCCTGCCGACCACATGACCTTGGAGGCATCTATGGACAATGCCGGCTCTTTGGCTTAGAAAAGGAGATGAGCACCAACCCCCAGAGTCGAACTCCACTAGACTTAATGTCAAGTGGAAACCTTTACACTGCCATATAATGTATTCTGATTCAAAGTGGCAAGATTTTCCTGACTTTCTAATCCACGGAAATGCAATAGACGCAATACATAAACCTTAGTGATTGATATATACGATAATGACTATTAGCAGCACAGCCCTAGAAGAGAAAGGCAAATACAAGCCATAACCCTTGGGGGCTGGGAGAGGAAATTGCAGGCGTTTCCCTTCCTCCTCTCTTTTACTAAGGGAGGCAACGGCATTGTTCCTTTTCAAACCCAGAGCGGATGTCTGGCCCAGCAAAGGTCTCCTCCAAGCCCTTCAATTGCGCGTGAAGTTCTCCCTTCCACCCCGAACGACAGAAACAAACAACAAAAAGTGCCACAACAAATTAAAATCTTGCATTTTAAAGCAAACAAACATAGTCAGCGCAACCTCACCCAGCCAGTGTTCAAAGTCCAGGCAAATTACTAGTTTCTCAGCTCACTCCAAATTACATGAAAATGTGCAATGAGGTTGAAATTGTAGGCTAAAGTCCAATTATACTAGTTTAATATTCCTAATTATAATCATTACTTATATCCTGCTTTTTCTTTCCTAAAGGAGACTCAAAAGGTTTTCCCCTGTTGTGTCCGACTCTGGGGATTGGTGCTCATCTCTATTTCTAAGCCGAAGAACCAGCGTTGTCCGAAGACACCTCCAAGGTCACGTGGCCAGCATGATTACATGGAGCGTCGTTCATATGTTGGGTTGTGGGACGAGGGGTTTTGTATTATGTACTTGTTGCGGTCTTATGTACGCCACTTTGAGTCCCATTCGTGGGGGGGAAAGCGGGATATAAGTAAATAACAATAATAATAATAATAATAATAATAATAATAATAATAATGGAGCCTCCAGTGGTGCAATGGGTTAACCCATTGTGCCAGCTGAACTGCTGACCAAAAGGTCGGCGGTCCGAATCCAGGGAGTGGGTGAGCTCCTGTCTGTCAGCTCCAACTTCCCATGCAGGGACATGACAGAAGCCTCCCACAGGATGGTAACACATTCCAGCCTGCCCTGGGCAATGTCCTTACAAACTGCCAATTCTCTCACACCTCAAGCGACTTGCAGTTTCTCGACTCGCTCCTAACATGAAAAACAATCAAACAAGTATTTCCCTACTTTATACATTTCACCCTAAATATTTCCTTACTCCAAAGTTTAAATTTTGGGGGAGAAAAAGGAAAAACTTTCCCTTTGATTCCTTCTTTGGTTTAAAATCCAAAAGCAACATCAGAGTTGTTCTCACTAGAAAAATATTCTCTGTGGGCCCCAATGCAAATATAACTCTGTTTATTACGGAAGTGGCTTCAAGGACCCTACTTTCCATCAGGCCACAACTTTAAAACACAGTTTGAAGGACTTTCATGCCCATTATACTGAATTGGCAAACTACAAAGCACTGGAGGCACAGATTTCTTATCTCGGTCCTTAGTTCCAGAGGCAAGTGTATGCCAAGGGTGAATTCACATTGTTGAACTAATGAGATTTGGCACCACTTTAACTACCATGGCTCAGTGCTATGGAACAATAGAAGTTGTGGTTTGACAAAGTTTTGCTTCTCTGGCAAAGAATGGTGCTATCACCGAACTACAAATCCCAGTATTGAAAGGGAAATTATCTTGACAGTGTAGAGCAGTCATGGGCAAACTTCAGCCCTCCAGGTGTTTTGGACTCCAACTCCCACAATTCCTAACAGCCGGGAGGCTGTTAGGAATTGTGGGAGTTGAAGTCCAAAACACCTGGAGGGCCGAAGTTTGCCCATGACTGCTCTACACTGTATCTATACTGTAGAATGAATGCCATTTGACAGCACCTGAACTGCTACAGCTCAATATAATGGGATCCTGGGAGTTGTAGTTCTGCAAGGTCTTTAGCCTCCTCTGCCAAAAAGTGGCAGCACCTCACTTAACTGCAACTCCCAGGATCCCCCTCTGGTTCATAGAAATCGTGGTTTGACAAAGTTTTGCTTCTCTGCCAAAAGAGTGGTGCTGTCTCACCAAACTACACATCCCAGTATTGAAAGGGGGTGTTAAACTGCATCAGTATAGACCAGGTATGGGCAAACTTTGGCCTTCCAGGTGTTTTGGATTTCCACAATTCCTAAAATCATTCGTTCTTACCTTTCCAAGAAAGGGACAAAAATGGGGGTTTAGAGACCACAATATACATATCACAAAGGCATCTAATGTGGGTTACTCTTTGTTTGCACCCCCCAAAAAGCAAGAAAGGGCCTGAAAACTGCAATAAAAGTACACACACAACAGTGTACCTCCATCTTTTCTTGCCTCTGTTTTTTCCTCCACCCATTTTCAACTCTGTGCACTTTCATTCTCTCCTTCCAGTTCCTTCTTTCTTTTACAAACTTCACTGTATCCATTTCCCTATATAATAGATGCAGTGAAGTTTGCACAAGAGATATAATTCTATCTATCTTCCTTGGAACTTCCATCTTTGGCTCCCAACTTGCTCCTCCTAGGAAGGCTGCAAACTACATCCTCTCCAAAGAGGCTCAATGCGCAATTACGCACGGCTTTTGTCCCCTTTCTCCTCCCATCTTCAAACCGAGTTCTTTTGACTTCTGCCAAATTACTTCTCCAGATCTCAGAGGCAAGGGTTTGGGGAAGGGGAGAAGAACACAAAGAGACTCACCACCCCCTTGAGAAAGGCGAAACACAACCGCAACTCCGAGCCTTTGCTGCTCCAACTGTGCGCCTTGGAGAGCTCTCTGCTCAGTCTCCTGCCTGCCTTCCTGGGTGGATGGAGCAGCTTCAACTGGGAGCCCTTTGGGGAGGAGACTTGGGCTGAAAGGGGCGGGGAAAGCCCCCAAAGGAGCCGGATGGGGATGGGGAAAGCTCCCATACTACATGCCTCCATTCCCTCTTTCCCTTTGTCTTGAGTTGGCAGCTCCATCCTCTCTCCGCTTTCCTACTTTGCAGCTGCTTTGGAAAGGTCTTCTCCCACACTGAGAATGGATGCTGTTTGGCCCCACTTAGGGCCCTTCCACGCAGACCTATATCCCAGAATATCAAGGCAGAAAATCCCACATGGCCGGAATCACTGGATTGTTGTAGACCTCACAACCTCTGAGGATGCCTGCCATAGATGCAGGCGAAACGTCAGGAGAGAATGCTTCTGGAACATGGCCATATAGCCCGAAAAACCAACAACAACCCAAAGGCCTGCACGCAGATGTCCTCAATATTGACTGTTATCTCTCAGTTAGGTAAAGGCAAAGGTTGTCCCCTGACATTAAGTCCAGTCATGTCTGACTCTGGGGTGTGGTGCTCATCTCCATTTCTAAGCTGAAGAACCAGCGTTGTCCATAGACACCTCCAAGGTCACGTGGCCGGCATGACTGCATGGAGCAGCGTTACCTTCCCACCGGAGTGGTACCTACTCACATTTGCATGTTTTTGAACTGCTTGGTTGGCAGAAGCTAGGGCTGACAGCGGAAGCTCACGCCGCTCCCCAGAATTGAACCTGCGACCTTTCTGTCAACAAGCTCAGCGCTTTAACTCACTGCGCCACCGGGAGCTCCAATCTCTCAGTTACTCACATGCTAATGAATGGATTGCACTCAAAACTTGCAAATCAGGTTCGCTCATTGCATCCTTCACGCTTGATTAATAGAGATTGTTTTTTTCTCCCACTCTGGACATTCAACAGGTATATGTATACTCCACTTGTTGTTTTATTACCATCAGATTTTTTGAAGATGCCAGCCACAGATGCAGGAGAAATGTCAGGAGAAAATGCTGCTAGAACACATTGGCCATAAAGCCCAAAAACCACACATCACTCCAGTGATTCCGGCCATTTTTTGTTTTTGTCTTTTTCATATCAGGAATGACTTGAGAAACTGCAAGTCGCATCTGGTGTGAGAGAATTGGTCATCTGCAACAACGTTGCCCAGGGGACGCCCAGATGTTTTATCATCCTGTGGGAGGCTTGAAGCTGGAGCCGACAGACTAGAGTTCACCCCGCTCCCTTGATTTGAATTGCAAACCTTTCGGTCGGTAGTCCTTGCGCCACCGGAGGCTCCATGCTGGTCGTGAAAGCCTTTGACAGTGCATTCATTCTGCTCCACCTGCTTCCATTGCTGCAAATTGAGGCTGCATGGAGAGCTGTGTTTCCCAAACGGTGCCCCCCACAATGTTTTGGTCTTCACCTTCCAGAGTTTCGGACCATGTGCCAAAGCTCTTGGGAGCTGAAGTCCAAAAGTTCTGTAGGACCACACTTTGGGAACCAGTGATTATTCATAGACCATAAATAGGATACAGTTTGACCCCACTTTTAACTGTCGTGGCTCAATGCTATGGAGTAGCAAGAGTTGTAGTTTGACAAGGTCTTTCACCTTCTCTGTCAAAGAGTGCTGGTGCCTCCCCAAACTACATCTCCTAGGATTGCCATGGCAATTCAAGTAGGGTCAAATCGCATTGTCCTCAGCCTATTGCAATGCTGCAAACAAAGGCTGCATCTTGAATGTGGAATGAATGCAGTCTGGCACTTCTTTAGCTGCTTTGCCTCAATGCTTTAGAAGCATGTGAGTTGTAGTTTGACAAGGAGTTCATTTACACTGCAGAAGGAATGCAGTTTACTTACTTTGGCTCAAAGCCGTGGAATTGGGGGAACTGTAATATTATAAGAGGACTGGTGTCTCGCCAAACTACAACTCCCAGGATTCCATCACATTGTATTGAGCTTTGGCAGTTAAAGACGTGTCAAACTGCATTCATCTTACAGTATAGATGCCGGGAAAATGAGGCTCACTGCCATCTCTATCTGTAGGCCACTTTGCGGGGGCCTCAGCATTTTCATCATCAGCAGAACAGATATACAATGGGGACACAGCAAAGTGGCACTGGGACGAAGGGTCCAGATTGCTCTCTATTTGTTGTTGCTGAGCGCCAAAGGCAAGTTCTTCTGGAACGGTTCTGCTGATGGTTTGCGTCAGGGGAACAAAACTCTAATTTCCCCCTCCCTTCTAGGATGCATTTGATTATGGGGAAAGCGAAGCATTGATTTGTGCAAATGTGATCGGAGGTAACCCCCCCCCCTTTCCAGGGCTCTATAAAAGATAGTTCAAAATCAGGGAATTCATAGTTTTGCCAAGGACACCAGGCTGAATTGATCCCATAATCCCCTATCTCTCCTGTTTTTATGAATTGACTCGGACTACTCAGTGATCCCCTGAACTTCTATGCAACCCCCATGAATTCTTATGAGTTTTATGAACTTTCATGAACTTGAGCCCGAGCGCGGCGGGGAGCCCCGCCTTCACATTGGTGTGAACCGCAGCGGAGAGTTCCGCAGTTCCTGGGTCAAGTTTTGGGACCAACAGATGAAATGTGCCCCAGCAGCCAGCTCAAAACCAGGAATGCCTGCAACTTTCCTTTGCTTTCCCCTACTCCCTACTTTGTATCATTTCCCTAATAAAGGTACTTGAAACTTGCAACTTTTAATCTCTCCGCATGCTACTTTTGTATCCTTCCTTGACTCAAACTAAAATAACATTGCAATAAACCTTTTTCCGGGCTCCAGAGAGCTGTGAGCCCGCGGGAGGCGCCTCCGGGCGCCCCCCGGACCCCGAATCTGCGTCCGCCTAGACCGCGGATACAGAAACCGCCATTTCAGACCCCCTTATCCGCGAGAAATCGTAAGATGGCGGATCGCCGCCGTTCCAATTTTGTATTTTTCTACAACTAATCCTAAGATTATCTGCCATCTCCTTTTTCTCATCTTTGGGCATCTTCACCCGGGAATAAATTGTTTTGTTCCAAGTATTTTACTTTGACAGAAATCAGCTGTTTGCCAATTCGGCCGGGTTCTTCCCAGACAGTTCGTTCCTTCTCAGCGGTGCTCGCCCTGCCTGGATACAGCAACCGGGGACCCACTGTGGTCACCCGCAGGAGACCCCGGAAAGGCAGCCAGGCATGGGTCCCGGCCTCTGACCAGGGAGATGTAGTTTCCCAAAGGACATTGCCCCATCAATTACAACCCGGAAATCCTCTTCGGACTCTTTTGCCCTCTCCTATTGACTTTCTGCCCCATGTCCCGGACTGTTTTCCTGTTGCATCTTTGGACACAAACTTCAGACCAGGCTTGCCTTGAAGGACAAGCAGCCTCAGCCTCCGCGCGCCTTCATCAAGAAGACTATGAATTTCTTCAAATAATAAAATAAATCGACTATTTTTAATAAACTTTGCTGGGGATGGGGATGGGATTTTGTTCATGAGATATATGGAATGTATCAAATGTATATAATGAAATATCATATGGAATGTACTCTGATTCCCCTTTCCCGCCTTTCCCTCTGACCCTTGCCCCAAAAGGAATGTGACCTGGGGATTACTGCCGTAGAGAGGAACTCCTTTGTCCTCCTGAAACTATTCTTATTTACATTTGCATGGGCCGCGCTGTTGATTCCTTCCCGACCCTGACTTTCAGAGCAGACAGTGAGGGGAGGGGGAGTCAACAGAAACTCAGGAAGAAAAGATTGATTAGATCATTTCAGGTATTGTTGATCCCCCTTTGAGGTCCAATACCGCTGAAAGCCTTCTTTTTCATACTTCCCCCCAAATCCCATCACAGACCAGGAAGCTCATTGTTGAGCAGACAGTGAGGGGAGGGAGAGTCAACAGAAACTCAGGAAGAAAAGATTGATTAGATCATTTCAGGTGTTGTTGATCCCCCCTTTGAGGTCCAATACCGCCGAAAGCCTTCTTTTTCATACTTCCCCCAAATCCCATCACAGACCAGGAAGCTCATTGTTCCCCTATCGGGCCCTCCCGCCAGGTGAGGACAAAGCCTCACCCATCAGCTGGCGGATCTGTCATTTCCCCGGCCATTATCAGACTTCGTCCCGCCTCCTAGCTGCCGATTGGTCCATCTTCGGAGGCGCTAGGAAGGCGCTGATTGGCCTCCTAGAGGCAGCGGAGCCCGCTGATTGGACAGGAGGCGAGGCGCGCCGCCAAGCCTCCTCCCAGCTGTTCCACGGCCAGCCAATCAGAACGAAGCCGGCCGGCAGAGGGCGGGCGGGACTTTTGAAAATGTTTCCTTTTGTCTGAACCCTATAAAATGCTTGGAAAATTCTGTAAAATCATGCTTGTATGTGAATCATCACTACAATTGCATCCTTTTCAGCTGAATCGCAAAATAAACGCTTCGGTCACTGAACTTCTTCCGCCTCCGGTGAGATTAATTTCTAATATTTTTTCGCTCTTTGGATTGGCTTTTGCTGGCTGCTCACCGGGGTTTGAGGACCCCTTTAGCAGTCTTCTGGGATCTCTCCCTGCGGGAGACCCCCCAAAAGAGCTCGATATCAAACTTTATAGGAACTTTTATAAACTCTTGCCAAACTTTATGAACTTCTATGGACTTTGGAGGGGCTGACGTGACTTCCCCTTAGACCCTGCATGATGCCTGCTTTTCCTGTGAACTCTGTGTATGCTCCCTTGCTCCGTTCCTCATTCCCTATATGTATGTATATCTATATAAGGAAATATGAAGGAAAGCAACCTTTTTCAAGAACCAGCAACTCATGACTCTTGGGGTTTCCAAACTTCCTGACCCAGTAATTCCCTAACAAAAGACTCCACCAGATCAATTTGCATGAACGATAGATAAATGACTCTATCTATCTGGATAGGGAGCTTGCTGGAGAGGAAGTCACAGGGAGGAGGGAGCAAGCTTTCTGCTTCCCTGGAGACTAGGACACGGAACAATGGCTTCAAACTACAAGAAAGGAGATTCCATCTGAACATTAGGAAGAACTTCCTGACTGTGAGAGCCATTCAGCAGTGGAACTCTCTGTCCCAGAGTGTGGGGGAGGCTCCTTCTTTGGAAGCTTTTACATAGAGGCTGGATGGCCATCTGTCAGGGGTGCTTTGAATGCAATATTCCTGCTTCTTGGCAGGGGGTTGGACTGGATAGCAAATGAGGTCTCTTCCAACTCTATGATTCTATGATTCTTGGAGGACTGATAGCCAGGCCATCCAGAACAATAGAGTCTATGGACATACTGGATCACCCGATATAAATGGCATTTCCCCATCTGTGAGGAACCGGAGATTTTGTCATGCCTCCCTACTGTGTCACATTCTGATCCGAAACCAAATCTCTGTTTCAACAATGCACTCCATATTGCAGCAAGGAAAAACAAAAGGACCTGGCCTCTCGGGTCCAGACAAAGATGTTACTTCAAAGGAATCAAACAATAACCTAGGCCAGGCTTGAGAGCCTAAAGCAGGGGTCCTCAAACTTTTTAAACAGAGGGCCAGGTCACAGTCCCTCAAACCATTGGGGGGGCGGATTATATTTTGGAAAAAACATTAATGAATTCCTAAGAATATTGCACATATCTTATTTGTAGTGCAAAAACACTTAAAAACAATACAATAATTAAAATAAAGAACATTTTAAATAAATATACTCTTATTAGTTTTTCAATGGGAAGTGTGGGCCTGCTTTTGGCTGATGAGATAGGATTGTTGTTGTTGTCATGAGCTTTCAAGTCATTTCAGACTTAGGTTGACCCTGAGTGAGGGTAAATGACCTTGGAGGGCTGGATTCGGCCCTTGGGCCTTAGTTTGAGGACCCCTCGCCTACAGCTATCATCGCGCCATTTGGCAAACACTGGCCATTCTTAGTCCAGTCAAGTAGACATTTCTTCATTGTTTCCCTGTTGCCCGCCTCCCTTCCACCCCATTGGCTAGGCGGCCAAAAGCAGGGCCAGGGCCCTCATTGGATCTCCTCCTGGCTTGCTGATGTCACAGCCAATCATAACAAAGCCAGCTTGGGGTGGGGTGGGGTGGGGTGGGCAGGCGGTCATAGGAACTTTTGAATCTGAAGTCTACATATATTGTATTTCTCTGCCCTGTGTTATGTCAATTTTGTTGGCAGACTACTGCAATTGTCATCCTTTCTAGCTGGAATGAAATAAAACCTTGGTGGATTTCTCTTCAACTTGGTGATATTTATTCTAGAATACTGGCTTCTCACCAGGCAACTCACAATGGCTTGGATCTCTCTATCCATAGCCACTCTAAATTGCTCGACAACACAAAGAGGACAACAGACTGTGGAACGAATGCAGTTTGGCATCACTTTAAAAGCCATGCATCTATGTCATGGAATCATGGTGACCCTGAGGGCCGCGGAGGCCCCCGCCTTCAAGTTGGTTTGAACTGCAGCAGAGAGTTCCGCAGTTCCTGGAGGCCGCAATTGGGACAAACTGATGAAATGTGCCCCAACAGACAGCTCAAACTAGGACTGCGCTCAGCCTCTGCTACTTTTCCCCAAGCCCTAACATTGTATCAGTTCCCTAATAAAAGTACTTGAGAACTGCAACTTTTAACTTTTCCGCTTGATACTTTGTGTCTTTCACTTGCCTGAACTAACCAATGCATGAAATAAACCTCTTTCTAGGCTCCGGGGAACCGTGAGCCTGCCTGGGATGCTTTCCCGGCGTCCCAGGGACGCCGGATCTGCATCAACCGAAACCGTGGATACGGGAACCCCCTTTTGGGCCCCCGTATCCGCGAAAACCTCAAAATGGCAGATTGGCTCCGTTTTAATGCCATATTTTTCTGTGCTTAATTCTAAACTAAACTGCTATTTTGCTTTTCTCATTTTGGATCCCTACGCCCAGGAAATAACCTTTCTATTTTTGAGAATATAATTTGACGGAAAACAGCTGATTGCCAAAAATCGCCGGTTCCGTGCAAACAACCAACTGTCCCTCGCCGCCGCTCACCCCTGCCTGGCCCCGGACCCGGGGACTTGATGCGGCTCCCCCCATGGGGCTTCGGAGACGGGCCAGGGCAGGAAGTCCAGCCCTTGGGAAGGAGTTATAGTTTCCCAAGCTGTGGATTCGCAGCAGATCGACTCGGAGTCCATCTGCTAACTTTTACTAAGGCAAAAAGGACTTTCTGTTGCCTGTTTTGGACTACAGGACACATCTATTTCCACGGACTTTCTCAAGAAATATCTGACTCCAAGTTTTCAAATAAAAAGATCAATTCTTTTATTAAATATCTGGGATGGGGATGGGATCTTTTTGTACTATGTAAGGTTTATGTATTGATTGTATATGTATGAAATATTATTTGCCCTTCTGCTTTCCCCCCTTGCCCTCTGCCCCAGAAAAGGGTGATCAGGAAACATTCAGTGCCAGAGGGAGGGCCATTATCTCCCTCGATACCAACCTTGCCACCAAACATTTGCATGAACAATAGCAACTGGAGATTCTTTATTTATTTTCTGAGTTTGTCTGATAGACAAGGAATTTCTTTGGACATTTTAAATTCAATCATAAAAGGGCGAGACTGGCCCCAAGGGTCTTCCTGCCCAGGTCTGTTTATCTTCATCCACAAACCCATCAGGAAAACACCCCTTATCAGATCAAAACAGGAAAACTCTTCTTAAACTAATCAGCCTTTTTCGGCCAAACAATACCTCGATGTTCCAGCGGGCTGGCAAAGTAATAATCCCATTTTCTTCCCATTGTCCACGCTCGTCCCGCCTCCTCTGATTCGTCCATCCATGGAAGCTAGAGGAGCGTCTGGATTGGCTCCCCAGAGGCGGGGAAGCCTGCTGATTAGCCCAGAGTGAGGCGGGTCACCAAGCCTCCTCCCAGCTGTTCGAACTGTCAACCAATCAGCAAGAAGCAGGGCGGGAAAGGGCGGGCGGGAAATTTGAAACGTTTTTCTGTACTTTCCCTATAAAAATGCCTGTAAACTCTGTGTTGGCATGCTTGTGGTGGAAATATTCCCACAATTGCATCCGATCTCAGCTGAATCACTAATAAAGAACCTCGGTCGCCATCTTCTTCCGCTTTGGTGAGATTTTATTATTTTTTTTAATATTTTTCGCTGCTGGAATTCGTTTCTCTGTTCTCACCAAGGTCTAAAGGCCCTCTTTGGTGAGGTCCTCGGGGTCTCCTTTACTGAGGAGACCGTTCCAAAAGCGGTCTCGATATCAATGGGAGTTGTCGTTTGACAAGGCCTTTAGCCTCCTCTGTCCAAGATCCATGAGGACAGGTGGGTAAGAAATAAAATAATAATAATAATAGTAATTAGAGTGCTGGGACCAAGCTACCAGCCCAAAAATTCCACAACATTGAGCCATGGCAGTTAAAGTGATGTCAAACTGAATTTATTCCACAGTGTAAATGCACTGAGAGCCACTTTATCCCTCCCTGGAGTGCTGTGTTGTGTTTAGTTGTGTTTGCACCATGTAATGGGGAATGTTTAGGGACATGTAACTTTCCCTTGAAGTTGTTTTATAACAGACCTGTGCAAACTTGGGTCCTGCAGGTGTTTTGGACTTCAACTCCCACAATTCCTAACAGCCTACCGGCTGTTAGGAATTGTGGGAGTTGAAATCCAAAACACCTGCAGGACCCAAGTTTGCCCAGGCCTGTTTTAGATCATCTCTGAAACTTTCTCTGTCTTAACAAAAAAATAGCAGCAATTCTCGCATTCGGCCAGCAGAGGGGGCGAAAGAGCAACCAGGCGCGGCGCTCCAAGTTCTCCCTCGGCGTTGCTTCTCACGTGACTGCTCGCCATGTGACTGGGCCGGGGCTCAATATGGCGGCCCCCAGGGAGTGGTCCCAGCGTGGGCTGGGGAAGAGGCATTGCCTTGTCGCCCTTGCTGCTTATTTCGTGGCTCTGCCCCGCTGTTTCCTGGGAGCTCAGGCTGGCAGCGTAGCCTGGTGAGTGTCCCAAAGCCGGGGGAGACCCTACTAACTTTAATCCAATCAGAGACTAGGCCGAAGTGTTTACTTTCCTAGGTTGCTGTGAGTTTTCCGGGCAGTTTGGCCATGTTCCAGAAGCATTCTCTCCTGACGTTTCGCCCACATCTATGGCAGGCATCCTCAGAGATAGTGAGGTTTGGTGGAAACTAGGCAAGGGAGATTTATGTATCTGTGAAATAATGTCCAGGGTGTTTGAGGCATGTGTGAATGTTGCAAATAATAATAATAATAATAATAATAATAATAATAATAATAATAATAATAATAATACTTTATTTATACCCCGCTCCATCTCCCCCAGGGGGACTCGGTGCTGCATACATGAAGCCATGCCCATCAATATAGTACATACATTATAAAACAAAACATAGCAATACCTGAAAAAATACATAAAATGCAAAAATAAATAAATAGCCAGCTTGATTAGCATTGAATATCGTTGTAGCTTCAAAGGCTGGCTGCTTCCTGCCTGGGGGAATCCTTTGTTGGGAGATGTTAGCTGACCTTGATTGTTTCCTGTCTGGAATACACAGACAAGACTACACAGAGAAATCTACAAGCACGTGGACAATTTCAACAAAAAGGAGGAAACCATTAAAATGAACATTCTGGAACAGGGGAATTCCAGAGAGGAAACAATCAGGGCCAGCTAACTCCTCCCAAGAAATGATCTCCCAGGCAGCAACCAGCCAGGCTTTCAAGCTGCAAGGCCATTCAGTACTAATGTCCAGGGTGGGAGAAAGAACTCTTGTCTACTTGAGGCAATTGTGAATGTTGCAATTGGCCACCATGATTAGCATTTAATGCCCATGCAGCTTCAAAGCTTGCTTGGTTACTGCCTGGGGGGAATCCTTTGTTGGAAAGTGTTAGCAGCCATAGCAGAGCACCTGATGAACCAACTTGGACACAGCATATAATTTGAGGACACAGAAATGCTGGACCACTCTATCACCATGTCAACTACACAGAGAAGCCACTGAAATCTACAAGCACGTGGACAAGTTCAATAGAAAGGAGGAAACCATGAAAATGAACACTCTGAAACGGGAATTCCAGACAGGAAACAATCAGGGCCAGCTAACACCTCCCAAGAAATGATATCCCAGGCAGCAACCAGCCAGGCTTTGAAGCTGCAAGGCCATTCAATACTAATTTAGGTGGCCAATGGCAACATTCACACTTGCCTCAAATAGACAAGGGTTCTTTCTCCCACCCTGGACATTTTTCCTCAGATATGTAAACCTCACTTCCTTAGTTTCCAACACACCTCACAATCTCTGAGGATGCCTGCCATAGATGTGGGAGAAACATTAGGAGAGAATGCTTCTGAAACATGGCCATATAGCCCGGAAAACTCATAGCAACCCAGTGTTTCTGGCCATGAAAGCCTTCAACAACACATATGCTTTCCATTAGATAGGCCCTCTCTGGATCCAGAAATTGTGCTGTATCGTGGAATTTGTTTTTAAGCACTTTTTGCTCTATAAGTGTGTGTACGTTAACTCAATATTTTAAAGAACAGAATTAGTTGTAAATGAGTTTACAAGGTGAAATATGTCCAGAGAAGGGAGACCAAAGGGATCAAAGGTCTCGAAACTTATAAATCCCTATGAATTAGTGAGCTCTGGATGTTTAGCTTGAGGATAAGAAGGCAGAGAGAAGGAAGCATGAGAGCCATTGTTTTGTTGAAGGCTTTCATGGCTGGAATCACTAAGTTGTTACAGGTTTTTTCGGGCTATATGGCCATGCTCTAGAGGCATTCTCTCATGACATTTCACCTGCATTTATGGCAAGAATCCTCAGAGGTAGTGAGGTCATATATGCAGGTGAAATGTCAGGAGAGAATGCCTCTAGAACACGGCCATATAGCCCGAAAAAACCTACAACAACGCAATGAGAGCCATTGTTAAGGATTTGAAAGGAGTTCACATTAAGGTCGCATCTACACTGCCATATAAACCAGTTTTTGTATCCAGATTATCTACTTTGAACCGGATGTTAGTGTCCTTCGGGAGATGGTAGCGGGGTATAAATAAAGGTTTATTATATTATTATTAGACCCATATATTTATTTATTTATTTATTATTTACTTTATTTGTATACCGCTGTTCTCAGCCCTTAGGCGACTCACAGCGGTTAACAACAAGAACAGCAAAAATTCAATGTTACCATAACACGGTATAAAAAACAGTGAACATCATAACACATTATAGAAAAGTACACAATTAACAACAATATATAATTAACACCAGTAGCCATTCGCTAGCGTCTCATCACTAAAAACATCCAAAGCAGATAATCAGGATTCAGAAACTGGATTATATTGTGGTGTAAATCCAGCCTAAGACCCCTACTACACTCCCATATAGTCCAGATTATGAAAGCAAATAATCCACATTATCTGCTTTGAATTGGATTATATAAGTCTACATTGCTATATAATTCAGTTCAAAGCAGATAATCTGGATTTTATATGGCAGTGAATAAAGGGCCTCAGATAGTTCCAGCTTGTTTTCAGCTGCTCTGGAGGCTAGGCCACAATGGAGTTGTAAATTCAAATTTTAGAAAAAGGGATTCCACTTAAACATTAGGAAAAACCTTGTGATGGGAAAAAGAGCTATTTGACAGTGGAATATGCTGTGTTGGAATTCTCAGGAACCTCTTTCTCTGGACACTGGAAAGTGGAGGCTGGATGGCTGTTTGTTTGTCGGGAGTGCTTTGATTGTGTCTTCTTTTATGGCAGAGGGTTGGATTGAATGACCCTTGTGATCTCCAGCTCTAGGACTCCATGGTATTACATTATTTGGGTGAAGTGTGCATGCTGTAATACAGCCACAAACCTGTCTCAGTGGATGCAGGATTCCAAAACGACCCTTACAGTTGACATAAACCCTTTTTCCTAGTTCCAACAGACCTCACTACCTCTGAGGATGCTTGCCATAGATGCAGGCGAAACGTCAGGAGAGAATGCCTCTAAACCATGGCCATATAGCCCAAAAAAACCTACAACAACCCAAATGGCCACGTATTTGTAGGTTTCAAAAAACAAAATAAAAGACAACAAAACATTTCAGGGAGAGGTCATATGACTGTGCACATTGATGTGATAGAATTAATGCAGTTTGATACCACTGTGGCTCAATGCTGTGGGATCCTGGGAGTTTTGCAGTTTGGTGAGGTGCCGTGACTTTTTGGGAGAGGAGGCAAAAGACCTTGCAGAACTACAGCTCCTGGGATCCCATAGCATTTAACCATAACAGTTTAGGTGCTGTCAAACGGCATTCATTCTACAATGTAGATACAGTGTAGAGCAGGCATAGGCAAACTTCGGCCCTCCAGGTGTTTTGGACTCCCAACTCCCACAGTTCCTGCCCATGCCTGGTGTAGAAACTTGACTGGAGTGAGATGAAAATGGTATTATTGATATCGGAGACTTCCCACCTTCCAGGGATTCCAGGAATGCCGATCTCTTGCTGCCATATCCTCCTCCTCAACATGGACCTCAACGTCGCCTTCGCTTTGCCAGGGAGTGTCGGACTCTCCTCCTTGGCAACACAACTCATGAATCCTGGCCCAGCGACAACAGCAGCGATTCCTCACTGGCCATCACACGCGGATTTGTTTCGTACATTCCTCCAAAGGGTCCCAACAGTCGACAGGTGTACGGCCATTTCACAGTCGTAAGTGACCCTCTTAGGACGTTTTCGGTGCTGGAACCTAGAGGGCCGGGTGGATGCCAATCCTGGAGCACAGCGACAGTGGAGGAGACCGCCAGAAACGGCCAATGCCTGGTGGCTCAGAACGGGGGCTATTTCAACACGAAGACAGGACAGTGCCTTGGGAATGTGGTGAGCGACGGGCGACTTGTGCAAAGCGCCGGTGGAGTCCAGAATGCTCAGTTCGGCATCCGAAAGGATGGCACCCTGGTTGTCGGGTAAGAACTCTAAATTTTTCAGTGTACTTTTCCCCTTTCAATCAGGCATGGCAAACCAGAGATCAGCTGCCAGAAAGAGGCCAGGCCCCATCTACACTGACCATTTAATGCAGTTTCACACCAGTAATTTTTTTTGTGTCAGGAGCGACTTGAGAAACTGGTGTGAGAGAATTGGCTATCTGCAAGGACGTTGCCCAGGGGATGCCTGGATGTTTTGATGTTTTTCCATCCTTGTGGGAGGCTTCTCTCATGTCCTCGCATGGGGAGCTGGAGCTGACAGAGGGAGCTCATCTGCACTCTCTCCGGGTTCGGGCCTTCAGTCCTGCTGGCACAAGGGTTTAACCCATTGCACCACTGGCGGCTCCCAGTATTGAAGAAAGTACTTTTGCTGTGCAGATGATTGCATTGGAAATCCTAGAACCAGATTGAAGCCCAATGCAATTAATCATATAAATCATCACTTTAGTTCTGGAATTAAGATAATGCTGACATTTCATATTAAGTCAATCCAGGAAGTTCAAAAATGTAATAAAACTGCCCTTTTCCAAATGTCATTAAAAACTATAACTTCATTGATTTTTTTTTAGTGACTTCCTATCACTCCTAGATCAGAACAGAAGATCTTTCAAGGGATTTCAGGACAGATATGAGTGGCCTATGCTTGAGGTCTATATGAGGCAGACAGTTTTGGTTGTGATATTTCTGACACTCTCAACCTCCCTCTTGTCTCTTCCAGGTACCTTTCCGAGGAAGAGGTCTTGGCGAAAGAGAACCCCTTTGTGCAGCTCCTGAGTGGGGTGGTTTGGCTCCTGCGAAATGGGGAAGTGTATGTGAATCAGAGCCAGGCTGTGGAGTGTGACGAGACACAGACGACAGGTAACGTCCCAAAGCCTCTGCTGCCAGAAAGCCAGCTCTCCTGCAAAACACCCTAGATATTGGTGCCATTGCACAGAGGATGACCATTGCCTCTATGTGTCTGTTCTTGCAACAGGAACATTTGACACGTTCATCAATACGGTGTCTGCCAGGACGGCTGTGGGGCACGACAGGCAAGGACGGCTGGTCTTGGTGCATGTGGATGGGCAGACCAACGCAAGGGGGTAAGTCGTCATGGCTGCCAGAACTTTCCTCTTAGAGTTCACCTACATCGGGCATGGGCAAACTTTGGCCCTCCAGGTTTTTTGGACTTCGACTCTCACTATTCCTAACAGCCTCAGGCCCCTTCCTTTCCCCCCTCAGCCTCTTAAGCTTAATCCTTTCAAATACAGTTTCAAGAGTCAATCTACAAATATAGCCATAAACATGATAGCATGAATCCAGGGCAGGCTGCCTATGCCACACATGAAACTAGAAACAGGAACAAACTTAGAAACTTGAATACATGAATTCCCAAAAATCTAGGGCTAAGAACTGAGTGCTGTTCACCTGAATACAATGTTGCTCTCATGAAGAATTGTACCAGCAGAAACCATTTAAAAGGCCTCAATCCCTCCCATGACATCATTCATCACACACCTGCTTTTCCTCTCCTTATCTCTAAGCCGCTGGGAAAAACGAGTCTATCTCTGTTGTACGCTCTGCCTCCAAGTTCCAAGTGCCTGGATCTGGACAAACATTCATCTCCCCCATTTCTCTCAGCCTGCACTTCTGGCAGCTTCTCATTAGAACTGAAATTGATTTCTCCAGTCTCGTGGGAACTGCTAGGAGATTCCAAAACAACTCTCTCCAAGTTACTTCGGTCCTCCTCTGGCCCCTCCGAATCTACCCCAGCATCCCCTTCCTCATCTTCTGAGCACTCAGAATCTGACCAAGCTACAGCATTGTCTGACTCCAGAGATTTGCCCTGAAAGAGAGGACAGTCAGGTTTAAATGATGGGTGAAACCCAGACTGGTGCTTCAGATGAAAAAAATCAAGAAAGCAGATTTTTCTATCCATTCATGTGGTAATCAATACTGCTTTCCTTTCTTCATTTGATGCTGTTCTTTGAATTACTCCCTTCTTTGCTCCACAGTCTGAACCTCTGGGAAATGGCAGAATTCCTGAAGAAACACGACGTTGTCAATGCCATCAATTTAGATGGTGGAGGATCAGCCACCCTGGTCTTGAATGGCACCCTTGCCAGCTACCCCTCCGATCACTGGTAGGTGCCCCTTTATTACTTAAAGCTTATTGGAAATTTCATTTAAAATGACACTGGCACAAAATGAACTCCAGTATCATCATTTTGTTTAGTGTTCATTTGAGCTCATCTGTCTCTCATACACACACACACACACCTATATATATATATATACACATGGGGGGGGTGTGCGCACACGCGTGCGTGTTTGTTGGGCAGGGTGTAGGTGATAGAGTATGCATGTATTCTGATTGGTTTGTCTGTACCAAGGCTCCTCCATGGCTTGATGGATATGAACCAAACTTTATGACTCAACTTAAAGTAATGCAGGGGTTTGAACTCAATAAAACCACCCCTTTCAGGCCCAGAGCAAAAGGGGGGGGGGGAGTTACAATGTCAATTCACTGTTGCTAGGTGAAGTGGCCCTCTGTGATTACACTGGGAAAGGAAGGAAATGAAGTGGATTGGCTGCTGTTAGGTGAAAGGGTGAGATGGAGAGAAAAAAAGGAAAGGAGGAAGGAAGAGAAAAAGAAGGGGGAAAGGAAAGAAGTCAGAAGGAAGGGAAGAGGGAAGAAAGAAGAGGTAAGGAAGGAAGAGAGAAAAAAGAAATGAAGTTCTGGTGAGGCTACAAAGAAAATAAGGAGGTGGGGAGCACAATGGAGGAAATGAGAAGAAAAATAAATAAATAAAACAGATTGTGTTTTGTAATGAAATGGAATGGAAATGTAATAAAATTATTAATAAATGAGGAGAAAGCAAGGAAGGGGGAAGTATGAGGGAAGGGAAGGAAGGAAAGAAAGATGGGGGGAAAGGAAGAGAAGAAAGAAGGAATGGAGGAAAAGAGGAGGTCAAAAGTAAGAGAAACGAAGAGAGGGAGGTGTGTGAGAGAAAGGCAAGGGCAAGAATGCAAGAAAGAAAGGAGAGAGGGAGGAGGTGTGTAAGGGCAATGAGGGAAGGAAGGAAAGAGCCATGAAGTGAGCCTCCTCAGAGCTGGAGAAGGGAGAAAGCAAGCAGGCAGCAGCCCCTCAGATACCTGTGCAAACCCCAGTAAAATATGCTGTGGCTCAAATAAAGGTCAGTTGACAGCACTCCACTTCCACTGACAATGGACTAACATGGCTACAATCCCACTGGTCTCCCTCTCTGTCCCTTCTTCCCAGTGCGTTTGACAACATGTGGCGCTGCGCTCGGCCCATCTCGACCATCCTCTGCGTCCATGAGCCTCCTTGCCAGCCTCCGGACTGCGGGGGACACGGGCGCTGCCTCCTGGGGCAATGCCACTGCGATGGGGCTTTTTGGAAAGGCCCCGCTTGCAACATCCTGGACTGTGGCCCTTCCAACTGCAGCCTGCATGGGATCTGCACACAGAGTAAGAACAGCCTTGGGGTTTTCAGAATACATTATTAAAGGTAATACCAGCAGCCCCCAAGTTACTAGGAAATGATTCCTGGTTAAGAAAGGGGCTGAGACAACAGGGCGTGAGAAGAACCTTCCCCCTCGGAAGGAAGGGAAATCCACTCCTGGAAGAGTTATTATCAGGAGGAAAAGGGGTCTCCACTGAAGCTTTCTCATCAATCCTAAGAATAAGAATGATGATGATGTTACACGATACGAGGATTTAAAGATTGAACTGCAAAAATTCTGGCACAAGCCAGTCAAGGTGGTCCCAGTGGTGATCGGCACACTGGGTGCAGTGCCTAAAGACCTTGGCCTATGTTTAAAAACAATTGGCGCTGACAAAATTACCATCTGTCAGCAGCAAACGACCACCCTACTGGGATCTGCATGCATTATTCACAGATATATCACACAGTCCTAGACAATTGGGAAGTGTCTGACATGTGATTCAATACAAAAGCCAGCAGAGTGACCTTATTTGTTGTGTAATAATCTTTTTGTGTTAATAATAATAATAATAATAATAATAATAATAATAATAATACATAAAATGAGGATTTAAAGATCGAACTGCAAAGACTCTGGCACAAGCCAGTAAAGGTGGTCCCAATGGTGATCGGCGCACTGGGTGCAGTGCCTAAAGACCTTGGCCTGTGTTTAAAAACAATCGGCGCTAACAAAGTTACATCTGTCAGCTGCAAAAGGCCATGCTACTTGGATCTGCATGCATTATTCACCAATACATCACACAGTCCTAGATACTTGGGAAGTGTCTGAGATGTTTATTTATTTACTTTATTTATATACCGCTTTTCTCAGCCCTCAGGCGACTCAAAGCAGTTGTGCCAGATGTGATTCAATACAAAAGCCAGCATAGTGATCTTGTTTGCTGTGTACTAATCTTGTGTTTCAAATAATAATTTTATTTTTATCCTGCCACCATCTCCCAAAAGGGACTTGGGGTGGCTTACCAGGCACGTAGTAGTGTAGTAAAATACACAAAATACAATAAAATACATAGACTTGTATAAAACAATAACACAGCAAGCCAAATTTCTCTCTCTCTCTCTCTCTCTCTCTCTCTCTCTCTCTCTCTATATATATATATATATATATATATATAAACACTTTGGGCTGGAGTTACACTTAAAAACTGTACCTGTTCCAGCTTACACACAAATTCAACATAAACTTAAGTCCATATAAAATAAGTAGAAAACGCCAAATAAAAACAAACAATATTCAAATTGACTTCCCACCTTCCAGCCCAAAGACATTTCTGTAAAAACTTCTTCTAAATTTGCCAAGCGTCTGGTCTTATTATAGCCATTCATGTCTCTCTTGTGTCCCATCTCTCCCCCCAATTTTCTCCATTCTTTTCTATTGCAGCGGGATGCCTTTGCGATGCTGGCTGGGAAGGCACAAACTGCAGTGAAGGTAACCCAATTTTTTTCTCTTCTGCGTTGCTGGTTTGTTTAGTTTGCTTTTCATTATTTCATATGATTTTTATAAATTCTGTAGAACAATGTCAATATTGTTGATGGTGATGCACTACTATACCTGTCTGTCTACCCAGAAGTAAGGCTCGTTGAGTTCTGTGAGTTTCGTTCCTGTTATATAAAGTATTTATTTATTTATTGTGTCAGGAGTAAACCAAACAATTGCATTGCATTTTAAAAAACACAACATTTGTAAACTTGGCATTCTATTAAATGTCCTTTGACCACTCGGAGTGCCTCTGGTGTTGCTGCAAGAACGTCCTCCACTGTGCATGTGGCAGGGCTCAGGCTGCATTGTAATAGGTGGCCTGTGGTTTGCTCTTCTCTGCATTCACATGTCATGGATTCCACTTTGTAGCCCCATTTCTTAAGGTTGGCTCTGCATCTTGTGGTGCCAAAGCGCCTTCGAAGTCGCCCAGTTTTCTGTGTGCCCAGGAGGGAGTCTCTCATTTAGTATCAGCCATTGATTGAGGTTCTGGGTTTGAGCCTGCCACTTTTGGACTCTCGCTTGCTGAGGTGTTCCAGCGAGTGTCTGTAGATCTTAGAAAACTATTTCTTGATTTAAGTCATTGACATGCTGGCTGATATCCAAACAGGGGATGGGCTGGAGATGTCACTGCCTTGGTCCTTTCACTATTGGTTGTTACTGCCCAACGAATGTCAGGTGGTGCAATACCAGCTAAACTGTGATTTCTCCAGTGGTGTAGGGCGCAGACACCCCGTGATAATGCGGCATGTCTCATTAAGAGCCACATCCACTGTTTTAGCATGGTGAGATGTGTTCCACACAGGGCATGTGTACTCAGCAGCAGAGTAGCAAAGCACAAGGGCAGATGTCTTCACTGTGCCTGGTTGTGACCCCCAGGTTGTGCCAGTCAGCTTTCATAATGTTTCTAGCACCCACGTTTTGCTTGATATTCAGGCAGTGCTTCTTGTAGGTCAGATAACGGTCCAGGGTAACTCCCAGGTATTTGGGTGTAACGACCAGAAGCATTATATGGAGTAATTCATATGCATATACATATGTATATGTACATTCCACTTTGAGTGGATAACCAAACTGCGGATAATGGCGAACCCTATGAACACACGACTTTCAGAGGAAGCATTCCATTGAGTCATGCCAGAGGACCTAGGAAATGTCTAGAAAGGACATATTGAGTCAGATCCTGGTAAATAAGCAGGGCTCTTGGTGAGAGTGGGTTGGAGGTCTCTCTTCGTAAATCAAAGCTAACTTGATGGTTGTTCACAACAACAAAGACAGTGCACCATCAGGATCCCAGTAGTCCCATTCTGGCTTAATCTCCATTCTGTTTTAGAAGTTCCCCTTTGCCCGAAATCGAGAGCAGGTTCTGTCTATGGACTTGGGCTTTCTTCCTTTTTTTCCCAGTCTGTGCGAAGGGATCCTATGGGGATGGCTGCCTCCAGAAATGCCTTTGCCTCAATGGTGGCCAATGCGACCCTGTCCACGGATCCTGCACTTGCCCAGATGGCTACCAAGGAAAACTCTGTGAAGAAGGTAGGAGACAGTCTTGTTGTGTATCCACAAGAGTAATTTAAACCTAGTCTGCCCTACATAAGCATTATTTGCTCACTTAAACTAGTATAGATAGTGAGACCATATTGGTGGAAATAATAATAACTGCGTCTTTATTCCATTTCCCCCAAAACGATCCTACAAGTAGTACACACCATTCCTCCACTCCTTCTCTACTATTATTGTAGTCATGCCAAATCCTTTGTGGCTCATTAGCCTTACATGGAGACACTAGCCCTGAGCTGAGTGTGCATTTGGCACAATCTTGAGTTTAACTCATGATTATAGGCATTGTTTTTTGGGATTCTACTTCCCAGAACCTCCGTGGCCAGTGGAAGTGGCAAATCTGTGAGTTGTAGTCTTCCAAAGTGTATTTTCTATGCTCTTATGAGATTTCATTGCTAATGTATATTGGATAGAGGAGATGGACATATCCGAAGGACAACTCAATTCAGAACCCCCTTGGAAAGCTATGGTTGAGCCCCCTTGTCTGAAAGGCTTGGGAACAGGATTTTGGGGGATTTCTAAATATCTGTATAAGGGAAAAGGGGGCGAGTCAGACATCCAGGCAATGGGATCTTGGTCTCACTATCATCCCAGACAGAAGAAGGATCCTTTCATTAAGTCAAAAAGAGACCAATTTTCTTTTTTAACCCAGTGTTATCTCAAAAGGGAGCAGTATGGTCTTTGAGAGTTGCAGAGATGGAGATTTCAATGAGCATGAGGTTCGGCTATCATATTTCCTTGCGTAATGACCACACCTCAATTTTTGGGTGACAAAATTATTGGTATTTTTCTTCACCAATAGTTGCAAGAGCCATTTGGGGCCAATCCTGCCCTCCTTTCTCCAAAAGCAAGGCTTTTAAAACATATGAAATGGAGGTCTCTGGAACTTGGGTCTCCCTTCCTTCCTCCCAAGAGCGCCATTCATATTTGGCAAATTGCGTTGACTTCAGAGAAGGAAGGAAGGAAGGAAGGGGAAATATTCCTTTCTCCAAGGCAAAGTATTGTATATACTTGAGTATAAGCCAAGTTTTTCAGCCCTTTTTTAGGCTCAAAACCCCCCCCTCGGCTTATACTGTAGTCAAGGTTATTTATTATTTTACTCTGTTATTATTACTGCATTTACATTATTTTACTCTATTATTATTACATTTATTTTATTCAACTTATTGATATTATTGCATTTATTGTTTTTCTCTATTTTTATTATTTATGTTTATTATTGTTATTACATTTATTATTTTACCTTAATTTATTATTAAATTTATTATTTTACTCTATTTTATTATTACATTTATTAGTTTACTCTATTATTACATTTATTATTTTACTCTATTATTATTGTTTTTATTACATTTATTAGTTTACTCTATTTATTATTATTGGAAGGATATGTAAGCACATTTACACTGAAGAAGGTTAGAGGAAGACAGCTTTATCTTAAATTAGTTTTATGTAAATATTCAAAAACGTTTAACCTACCGATGCCTCAATTCATGCAATTTTATTGGGATCTATTTTTATTTTGAAATTTACCAGTAGCTGCTGCATTTCCCATCTTCGGTTTATACTCGAGTCAATCCATTTTCCCAGTTTTTTGTGGTAAGATTAGATGCCTCGGCTTATATTTAGGTTGGCTTATACTCGAGTATATGTGGTAGTTTAAAAAGTGAAACAAACAGAAATGGAACTGTTTGTTTGAGGCTGGATCCTCCGTCCTCCTCTTTTCTTAGACACAAGGTAGTTCATACCTTTTCTTAAAAAGCAGAGCATCAAAGGCATAAGAAATGTAATAATAGAGTAAAATAATAAATGCAATAATTTTTTCATTCTGTAATAGTCACACCCTCTTTTCTGATTAAAAAGTGGATCAAAAAGTGTGACTTTTATGCAGTGAAACACAGCCTGACTTTGTGTTTGCCAAAAGAAAATGTTGCCTCCAGCTGTTGAACTATGTATGATGCTTGCTTACTTGTCCTGACATCTCCCTTTCAGCCTGCCCTGTCGGACAATATGGCCCAAACTGCCAGCATTCCTGCCATTGTCCAAACCAATGTCCTTGTGACCAGAAGACGGGCAGCTGCAATATTTCTTCTGCATCTCCTGGAATGGGTGAGTTAGGTTTCAAAGGCAGTAGGAGTATTCATCTGGAATATCAATATCCAAAGATATCTTCTAGCACCATTGAATTAAACAGAAACACATGTTCTGGGCTTAAGCACTCTTGTCTGCTTGAGGCAAATGTGACCCTGATTGAGTCTTGTCTGGAATTGTCCTGCTTTTTGAGTGTTGCTCTTTATTTACTGTCCTAGTTTTTTTAAATACTGGTAGCCAGATTTTGTTCATTTTCATGGTTTCCTCCTTTATGTTGAAAATGTCCACATGCTTGTGGATTTCAATGGCTTCTCTGTGTCGTTTGGTGGTTGTTAGAGTGGTCCAATATTTGTGTCTTCTCAAATAATATGCTGTGTCCAGTTTGGTTCATCAGATGCTCTGTTATGGCTGCTAACACTTCCCAACAAAGGATTCCCCCAGGCAGTAACGAAGCAAGCTTTGAAGCTGCATGGATATTAAATGCTAATCAAGGTGGACAATTGTAACATTCACACTTGCCTCAAGCAGACAAGAGTTATTTCTCCCACACAGATATATAAACTTCACTTGCCTAGGTTGCTATGAGTTTTCTGGGCTGTATGGCCATCTTCCAGAAGCATTCTATTAGATTTGGTCTGGCCATTTTTTAAATGTTTATATGTCACTATTGATTGTTTATTATTTTTTGTTCATGTGATTTATATGATTTGTATTTTATTGATTATTTTATTGATGTTGTGTTTATTGATGTTATTGATGTTTTGTTCGATGTATTTTGGGCTTAGCCTCATGTAAGCCACACCGAGTCCCTTGGGAGATGGTGGCGAGGTATAAATAAAGATTGTTGTTGTTGTTGTTGTTGTTGTTGTTCTCTCCTGAAGTTTCGTCCACATCTATGGCAAGTGTCCTCAGGGGTTGCCTAGTTTCCAACAGACCTCACAACCTCTGAGGACACCTACAATAGATGTGGGTGAAACGTCAGGAGAGAATGCTTCTGGAACATAGCCATACAGTCTGGAAAACTCAAAGCAACTCTGTCTCCTGTCTTTGTTTTGTTAGGAAATAAGTATCTAGACACCTGCTAATATTTGCTTCTTATTCTCGTTATCAGCGAGACAGTGCTTGTTAAAAGACAGTCAAGAGGAGCACTTCTTCACACAGTAAGTCACATCGCTATTTTTTGCTGATTGTTGTTGCAAGTTGTTTGCACCATAAGACGATGCTAAATTAAACCTCTTAGGGATTTCTTGGCAAAATTTGGTCAGAGAAAAATTGCAACGGGTTCCTCTGGGACTGAGAGAATGTAATCAACTCAAACAGGTTTCCATGACAGAGTGGGACTTTCAACCCTTGTTTCCAAAGTCTTCGTCCAGAGCTTAAACCACTACATCACCATTGCTTTTGTTTTTGTTGTTTCCTCACCAGAAATTCCTCATTGCATTGTAGTCTTCTGCCTATCTTCACGATCATATCTTCTACGAACCAACATGAGCCCCAAGATCATCCAGGGAGGCCCTCCTCTCGCTGCCACCTCCGTCTCAGGCGTGGTTGGTGGGAACGAGGGAGAAGAGGGCCTTCTCGGTGGTCCCCCCCCCCCCCCCCACCCCGGCTCTGGAACTCTCTTCCTAGGGAGATCAGGCTGTCACTTACCCTGTCCTCCTTCCGCAAGAACCTAAAAACATAGATGTTCTGTTGTGCCTTTGATTAGGCAGTTCCAAAGAATTGGCTCTTTAATACATAAGTTCAAGCAGTTTATCATGACCCTCCCTTCTACAATCCTGACATTATAAAGCCCAAAGACATTACTCTCCCATCCCTGCCACTGAAGTTTGCATTTTCCCATCGCTCTAGCTAGGAATTTTGCACAAACTCAGAGCACTCTGAACTCAGCATGGCAATGTTTTATGATATTATGTTTTATTGTGATATGTTTCTATTTTGTTTTGTTTTTATTTTATTGCATGACGTTTTAACTCTGTGCTCTCTGGGCTTGTTTCTTTGTAAGCTGCCCTGAGTCCTTTCGGGGAAATGGAGGCGGGGTATAAAATAATAATAATAATATTAATAATAATAATAATTGGAAGAAGCCCCCGGTGGTGCGTTAAACTCCTGTGCTGGCAGGACTGAAGACCGACAGGTCGCAGGTTCGAATCCGGGGAGAGGCGGATGCGCTCCCTCTATCAGCTCCAGCTCCTCATGCGGGGACATGAGAGAAGCCTCCCACAAGGATGATAAAACATCAAATCATCCGGGCGTCCCCTGGGCAACGTCCTTGCAGACGGCCAATTCTCTCACACCAGAAGCGACTTGCAGTTTCTCAGGTCGCTCCTGACACGACAAAAAAATATATTATTGGAATAAACTGAAAGCAGAAAGTGAGGGCTTTCCTTACAATTCTTTGCTCACTATTTTTGTGTGTGTCAGGAGCGACTTGAGAAATTGCAAGTCGTTTCTGGTGTCAGAGAATTGGATGTCTGCAAGGAGGATGTTTTGATGTTTTACCCGGGGATGCCCGGATCTTTTGATGTTTTACTATCTTTGTGGGAAGCTTCTCTCATGTCACAGCATGGGGAGCTGGAGTTGACAGAGGGAGCTCAACTCGCTCCCCCCAGATTTGAACCGCTGACCTGTCAGTCAGCAGTCTTCCTGGCACAAGGGTTTATACTAAATGAGTATAAAGGTGCTATAGCCATTTTTAAGACAATGTTTTAGTTCCTTTCATTATTTCTACTTTTGTTTTCCCCCTCCCCAATTTATAGCTCTCCTTTGATTCACAAAAAAGACTCAGGCAGCTCACAGAAATGCCAACAATGAACAAAACACATGAATTAAACAGATCAGTAAAGGTTAAAAAAATAGAACGCACCCAATATTTATTTTTATAGATGAATATCATATTGCTCTTTATAGTAGTTCTTGGCTCCATATAGTAGTACTCACATTTGCTGGGGTTAAGAGCACAGGATTCGTGTGAAACATTTTAAACAAATATATAAGACTATTTTCTTAGCCTGAGAGAAGACCTCTTTAGGAATCTCTGGGTCTTCCACCACAACTTTATTATCAACTAATGCTGGCAAGTGTTGTTTATATTATTGACTAGCTTGGGTATCCAGTGTTGCCCGGGTTATTTGAGTCATTTTTTATTTTATTGTGCAAAATGCATAAGGTTGTGGGTGAACTACAACTCACATCATGCTAGGTTAACTTCCTGAAACCCTATCAGTGGTTACAAGCTTGTCATTTAGGTAAGTTTGCTCTCTAGATGCATTATTGGTGAGGTCTGTGTGGTGTCTGACTGCAGGGTGAACTACAGCTCCCACTATGGTGGTTCAGTACCCTCAAACCCCTACAGTAGGTTCAGTTGGCCTTGGGGATTCTGTGTGCCAAGTTTGGTCCTCTGTCATCCGTGGTAGTCATAGTGTCTCTGGGTATAGGTGAACTACAACTCCCAGAAAGGAAGGTCAGTTCCCCCCAAACATCTCCAGTATGTTCGGTTGATCATGGTGGTTCTGTGTGCCAAGTTTGATCCAGGTCCATTGTCGGTGGGGTTTAGTTTCACTGGTTGTAGGTGAACTGCAACTCCCAGAAATCAAGGTCAATCTTTCCGAAACCCCTCTAGAATTCAAATTTGGGCGTATTGGATATGTATGCCAAGTGTGGTCCAGATCCATTGTCATTTGGGTTCAAAGAGCTCTTTGGATGTAAGTGAACTACAGCTCCCCCAAATCAAGGTGAATCATAGAATCAAAGAGTTGGAAGAGACCTCATGGGCCATCCAGTCCAACCCCCTGCCAAGAAGCAGGAATATTGCATTCAAATCACCCCTGACAGATGGCCATCCAGCCTCTGCTTAAAAGCTTCCAAAGAAGGAGCCTCCACCACACTCCGGGGCAGAGAGTTCCACTGCTGAACGTCACAGTCAGGAAGTTCTTCCTCATGTTCAGATGGAATCCCCCCCTCCCCCCCAGTCCTCCAGTATTTTTGTTGGTCATGGTTCCGTGTGCCAAGTTACATCTGGGTCCATTGTTGATGGGGTTCAGAGTGCTCTTTGATTGTAAGTGAACTAAATTCCAGTACCTAGAACTCCCAAATGTTAAAGCCAATTCCCCCCAAAACCTACCAATATTCAAATTTGGGCATATTGGTTATGTGTGCTAAATTTGGTCCAGATTCATTGGTGTTTGGGTTCACAGTTCTCTTTGGATCTGGGTGAACTGCAACTCCCCTAAATCAAGGTCAACCCCCCCAAAGCTCTCCAGTATTTTTTGTTGGTCATAGGGGTTGTGTATGCCAAATGTGGTCCAGGTCCATTGTCGTTGAGGGTCACAGTGCTCTGTCTTGATGCAGGGTGAACTACAACTTCCATCATGTTGAGTCAGTCACCCAACCCCCTCCAGTATGTTTAGTTGCTGATCAAGTCCACTCTGTTTGCAATGTGTCATAGAAAGGAGTAGGAAAGGGTTAAGGGAGAGGCAGTGGGTGGGATCATGCAAATGCCACACCAATTGAGAGAGCCAGAAACACTGGGATGCCTGTGGTGGAGGAAACACATAAAATCTAGGATGAAATTGTCCCCATAGGAAAACCTTCACTTAGGTGATGAGCAATATTGTGTTGGTGGAGGACATTGGCAGGGCTCTTGGACATGTTCACGGAGCTTGCTATCTATCTCATTGGAGGGAGAGCGCTTGCTGGCTCCTAAGTGAAATTCGTAGCTGATTGTAGAAGTGGAAGCCTGTCTGTGTAAGTGGACACCCCAGCCACATACACACGTACATATTTTCACTTTTATTATGTGCATAGTTATCCCACTTTCATCTCTTAACATGAGACTCAGTGACAGAGTCATGCTAACAACAACAACACTTTATTTATATTCCGCCCTTCTCACCCTGACGGGGACTCAGGGCAGATCACAGTACACAAAATTGGCAAACATTCAATTCTGTTTTGTATAGACAGTATAGAGACAGACAGAACAGAAGGAGGTGTGTTGTTATTTTGACTCCATGTCCAGCTTTTTTTTGGTGCCATGGAAGGTTGGGCTCGAATCCAGCCACAGGGGGTGCCATCGTTCCATCCTCCATGACGAAGAGCCATCAGGACTTCTTCTTTTCTTTTGGTTGCCCAGAACTTTCTGATCGTAAAACACCACCCCCGCTTTTAGTGGTACCCAATTTCTCTACTTACAGCTAAAGTTGTTTTCAAACTGCTTAGGTCAACAGTAAGCTGGGCTGACAGTTGGCAGCTTACGCAAACCTGGGGCTTCACACTTGCAGCCTTTCGGTTGATAAATCTTATAATTGCTGGTGACTTACCAGCTGTGCTAAACCCCCGGCCCATAAGGACATAAGAGATTCTTAAAACAAAATGTTTTTGTTCAAAGCTGTGAATACTCGTATCTGCAAAAGTCAGCCCTGCAGGTGTGAAAAGCTGACTGTGTTGCTATCACAACTACTATTATTGTCAACGTTGTTTATTACCCCTGTTGATTGTCTTTACAGGAAGGCATGGATAGGTATAACGTTGAGTTTGTCAATCCTGCTTTTGTTCAGCGGTGCGATGAATGTGAGGCTGCTCTTGTGCCGATCCCCAGAGCAAAGGGAGCGTGGGAAATACACCTATCAGCCATTGGAGGACATGAACGGGGAGAGCCACCGTTGCCCATCGGCAGAAGACATCTGGGATGCCGTCCAGAGAGAAAGGGCCGATTCCCTTTGAGGAGAGAACGAACGCGGCGCTTTCCATCCCAGCAGCACATTGTAGCAAAACCTTCCGTGGGTTTTCTTCTTCTTCCTTCATGAAGAACGGCGGAGAGTGGGAAGATGTTCATCACTGGAGAAAAGAGCCTGAATGATCCTGCGACATTTGGGCTCCTTTTAAAAAGATGGAACTGTATTGATGATTTACAACTCTGGAAGGACACCTGAAAGCAAGGGTCTCCAAACTGTTTAAGCCCAAGGTTCACGGTCTCTCCGACTGTTGAGGGGCCCAGACTATATTTTGCAAGGAATATGAACGCACTGCCCATATCTTCTTGGGAGTGCAACAAAACCATGACAGAACAATACAATATGTAAACTGAAGAACAATTTTAGCCCAAAAAAAACCTCACTAGTATTTAAATGGGAAATGTGGCCCTGCTATTGGCTGGTGAGAGAGTCGTGTTAATTAGGATTGTTATTGTTGTGTGCCTTCAAGTCGTTTCACACTCTCACGCAGTTTTCTTGTCAAGATTGAGCCAAAGGGGATTTGCCTTTGTTTTCATCTGAGGTTGAGAGTGGGACTTGGCTAACGTCACCTTCTTTTTCTTTCCCCCCCCCCTCTCTCCTTTTGTCCACCCTTCTCTCTGTCCTTCCCTCCTTACTTGGTGGCATGTGCAGCATGAAGGGAAGGAATTGGGGTGGCACAAAGGTAATTGCAATGTGGGGTGGATAAATTCCTTTGGTGGGCCGTATTCTGACAATGGGCCGTAGTTTACACACCTGCCTTAAAGCAAGAATTCTGTGACTGATCTGCATATGTGCCTTTGAGTTGCCTACTGACTTATGGCAACTCCATTCATTCGTAGGATTTCTTAAGCAGCAAATAATTAAGTGGTGATTTTGACAGTTCTTTCCTCCAAAACAAAGCCTCCAGCAGCTGATGGTCTCCCATCCAAGTACAATCCAGAGCTGAACTTGCTTATTTTCCAAGATCAGACAGGATCTGGGTGTTTTTTTCCCCTGTGTCAGGGGCGACTTGAGAAACTGCAAGTTGCTTCTGGTGTGAGAGAATTGGCCGTCTGCAAGAATGTCGCCTGGATGTTTTGATGTTTTACCATCCTTGTGGGAGGCTTCTCTCATGTCCCCGCATGAGGAGCTGGAGCTGACAAAGGGAGCTTAACCCGCTCTCCCCAGATTTGAACCATGGACCTGTTGGTCAGTAATCCTGCTGGCCAAAGGATTTAACCCATTGTGCCACTGGGGGCTCCATGGGATTTGTTGCCTTTAGGGTATTTTGACTTATGCAAATGCGTCTTGCCAAGTTCCCTGATAAAATAAACTCCTTTTTAATTTTTTAACACTCACGGGCACTAATATTTCCTTTCCACTGTTACTGTTTCAGGAAAAGAGACTTTTTCCCTCCCCAAACTGGAAGTTTTAGAGGCCTAAAACATCTGGTAAGATGGAAGGATGAAATGAACTAAAATTATAATAAGGGAGCAATGTGCAATCACCATCATTTCTGGAAGTTGCTCACTTGTGCAGTAAAAGTACAGGCTTTCCGTTCAATGGAATTACGTTGCCCAGCCAGATCCAAACACCAGCAAAAAAGATGAAAGAAATGGTAATTTCAACAATTTTTTAGCAAGTCGGCGAAAGAAGCAGAAGCCAAATAGCAAAGTAGCTTAAATACTGGATTTGTCTGGTGGAAAGGCTGAATGTGAACCCTGTTTGGCTAGAATACTCTTATGAGTAGAGGCCAGATATCTCTTTCAGTGGCTGTCTAACTCACTGGATTGTTTAAATCATAATCGAATAAAGGCCTGGGAATCTTAGGTTTATTTCTTTCCTCCAAAAAGCTCAGAACTAAAATTCTGAAAAGGGCTTTAACAATATTATGGTTCTTACTTCCAATTAAAATGATGACAGAATTAACTGTTGTGCTTTAGGTTTTCATGAGTCTAACTTTGATCTCACGACAAAGGGTTTTCAATAATATTTTTTGAAAGACGTGTGTTTCCTTTGGGCCAAGAGAGATAGTTAAAAGCCTGACTCACTTTGGATGCACTTTACCTCGTTTTGTACCAACTGCTGAAACTCCCGGTTTTTTTGGTTTTGGGTCACGTTTGAAATGTACATGTGGAAATAATCTATTTTGTTATCACTGGAAACGAGAGAACGGAAGAAACATGGCATTTGTACCAAATAAACAGATTTTTTTATCTCCTCTAATTACTTTTTATTTACTTAGGAGTTAAGATTTTGTAAAGGGGAAAATGTACTTTCCTTCAGTACATTCTGTACTGCAGTGGTTCCCAACCTTTTTTGGACCAGAGACTTTGACCAGGGACCACTCTCCAAAATTAGTACCAAAAAGGTTTTGAATCAATTTTTGGTCAACTTTAGATTCGGTTTGGGGCACTGATTCAGAAAATTGCATTGGATAGACCACATCAGCTCTAGTTTCTGATACAGAACATATGCTAGTAGTCGCCATCTGCTCGCTCACAGGAAACCATATTTAATAAGCCTCTGCACTATAAGAGGGGTTCGTGAGACCAGTCACTCTTGTTATGGTGAGGCTGTGAATCATATTTTAGTTCTTGTGGACCACAGGTTGGGAATCACTGCTGTACTGAAATGAGTATGAACTCTATTTATTTATTTATTTGCCATATTTATATACCGCCCCTCTCAGCCCAAAGGTGACTCAAGGCGGTTTACAGTCAGCAGTCAATGCCCCCAAACAACATAAAACACAGTTAAAAACATTGCATATAATATGAACCAACAAAAGCAATAAAACAATAAAAGCCATAAAGCACCTCAGCATCTCATCACTAAAATCATTTTTTCCGTCGCATCGTCCAATCGTTCCATAGATCTCAATTAGTCTGTTACACTGCGTCTGCAAATGCCTGCTCAAACAGCCAGACTCTCTTTCAAAATGTTAGGAGGGAGGGGGCCGATCTAATATCCCTAGGGAGGGCGTTCCATAGCCAAGGGGCCACCGCTGAGAAGGCCCTGTCTCTCGTTCCCGCCAATCGCGTCTGCGAAGGGGGCAGGGCAGAGAGCAGGGCCTCTCCAGACGATCTTAAGCGCCTAGACTGGGAGAAAATGTTAGTGTTACTGGATAAAGAAAACTAAGATACTCAAAGGTTATCTTATATCTTGTTTAGTGATCTGTGATTTTGAAAGCATGAAAAGGCAGCTGCTGCTACCAGAAAGTATTACACATAAGTTGCTTGGACTATCAGTAATGACAGATAAAGTAAAGCAAAATAGTTACATTTCACTGCAATACTCAGCATGCAGCAGGTGGCACAGTGGGTTTAACCGCTGACTTGCTGAACTCGCTGACCAAAAGGTTGGTGGTTTGAATCCAGGGAGTGGGGCGAGCTCCTGCTGTTAGCCCCAGTGTCTGCCAACCTAATAGTTTGAAAACATGCAAATGTGAGTAGATCAATAGGTACTATTTCTTCACGTAGATAATAGCACTGCATGCATGACCTTGGAGGTGTCTACGGACAACGCCGGCTCTTTGGCTTAGAAATGGAGATGAGCACCACCCCGAGAGTCGCACATGGCTAGACTTAATGTCAGGGGAAGCCTTTGCCTTTACTCATCATTACTTACCTTGGGGCTGCTGGGACACGGAATACAGAAACATTTGAAGGCAGCACCATTCCAACCCAGACTTCAAGCTTGTGAGGAATTTACAGAGAGATTCAAGTATATCAAATATTTCTTTATTTTGGAAGCAAATTAAAAACATACATTTCTGCTCCTTGAATCTTATTATAAATTAGAAACAAGCATTTAGCAGGATAAATATATTTATGTTCTACGCCAAGCTCAACCAAAGGGAATAAATGGGCTCAGTCTTGACAACTAGTTTTTATCAGCTCTTCTCTCTCAAAAGGATTCTAAAAAATATAACTTTTGCCAATTTTGAATATGAAACGTATAGGAACCTTGATAAAAATATCCCTTAAAATGTTCTTCCACTTGGAAAAAAGGATTCATTAAAAAAAGGATTTGTTCACAATCTCTACTTCTTTGTAACTCGATCCTCTGCACAAATGTTTTCAATGGGCGGTTCTTTGTTGTGATTTTATATTATTCGCTTCCATTGTGAAGAGATTTGTGAGTCATTTCTGCCTTGTGCCAGAAAATTTAGTTAAAGAGCCATAAAAATAAAAATGTATTGCAGTTTTAGAAAACTATACAATCTCTATATGCACATATGTACATTTTGTAATGCTAAAAAGACCAAAACTCACCAAATATAGGGTAAAAAAGAGAACACGAATACAATATTTGTTCTTCTCAACCATTTGGAAGCGACATCCCAAAAGGATACTCAAGTCAACATTTTTCGCCATGACCCTTTTCTAGGAAATTTGGATATTTTGTGAGCAAAATCAACGGCATGACAAATATTCATCTTAAAATGTAAATAGGGATAGAGCTGTAATTGACTTGGGTAGAAAAGGGGGCTGATAATATTCCCTCTGGGAAAAGAAACCTATGACTGCATCACACTAGAGATTGAATCCACTTTAAATCTGATTTCTGCCTCCTGTAGAATTCTGGGATTTGTAGTTTAGTGAGGCTGTTAAAGGCCCTAAACTACAAACCCCAGAATTCTGCAGGAGGGAGAAACTGGATTTTAAGTGGATTAATTCTCTAGTGTGATGAGATCCTAGGACATTCCCTTTGTGTTCCAGGGACTATTATCAAGAGTTTCAGCCATTCCAGAAAAGACAGATAATAATGCCTCTGGCTCCAGTTTGAGCTTCTCCGTCTCAATTTTGGGAACTTCCACCAAGCAAGAAATGACATTGCATTTTAAGATGAGAAAACTCACAGTGTCTGGATGCACAGCAGAAAAAAGGATGGAATTTTCCATCATCCCCACAACAAGAAAGAGCCTCAATCCTCAATGTAACAGTCTTGGGAAGCACAGAAGGCCCATTGAAAAAGATAGAGGAAGGCTCTAAACCTCTGCTGCTTCTGAAAGTCACGCCAAAGAGCATTTCCACTTCAAAAAGATGCCCAAACAGTTTCTCTCGGCGATCTAAGGTGGGCTCAAGGTCTGAAGGTTGTGGCCCCTGAAATCAAAACCTAGCATCAGTCTCAGGACACTGGTGCTGGGGAAAACAGAATGGGATCGTCCAGTTTCCATTCTATAGGGTTACCGTTGTGTTGCCGTTTTCTCCCTCCTGTTCATCTGATCTGGACCTCCCAGATCAGGATCTCGTTGTAGGAAGCAGTGAAGAGGCACTTCCCGGACGGGGTGAAGCGGCAGAGGCCCACAGCATCGTCGTGCCCCACGTAGTCTTGCTCCGTCCTTGCCTTGTGGTCGATCAGCCTCAGTAGACGCTCTGCGGGGAAAGACCAAGCTTCAGGCAAAGACAGTACACTATAACATAATGGAGCAATGGGTTCAAATTACAAGAAAGGGGATTCCACTTCAACCAGTGGTTCTCAACCTTCCTAATGCCACGACCTCTTAATACAGTTCCTCATGTTGTGGCCCCAGCCAGAAAATTATTTTCGTTGCTGCTTCATAATTGTAATGTTGCTACTGTTATGAATCGTAATGTAAATATCTGATATGCAGAATGTATTTTTATTCACTGGACCAAATTTGGCACAAATAGCCAATACAACCAAATTTGAATACTGATGGGGTTGGGGAGGATTGATTTTGTCATTTGGGAGTTGTAGTTGTCGGAAATTGAACAGAACTCCCATGTCAAACAGAAAATACTGGAAGGGTTTGGTGGACATTGACCTTGAGTTTTGGAGTTCTAGTTCACCTACATCCAGAGAGCACTGTGGACTCAAACATTGATAGGTCTGGACCAAACTTGGCACAGATAAAATACTATCATAGAATCAAAGAGTTGGAAGAGACCTCATGGGCCATCCAGTCCAACCCCCTGCCAAGAAGCAGGAATATTGCATTCAAATCACCCCTGACAGATGGCCGTCCAGCCTCTGTTTAAAAGCTTCCAAAGAAGGCGCCTCCACCACACTCCGGGGCAGAGAGTTCCACTGCTGAACGGCTCTCACAGTCAGGAAGTTCTTCCTCATGTTCAGATGGAATCTCCTCTCTATATTATCTAATGGTCTTTGGAGACTCTTCTGACACCCCCTCGTGACCCCCCCCCCCCAGAAGTCCCAAATCCCAGATTGAGAAACACTGACTTAAACCTTAGTAAGAACTTCCTGACTGTTAGCAAAGCTGTTCAACAGTGGAAATCTCTGCCTCAGAATGTGGTGGAAGCCCCTTTTTGGGAGGCTTTTAAGCAGAGGCTGGATGGCCATCTGTTGGGGGTGCTTTGATTATGCTTTTCCTGCATGGCAGGGGGTTGGACTAGATGGCCCCATACAATCCTTTCCAACTCTATGATTCTGTAAGCAGGGATGTCTGTGGGGTGAAATTGTGGGGGAGTGGCTGCATACAAAACAGTAAGAGCTGTTCAACAGTGAAACTCTTTGCCTTGGAGTTCAATGGAAACTCCTTCTTGGGAGGCTTTTAAACAGAAGCTGCATGGCCATCTGTTGGGGGTGCTTTAATTGTGTTTTGTCCTGCCTGGTAGAAGTGGGTTGGACTGGAGAGTCCCTGGAGTCTCTTTCAACTCTGTAATTCTATGATTATATAGCTCTATGACTCCATGAACCAACTGACTATAAGTTGGGATGGCCATCTGTCAAGAGGGCTTTAATGGTGCTTTTTCTGTCTGACTAGGGGGTCCCTGGGGTCTTTTTCAACTCTGTAATCTATGATTATATAGCTCTATGGCTCCATGAACCTGCTGATGACTATGAGGTGGGATGACCATCTGTCAGGAGGGCTTTTGTGGTGTTTTTCCTGCCTGGTAGAAGGGAGTTGGACTGGATGAGATCGCTGCCAAAGCTAGGATTGTATGAAACCCCCAGACTGTCCCACTGCTGTCCTAAACTCTCAAAATTTCAAGCTGAGGCTCATTTCTGGACCCCTCTGACAAATAGGCAACATGAAAGGGAGTTTTCAGGGTCTCTCCCTCCAAAGAGACCCGAAACATGGCCTATTTAGGATTCCCAATACTCACCACTGAAGCCAACAGCAATGATTTTGGCAGCAGGGGACAAGCTCAGCGCCATGGCAAAGGAAGGCAAGGAGATCTTCTCAATGACCTGCAAGTGAAATGGTGCAAAATCAATATCAACCAAATGTATTTTTGAAGCAGTGGAACAACAAAAGTCTATCAAGTGAAAACCTAAGCACAGGTAGATTCATTTAGCATAAAGAAGTCCTCTTAATTAGGAACAGGTTTGAGTGAGTAGTAGCCTACACTGCGGCAATGATGATGTCTGTTTATATTTGGGGGGTTTTGTGCCTGTTTTGTTACCCTAGCATCTCAGGTAAGCATGGATGGCCATTTTAGCTGCTGCATCATAGTGTTAACTTATAGAATCATAGAGCTAGGAGACACCTAAAGGGACAGCCAGTCCAACACCTTTCTGCAAGACAGGAAGAGCACTATCAAAAAAACCCCAACAGATGGCCAACCAGCCAGAGTCTGCTTCAAAGCCTTCAGTGAAAGAGACTTCAACACAACCCAAACCTTAAAAATTGGAAGGAAATCCCAAAGGCCATCCAGTCCAACCCCCTTCTGCCAAACAAGAAGAGTACCATCAAAGCCCCCCTGACAGATGGCCAGCCAGCCTCTGCTTCAAAGCCTCCAGAGAAAGAGACTCCAACGCAATCCAAATCTTATGATTTGGAAGGAAACCCCAAAGGCCACCCAGTCCAACCCCCTTCTGCCAAACAAGAAGAGCACAATCAAAGCCCCCTGACAGATGGCCAGCCAGCCTCTGCTTCAAAGCTTCCAAAGATGGAGACTCCAACGCAATCCAAATATTATGAGTTGGAAGGAAATCCAAAAAGCCATCCATCTAAAATGATACAGTCCAGCGACAGTGATCACTTTGAGCTTTTGTTTTACTGCGGGGCAAGTACTCAACTGAAAGTGAAGATCAGGCCTGAGCCACTACAACCTCTAAATGTTGGGATGCCAAGTCCTGCTTGAACACAAAGCTTGGAGGTACCTGTTTCTGCTGCAAACTGTAGAAGAGGATTTCCTTCTGCAATCCATAGCCAACATAAGCAAGAATACTTTTGTCCCAAGGGCAGAAGGCTGCCAGGCTGGGAGGAAGTGGGCTAGGGACCTGGAAACAACACAAAAAAGAACATTTGGCTTTATCTTCTTCTCATGTTTAAGCAGGCTTTTAACACTGGCATTCTCACAGTGAGGCTTATTTCTTTTTTCAACTTTTGTTCATTTTAAAATTAATTTTATTGTGTTCTTTGGCAAAATAAAGTGGGCACATCAATGAGACAAAACAAAAGCCCATAAATTAAAAAATGCTATTAAGAATATTTATCTATTTAATCTATTTTTATCGTTTAACTTCTGTGCCATGTATTTTAATATGTGTATGTTGTTTTGATTGTATTTTAACTCTGTTTGAATATGTGCCTTTATCTTCGACTGTGTTGTGCCCCGCCTCAAACAGAGAGGCGGATAATCAATAAAAAAAATCTTTCAATTTCTATTATTATTATTATTATTATTATTATTATTATTATTATTATTGTGTTGTTGGCTCAATTTGATGATGATGGAGCCCACTCATATTTGATTCCAAAACTACAATTTTACTAAATTGGAATAAGTAAAGGAGACAGTTCTGCTCTGTTTTGTAATGGAAACAGTGTTTAATGGAAGCTAAGCCTCATCTGAATTGTAAAAAATAACTAAAAGATAATTGACTAAATGAGAAACCTGAAGTTCTCAGAATTTCGCTACTAATTCCTTGGTATCCGAACCTCGATTTGCATATGATCAAATATTTATCAGTCAAAGACGAGGAAAACACGATGTGCTTCTCCCAGTGGGAGGTTCTCACCTCAGGCCCTGTGGGAGCTGGGAAGCTCAGCCAATCAATGAGCTCACATTTGTCCTTCATCCAATCAGAGACCCAGACACTGACCCGCCGGTCAGCGCTTGCAGCCAACCAGAGATTGTCACCTTCAACCCCAAGTTCGGAGCGCTAGGAAATATTACAACAACATGACAATTCCTCTCATTTCATCATATTTCCCCTCAAGCCCTGAAAACACTGGCAAAGTACATAACCAAACATAGTATTATCGGTAAGTAAGAAATGTAGCAACACAGGTTCAGTATAAATCCAGACTTCATTTTGAGGCCTACTTCCAAATACATAAAGGGTCTTTGAGAAACATCGCCATCATGTGTTGTTAAAGGTTTTCATGGCTGGAATCACTGGGTTGCTGTGAGTTTTCCGGGCTGTAAGGCCATGTTCCAGAAGCATTCTCTCCTGGCTTTGAAGTCAATCATAGCAGAGCACCTGATGAGCCAACCTTGACACAGCATATTATTTGAGAACACAGAAATGCTGGACCACTCTAACAACCACCATGTCAGACTACACAGAGAAGCCATTGACATCCACAAGCATGTGGACAATTTCAACAGAAAGGAGGAAACCATGAAAATGAACAAAATCTGGCTACCAGTATTTTAGAACTCTATAATCAGGACAGTAAATAAAGAGCAACACTCAAAAAGCAGACAAAAATCAGTCAGAGTCAGCTAACACCTCCCAACAAAGGATCCCCTAGACTGCAACCTGCCAGGCTTTGGAGCTGCAAGGCTATTAAATGCTAATCAAGGTGGCCAATTGCAACATTTACACTTGCCTCCAACAGACAAGAGTTCTTTCTCTCACTCTGGTCATTATTCCAGATATATAAACCTCACTTGCCTAGTTTCCAACAAACCTCACAACCTCTGAGGTTGCCTGCCATAGATGTGGGCAAAATGTCAGGAGAGAATGTTTCTGGAACATGGCCAGGCAGCCCGGAAAACTCACATCAACCAATTGCCATGATTATTTTTCACCTGTTTTCCTTTAAGGATCAAGATAGAGGATATCAAATTAAAATACAGCAAAATATGCATAATTCATATTAGCAACAACAATAATAATTTGTATGATGGTGATGATGATGATGCATGTAATTCCTTTGAAACAAAGGCATGCTAAAGATAATTTTAGAGAACAGTCAGGGAATGGCAATGAAAATGACACTTTCCTGGGGCTTGAAAGCACTTGAGGGACCTAAAAATCCCTAGAAAGAATATATGTATCAATCCAATCTGCAAAAGGTAAACCTGCAAATGTGGAAGTCCACCTGTATTTATTTGTTCCCCTGATTGCCATGGTGCGGAAGGGCCCAAAAGGTAACCAGTTCATAAAGAAGCAGCGTGCATTCGTGTTGCTATGCATATTATATTACAAAAAGCTCAATCTATCTCCCATCAAGACTGAACGAAGCAGCTGATTCCACCTCACCAAGAACTGCTGTTCCAAAAAAGTACAAGCCAAGCACAAGGCCTTCTTCCCATATATACAGAAAGTATAAAATACCCTGGAATGGCTGGATGATAGGATTTACAATCACAAGGTATCTTTTTTTTTTTAAAAAAAATATGCAGTCATCTTTTGTATTAAGATACTATTTATTTATCGTGTCATCAGCAACCAGAAATTTGTATTACATTTTTTAACAAAAACAAACAAACGTTTTTGAGGCACGCTTCCCTGCCTCAGGGAAGCGTGCTTGCCCCATCCATGTCCAACATCTACACAAATGACCAGCCACTGCCAGAAGGGACAGACAGTTTCATCTATGCTGATGATCGTGCCATTACTGCTCAAGCAGGGAGCTTTGAGATGGTAGAACAGAAGCTCTCCGAAGCTCTAGGTGCTCTTACTGCCTATTACAGGGAAAACCAGCTGATCCCTAATCCATCTAAAACACAAACATGTGCTTTTCATCTCAAGAACAGACAAGCATCCCAAGCTCTGAGGATTACCTGGGAAGGAATCCCACTGGAGCATTGCAGCGCACACAAATACCTGGGAGTCACTCTGGACCGTGCTCTTGACCTACAAGAAGCACTGCCTGAACATCAAGCAAAAAGTGGGTGCTAGAAACAATATCATACGAAAGCTGACTGGCACAACCTGGGGATCACAACCAGACACAGTGAAGACATCTGCCCTTGCGCTATACTACTCTGCTGCTGAGTACGCATGCCCAGTGTGGAACACATCTCACCACGCTAAAACAGTGGATGTGGCTCTTAATGAGACATGCCGCATTATCACGGTGTGTCTGCGCCCTACACCACTGGAGAACTAGACTTTAGATCAGGGGTCCCCAAACTACGGCCCGCGGGCCACTTCCGACCCGCCAAGGGCACTTATCCGGCCCGCGGAGGAGGAGCGCCCCTCCCCACACAGTACCCCTCCCTTGGCTGGCTCACTCTATCTGTCAGGCCCAATGGGCAGTGTGAGACAGCCAAGGGCAGCTGCTCCACGTGACCTACTCGCACGTAAAGCACCTCGTGAGGTGCTTTATGCGCGAGTAGGCTGCCCGGTGCTGCTCCATGCAGTCATGCCGGCCACAATATCTGCTTTGAACTGGGTTATCTGAATCCACACTGCCATATATTCCAGTTCAAAGCAGATATTGTGGGATTTTTTTGCCTTGATATTCTGGGATAATGGGCTGTGTGGAAGGGTCTCCAGAATATCAAGGAAGAAAACCCCACAATATCTGCTTTGAACTGGGTTATCTGAATCCACACTGCCATATATTCCAGCTCAAAGCATTAAAATGTGGGATTTTATTCAGCTGTGTGGAGGGGCTCTGAGCTGCAAAAAGCTGAACTTTTTGAAGACTGCTAACATGTACTGGAGCCCCCGGTGGCACAGTGGGTTAAACCACTGAGCTACTAAACTTGTTGACCAAAAGGTTGCAGGTTCGAATCTGGGGAGCAGCATAAGCTTCCGCTGTCAGCCCCAGCTTCTGCCAACCTAGCAGTTCAAAAACATGCAAATGTGAGTAGATCAATAGGTCTTCAGCGGGAAGGTAACGGCACTCCATGCAGTCATGCTGGCCACATGACCTTGGAGGTGTCTACGGACAACACCGGCTCTTCGACTTAGAAATGCAGATGAGCACCACACCCCAGAGTTAGACATGACTGGACTTCATGTCAGAGGAAAACCTTTAACTAGGAAAATTGTGGAAGATCCAGGGTGGGATGAAGAACTCTTGTCTGTTGTAGGTAGGTATGAATGTTTCAATTGGCCACCTTGATTACCATTTCATAGCCTGACAGTTTTTAGGGAGAATCCTTTGTTGAGAGGTGATTAGCTGGCCCTGATTGTTTCTTGTCTGGAGTTCCCCTGTGTTTGAGTGTTGTTCTTTATTTACAGTTATAATTTTAGAGTTTTTTTTAATACTGGTAGCCAGATTTTGTTCAGACTAGAAATAGGAAGATTTCCCATTCTCTGCTCCTGGAATTACTGCCTAAAGAGGGCTAGAAAGAACCCCCTCTAAGGGCCCTTCCACACAGCAAAATAAGATATGTGCAATGTGCATAGGATTTTTTTTTTTTTTTAAAAAAACTATAGTCCGGCCCTCTAACGGTCTGAGGGACAGCGAACTGGCCCCCGGTTTAAAAAGTTTGAGGACCCCTGGTCTAGCCGGTATCGCACCACCTGACATCCGCCGGGAAGTAGCAGCCAATAGTGAAAGGACCAAGGCAGTGACATCTCCAGCCTATCCCTTGTTTGGGTATCAGCCAGCGTCAACGACTTAAATCAAGAAATAGTTTTCTAAGATCTACAGAGACACTCGCTGGAACACCTCAGCAAGCAAGAGTCCAAAAGGCAGGCTCAAACCCAGAACCTCAATCAATGGCTGATACCAAATGAGAGACTCCCCCCTGGGCACACAGAAAACGGGTGACTTGCAAAGCGCTGAACAGACTGCACTCTGGCACCACGAGATGCAGAGCCAACCTTAAGAAATGGGACTTCAAAGTGGAATCCACGACATGCGGGTGTGGAGAAGAGCATTAAGATACTAAAAATGATTGAAAATTAAATTTAAACAAATAGAGCACCGTTCACCTGGCAATGCATACATGAGCAAGAACTTTTATTATTTTCCCTCACCTGTTTTCTTGTGCTTTGGATAACATGGATGGGTGATGACCGGTGGTCAGTGAGGATGCGAAAGGTCATTCCTGTCCGTGGGCTACTGATGGCCACGAGTCCGTCCTTGCCTCCAGACAAGATAATTTCTCCTGGAAAGACAAAGTGCAACAAGCAAACTTGTTATCAAACACAAGCTGCTTCCGTGATCAGTGTCTTGAGATTATCTTCCTATTTTTCTGGGTTCAAGTAAACTCTAACTTATGGTGAACATATCGTAGAATTTCTTGGCAAAATGTATTGAAAGAGGTCGTGTGTCCTTGCCTTCCTCTGAGGCTGAGAGACTGTAACTTACCCAGTTGGTTTCCATGGCTGAGCAGGGATTTGAACAGCAGGCCTCTCGTGGAGTCTTAACCCGACACTCAAATCACTGCACTACGTTACGGAGTGCTCTTTATTTTCCTCTAATTAAACTAAAGATAGTCTGAACAAGATTTATTGAGCATGGACAGCTGGTCCTACCATCTGCGGAGTATCCAAGTGCTGTAACGGCGACAGCGTGAGGGTGCATTTTCAGTTCCATCTCCGTCCGGGAGATGCTGAACACGCGAAGCGTGCCATCACTGTAGCCTGCCACAATACGCTCACTTTCTGTTCCAGTGACCAAGACAGACTTCGGACTCCAAGCCAGGCACAGGCAGCTCTGAGCAGAAACAAGAAACGTGTTGGAAAGACTCAAGGAACAACACGGAAGCTAATTCCCTGTCTTTGTCAATAGCCTGCATTCATTTCAAGGATGTTTTCAGCCAATGCCATGGCTAGTAACATACCAGTGTTTCACTGCATAGTAGTCACCACTACGTGATAGTTTTACCCCCTATTGTTTGGGTGGCAAAATTTGTATTTTTGTGTTCCTCACATAATGGTTGCAAAGGTAAGGCAGTTAAAAAACTATGAAATGGTGATCTCTGAAACTCGGATCTTCCCTCTTTTCACCTTTCTCCAAAGAGATCCATTTCGGATTTTGGAAATGGACTAAAAAGAAGGAAGAGAGGGAAGGAGAATCTTCTCTCCTCCTTCCTCCAAGACAGTGGTTCCCAAGCTTTTTTTTGACCAGGGACCACTTTGACCAGAGACCACACTCCAACATTAGTACCAAAACGATTACGAATCAGTTTTGGGTCAACTTTAGATTTGGTTTGGTTATTTGAGGTGCTGATTCAGAAAACTGCACTGGGTAGACCACATCAGCTCTAGTTTCTGATACAGAACATATGTCATCCAGTAGTTGCCATCTGCTCACCCACAGAAAACCATATTTAATAATCTAGAGCTGATGTGGTAGTAGTAATCTTTTGTGGATAGTCGGCCTCTCATCCCTCTTCTTTTGGAGGTAAGGCAGTTTATTTTGTTTAAAAAATCAGAAACCATAAAATCGAAGGCAATTTTTTTTATCACATAATAGTTGCATACCCATTTTCAAAATTTTTTTTTAAAAGGGCAACTATTATGCAATAAAATAAGGTAGGTTGTGGTATGATTACTATAGACAGCCCTCATCTGTTGTAAAAGTTAGGGTACAGGAATTCCATAAAATTGAGAAAAATGCAAATATCTTTAGGACCCAGCTGCATATACGTATATTTCTAATCTCCTTCAACCTTGAAAAGTGGCTGGGCTTTTTTTAGTATAAACATTATCAACAAATTCCCATCCTGATTGGCTCTCGCTCCTTCCATAGAACGATTGGACCAGATCGGATGACCAATACGGTCAGTAATAATTACCTGATTGAGCACTTGGAACTGCACCACCAGCTCCATGCTGGCCAGGGACCAGACCCTGACGCTGCCATCTTCTCCACACGTTGCACAGTGGGATTCCTGGGGGCTGAAGGCCACCTCGTTCACCTGTGGCAACACAAACTCAGCAATGTACCATAAAGTAGACCATTGGCACTCACTATCATTCATGAACAATGTGCTTCCTAGGAATTTTCTAAGCCCTCTATATGCTTCTACAGTATGCCTCCATCAAAAGTTATCATACAAGTCAGCTTGGAGGGCCTAGCAAATGTATAGAGACACCTCGGCTCTATGGTAACTCCCGGTAGAAGTCATTCATTACAATTTTGTTATTATGCAAGGTTTCCTGTTTGCAAAGTAAATCTTTCAATACGGGGATCATACTATACCTATATGTTGATTCAACAACCAATGATTGTAATTTTTTATACTGAAAGCAGAAGGGGTGGGCTGCAGACAACATGGGTGTGAGTGTTATATACCTTTTACTCAAATCTAATGCTCACCCTTTTGGGCAAAATTACATTCTCAAAATTAGGGTGCACATTAGATTCATGTAATATGGCAATCTTAGTGCTGAACCAAAACAAAAGGGAGAGTTGCCTCAAGAGCACATGGAGCTCCTATTTGAGGGACCTCATTTCTGATTTGTCATAGCTCATTCTGGGATTTGTAGTTTGGTGAGGCATCAGCATTCTTTGGCAGAGAAGGCTGAAGACCTTGTCAAACAACACCACCCATAACTCCACAGCATTGAACCAGGGCAGTTAAAGTGAAATCATCCTATAGCATAGATGCACCCCAAGGTTTTATTTTCCATTTTGGAAAGCTTTGGTGTTCTAAAACTTTTGTTTTAAAAGAATAATAATACACTATATTTATATTCCACCCTTCTCCCCTGGGGGACTCAGAGCAGATTACAACATTTACATACATAGGCAAACATTCAATGCCTTTACAATCAAAGACAAACAAAGGCAGAGGCTTCTCCTTTCATTTCCAGCTTCTGGAGGCCGTGCTCATCTCTGGCTCTGGAGAAGTGCTTTGCTCTATTTTCAAGTCGAGGAGCCTGCGTTGTCATCTCCTGGTTGTGTGGAACATCTCTTTGCCTTTTCCCACCGAAGTGGTACTTATTTATTTATTCACATTATATGTTTTTGAACTGCTAGGTTGGCAGTAACTGGAGCTGATAAATGGGAGCTCACCCCGTGTCACGGATCAAACTACCAACCTTCAGGTCAGCAGTTCAGCCAACCTTCAGGTCAGCAGTTCAGTAGCACAAGGGTTTAACCCATCACACCACTGCAGCTCCAGAAGGAATTCTAAGCAGGCAAGAACTGTAATGGCCAAATTGCAAAGAGTACACTTTTTTTGCTGCTGAACACACTATACATTAGGAAGCAAATACTTTTTTTAGATATCAGGTTTTTGAAAACTGAGGTGTGCAATAAATTCGATAGCACATTCGACTCAAATGGTATTATCTAATGAGGCTTTAGGACAGGGATAGTTGATTGAATTTCCAGTCTGAAGACCTGGAGGGTCATGCATTGGTTATCTTTGCTTTAGGGCAGGAATGTGCAAACCACAGTCCAAAATTTATATGCAGGTACACAACCATCTTATGATGGAACACCCAGAGATTTTTGGTCCTCAAAAATACTCTTGCAGGGATCAGGAGCACTTTTATCATATTTCTGGAGTCTTCTTTAAACCAAGAAGTAAACAAACAGGAAATTATATCTTGTCACTTCCTGTTGTTTAAAAGCAACCCTTCTCCCGGGACTAAAATAGACCAGAGGAGCTAAAGAGAGAGAGAGAAAAAACAGATGGGGTTGGCAGGCATTTGAGATAACAGGAAGCGGGAGAAGCAGCCTTCCAACTTCTCCTGTGAAATTCATGCATCCACATAGCCTCCCACAGTTGCACACACTTGCTTTAGAAGAATGATTTTGGTTTGATTACTTCAACAGCTTTTTTTTTTAAAAAAGGATACCTTGTTCTTGTGCCCACTGATCAGTCGGATACTGGTATTTTCTGCCCAGTTGATGTACCACAGTGTTCCAGCCGTCGTGCCAACGATCCCCATGTCCATGCAGTTGTCAAACATGGCGCTGACGATGGTGCCATCCAGGGTCATTTCCTGTTCCAAGAGAACGGAGCTCGAACTACAGGAAATGGCAGAAGAGGCAGGGAAAGCAATACATACAATAAATCAGAGATAAATCAGAGACCTCACAACCTCTGAGGATGCCTGCCATAAATGCAGGTGAAACGTCAGGAGAGAATGCTTCTGGAACAGGGTCATACAGCCCAGAAAACACATAACAACCCAGTGATTCCGGCTATGAAAGCCTTCGACAATATGTTAAATCAGAGATGGTTCAGGGCTGACGCTTACGTTGGGAAGGACCTTTGGGGCTTCAGCTGTGGATGGAGAGAAGGGGGTGTTATTACTGCTGTTGTTGTTGCCATGTGCCTTTATTTCTGATTTACGACAGCACAAAGGCAAGCCTATCACAGGTTTTTCTTTGGTAAGATTTGTTCGGGGGGACGACGACTTGCTTTTGCCTTTCTTTGAAACGAAGAGTGGGACTTGCCAAAGGTCTGTTGGGGGGTAATTTTAAAAAAGGAAAAAGCATTCAAAACAGGTAAAGCAGCGACAATAGCATTAGCAGCAATTCAGCAGATCAAAAGCTTCTAGTGCCAGCGGTACCGCCACTGAGCTTCAGAAATACAAGAGCAGAGTCAAGCGTAAAAAGCTATAAAAGACTTTACTGTAGATAGAAACATAACACATTGTAAATGTTTCCCGTTTACAATGAGGTATTTTATAGGTTTTTACACTTGACTCTGCTCCTGTATTTCTGAAGCTCAATGGCCGCACCGCTGGCACTAGAAGCTATCTAACTAGCTAACTCACGGCAGACATCTTTTCTCTCTCCATGCTCACAGAAAACAACAAAATGGAGGACCCAGAGCTTTCCATGTGCTCAGAAAAGAAGGCATGACCTTGAGAAGTATCAGTCTAACCAGAAACGTGATAGGAGAGAAAGGAAGACACTCAGACAAAGAGGCCAGTGGAGAAAGGGTTTTTCTCTACCAACTCACCTGCCTATCTTAAGTTTTGGTGAGGGCTACAAGCTTGTGCAGGAGGCCGTTAAGTTCCATCAAGGCCATCCACTGAGCTTCCATGGCTGAGCCAGGAATCAAACCCTGGTCTCTGGAGTCATAGTGCAATGCTCAAACCACTACAACAGTGATGGGCAACCTTTTGAGCTTGGTGTGTCAAAATTTGCCAAAAACCTGAGCATAACTTGGGTGGGATGTCAACTTCGAGAAAAAAAAACCCCATAATTTTGCAATATTTATCGTTTAAATAAGAAAAAATGTATATTCCATGCTGAGTTATGGAGTGAACAATGCTCAAACGTGCAGATGTTAAATTTGTAGAGCCTTTTACAAATTTAAGGATAGAATTAGATTGGCTCTTATAAGGTGTACTTCTCTGTATGCGGCCGCATGTGGCCACATGTCATCAAAATTAGCCATGCGTGTCAGTGCTGACACGTGTGTCATAGGTTCACCATCACGGCATTACACCATATTGGCTTTCCCACATGTAGACACAGCCCCTTTAAGCGTCCCTCCGTTACACCTCTTCTGTCCAGAATTAGCAATCATAAGTTAGAAAACGGCATTACCTGGCACTAGAGCCTTTCACTCTCAGCTCCTGGACTGCCACCACTGACCAAAGCTGGATTTTCTTGGTGTTGCTTCCGCTGACTAGTTTGTTCCGATGACACTGCAAGATACCTATAAAGGGAAAGGATAAAGGATAAAGGTTTCCTCTGACACTAAATCTAGTTATGTCTGACTCTGGGGAGTGGAGCTCATCTCCATTTCTAAGGCGAAGAGCCAGCGTTGCCCGTAGATGCCTCCAATGTCATGTGGCCAGCATGACTGCATGGAGCGCCGTTACCTTCCCGCTGAAGCGGTACCTATTGATCTACTCACATCTGCATGTTTTTGAACTGCTAGGTTGGCAGAAGCTGGGCCTAGAAATGGGAGCTCACCCCACTCTGCGGATTCGAACTGACAACCTTTCAGTCAGCAAGTTAAGCAGCTCAGCAGTTTAACCCACTACACCACTGGGGGATTTTATGTATTCCAGTTTCATCCATTGCATATAATTATTATAATATATTTTCTAGTTGTTCATCCACAATCTTTCATGGGCGTTTGGTGGTTTGACTTCCCCATTGCTTTTACACACAAAGCGGATAAATGGTTTCCATGTATTATCAAATATTTTTTCCCCTTTGCTAATCTTAATTTATAAGTTAACTTTCCCAACAGGGCATCTGATTTTAACCAAAGTTTTTTCCAGGTTCAGACTATTTCGAGTCTTGTGGCACATAACGTGAGCAATATAAAGCTTCTATTCATCACGTCCTTATTCTTACTTTTAAATACAGAAATCGTTAGGAGGACTCCCCTAAAGTGTAATGTTTCTCCCACTATTTGGCTGGTCTTTCTTGTTGCCTGAGAGAGAGACAGCAGTGAGGTCTGTGTGGAATTTGCTGAAATGGGAGCAAAGAATATCAACTTATACCTGAAAGCTAGATGCAACTTCTCGTTTCTGTGAATCCAGACAGATGTATACACTCACCAATCTCCCCATCGACAGCTTCCCAGGTCATGAAGCAACGGTTGGTCTCGGTGTCCCAGGCGCATATCTGCCCTGTATTTGTCCCTGTGTAAAGAAGGCAGCCGGTGCTATAGCACAGGGACGTCAGCTCCGCTGGACCGACCGCATCAGGGATAGGAACTTTGTGAACCTGGAAAAAGAAAGGATTTACTGGGAAAAGTTGGAAGGGACCCCAAGGGCCATCCAGCCCAGCCCCCTTCTGCCAGGCAGGAAAAACACAATCAAAACACGCCCGATAGATGACCATTCAGCCTCTATTTAAAAGCATCGAAAGAAGAAGCTTCCATCACACTCGGAGGCAGAGGGTTCCATTGTTAAACAGCTCTTCTGATGGTCAGGAGGTTCTTCCTGATGTTCAGGTGGAATTCCCTTTCTTATAACCTGAACCCATTGCTCCACTGAGACCAAGTCTCCAGGGTGGCAGAAAACAAGCCTCCTTCCTCTTCCTTATGACCACAATCTGCGCCAGAATCCCATTCTCTTCTAACGAGGCTGAAATCCAAAGCTTCTGACTTTATTGTGGTGCTATATTTCAAATACCACACGGTCCCTATCTCTGTTGCAGATATATCTCTGCACAGGGACTGTTCAGCTGCATTAAGATCACTACTGACTGAAAGGTCATGAGTTCGAAGCCAGCCTGGGTCGGAGTGAGCTTCCAGCCGATTTGTGTAGCTTGCTGTTGACCTTTGCTATGGAATGCCCTCCCGAAGGAAATTAGATCTGCCCCCTCCCTCCTGACCTTTAGGAAGCTAGTGAAAACCTGGTTGTGGAATGAGGCCTTTGCAGAATGATGGGGAAACCGATAACCGACCAAAATATTGACCACAATACATGGACTGAATATACGGACTGAGTTGGACATGTTTTTATCTTGGCGAACGGCTTTTGTGTATTTATTTTTATATGTTATTGTTAATTTACTGTTGTTATATATGGTTTTAGATTTCTACTGTTTAGCATTGAATTCTCCCAACTTCTGTATTCTCCCAACTTCTCTCTGAGCTAAGAGAGAATCAGAGGGGCTTCGCACAGCTTTCATCTGGTGTCGATATTTATGACCCTTGTCTCCTAAATCAAGGAGCAATTAGCGAAACCGGAGAGGCTGAGAAGCGTCCAAGACTATTTACTTTGCTGCCTTGCCTATATGGCAAAAACGCCGACCACATTTCTTTTTAAAACAACAAACTTTCTCTTTTTAAAACAACAAAAGAAGAGAAGAGATTCATGAAGCTTTATTAGTAAATGAGGGATGGTGTGTGGAGAGGAGTAGAGACAGCATGCTGTGAGTAAAACAGTGACGTATTACTCTATTGCTTTACTCCTCTGCTCCGGTAGGGAAAGAACTTAAAATCGGACTTAATCAAGCCAAACCTTGCCACCCGGAGCCCTTGAAACCTGCTCCTTTACCATTGACAAACTAGGGTCACGGAGGTGGCCTTGGGGAGTCAAACTGGAGGAGCATTGACGAAGAGCTGAATGAGGTTTGGAGAAGAAGGGAGGTAGAGCGACTGGGTGGCCGCCATTATTGGCTCTATTGCCAATATTGGCTCTATTGCCGCCATTATTGGCTCTTTTGGACGCTGCCGACGCTGCCGACGGGATTGTGGCCGCTTGAGAGGGGGACCGGTGCTATCCTGCTCTCTCCATTCTTACTTGGCTTGGATTGGAGCGCCGGTCCACCGCCATACCACTGAGCGACGGCTTGACGGACAACCCAGTGGGCTGCTTCGCGACCCCGCCTGGCGGCCTGCTTCGCGGCCTTGCTTTGCGGCCTTGCCTGGCTGCCGCCCCGTCGCTGCTGGCTCTGGTGGATGCCTGAGGGGCCTGCAGTGCTTGTGCGGCCTGTGCTGCAGTCGGGGGCTGCCGGGGCCGCCATTGTCGCCGATGCGAGCTTGCTATTCGGCCCGTTTCCAGCTGACGCCCCGCTGTTTCCAGCTGACAGCCTGCTATTCCGGCGCTCTAGCGCCCTGTGATCCTGTGATCCTCAGCGCCTCCAGACGCAAGTGCCCCCCGGCGCTCCAGCTCCAGCCCAGCGGTTGCTGGGCCCAGCGGCCGCTGCTACCGTCCGGCCTAGCGTTCAACGGAGCCTTCCATCGCGGAGCCTTCCATCGCGCCGGCCGGTGCGCCGGCCTCTAGCGCGCTTGTCTTCTGTTGTCCTTCCGCGTTCCTCCCGGCGCCCCAGCTCCAGCCCAGCTGTCCGGCCTAGCGCTCAGTTGAGCTCTTCCACCGCACCGACCTCTGATGTGCCGGCCTCCAGCGCTTCAGCTCCCCTCGCCCTCCCGGGATTAATCTGCCGCCATCGCACGAGATTCCATCACCTCGTTTGGTAACCATCAACTCCGGAAGATTGTGTTGACCACCTTTTGGCCTGATTATTACCATCCTCTGGCATCTCGTGGTTCCCAATTTTGGACAGATTATATTGACCATCGTTATCCGTCTGTGTTGACCTCCTTTAATTGTGTGGACCATCTCTTTTGATTGTGCTGACTATCTTCATCTGTGTTGACCTCCCTTGATTGTGCTGTCCATTTCTGACTGTGCTGACCACCGTCTTTGATTGTGCTGACCATTGTGCTGACTGAACGGAGAATTTAAGAACTAATTGTTGCACCGTTAGTAAGCATAGTGGACAAATATCCTGTGTGATTCTAGCACTTTACTCTAACAGCACCTTAACTTACTATCTCAGTGATTTGTTAGCTTTACTGAGCCTTAGCACTTTAATCGACTCAACCGTCTAGCATTGAACTCAGTCCTCCATGACGCACTTTAATTGAGCACTTTAGAGCCAATTGACCAAGCTATTGCACTTTAATTATCTATACCATCGTGTATGCTGATACAATTATCTATCTGCATTCTAAGAACTCCTGCACTTTAACTCCTGCACTTTAAGAACTCCTTTGACAGTGTTAATAGCTACCATCCATGTCACTACCCTTTCCCTGGCATCTGTTAATCTTGCTGCTAATTGTTTTTGGTAGAGAAGGGGAACGGAGTAGATTAGAAAGACCGGAGTTTAACATAATAGGAGTAGGAAATGAACGGAAGGCAGGACTATGGCATCCTGGAACTATAACAAACCATACAGTCAACAATGAATTATGGGTAGATAGTTTGGCTGCCGAATGCGTCATGGAGGAGGGAGAGGGTTCCGTTAACCGGGGAGCCCCCATAGAAGTCGTGGTGGGGAGGGGGAGATACGGGAAAAGGAGACCTTTAATTCGGCCTAGGGAATGTGGAACAACATTAGTAATCCCAAGTCGGTCTCCTGATATGGTAAGTCGGTGTAACCAGGATGGCGGTCCCTCCGAATTGAAAGTGGTGCTGTTGAACGCCAGATCTGTCAACGGTAAAACAACTTTCATCCAAGATTTAATCCTGGATGAACGGGCAGATCTGGCGTGCATCACAGAGACCTGGTTGGACGAATTGGGAGGTGTAAATTTAACCCAGCTTTGCCCACCAGGTTTCTCTGTGCAGCACCAGCCGAGATCCGGAGGGCGGGGAGGCGGAGTTGCAGTGGTCTATAGAGATTCCATTCTTCTGACCAGGGCCCCCATCCCGCAGTCAACAAATTTTGAATGCGTCCACCTGAGGGTGGGTGACCGGGACAGATTAGGGATTCTGTTAGTGTACCGTCCACCTCGCTGCACTACAGACTCCCTGACTGAGCTAGCGGGGGTGGTCTCGGACCTGGCGTTGGAGTCCCAACGGCTGCTTGTGCTGGGGGACTTCAATGTCCATGCCGAGGCCGCCCTATCGGGAGCGGCTCAGGACTTCATGTCTACCATGGCAACCATGGGGCTGTCCCAACAGGTATCTGGCCCCACCCACAGTGCTGGACATACATTGGACTTGGTTTTCTGTCAGGGATGGGAGGAAGGTGGCGGTGTTGAGGAGTTATCCATCTCTCCGTTGCCATGGACCGACCACCACCTGGTCAGCTTTAGACTCACTGCACCCCCTAACCTCCGCAGAGGTGGAGGACCCATTAAATTGGTCCGCCCCAGGAGGCTTATGGATCCGGATGGATTCCTGATGGCTCTTGGAGAATTTCCCGCCACCTCGGTTGGTGATCCTGTTGATGCTCTGGTCGCTCTCTGGAATGGGGAGATGACTAGGGCAATAGACACGATCGCTCCAGAACGTCCCCTCTCAGGTAGCCGAGCTAAACCAGCTCCTTGGTTCACCGAGGAGCTGGCAGCGTTGAAGCGAAAGAAGAGGGAACTAGAGCGCGTGTGGCGTTCGGATCCGAGCGAGCCAAATCGAACACGGTTTGTGTCCTTTTTAAGGGCATATGCCACGGCAATAAAAGCCGCAAAGAAGACTTTCTTTGCGGCCACTATTGCGTCTGCAAAGAACCGTCCGGCTGAACTGTTCCGAGTTGTCAGAGGCCTATTAAAACCCGCCACTCAGGATGGGTGCCCTGATGACTCGGCAGCTCGCTGCGAAGCCTTTGCTCGGTTCTTCGCAGACAAAGTCACTTTGATCCGCTCTGGACTGGATACCATATTAACGGCAGTATCTGAGGATGTAACACGAGCATCTGCTTGTCCGGTTTTGATGGATTCATTTCAATTGGTTCAATCCGAGGATGTGGACAAGGTACTTGGAGGAATGAGAGCTACCACATGCATCCTAGACCCCTGCCCATCCTGGCTTCTAAAGGAGGCCAGAGGGGGATTGGCCGAGTGGGTGAAGGTGGTGGTTAATGCCTCCCTTCGGGAGGGCAAAATTCCAGCCAGCTTAAAGCAAGCTGTGATAAAACCGCTGTTGAAGAAACCATCACTGGATCCCACTCAATTCGTCAACTATCGGCCTGTTTCCAATCTCCCCTTTTTGGGCAAAGTCATGGAACGTGTGGTGGCCTCACAACTCCAGGCATTCTTGGTAGACACGGATTATCTGGATCCGGCACAGTCTGGCTTTAGCCGGGGCATGGTACCGAGACAGCCTTGGTCGCCTTAGTGGATGATCTGCGTCGGGAGCTCGACAGGGGGAGTGTGTCCCTGTTGGTGCTGCTCGACCTCTCAGCGGCCTTCGATACCGTCGACCACGGTATCCTTCTGGGACGCCTCGCGGGGATGGGTCTTGGAGGTACTGTTTTGCAGTGGCTCCGCTCATTCCTCGAGGGTCGGTCTCAGAAGGTGTTACTGGGAGACTCCTGTTCAACCCCACAACCTTTGTCTTGTGGGGTTCCTCAGGGTTCAATACTGTCTCCCATGTTGTTTAACATCTACATGAAGCCGCTGGGCGAGATCATCCGGAGTTTCGGAGTGTGATGTCATCTGTACGCAGATGATGTCCAACTCTGTCACTCCTTTCCACCTGCTACTAAGGAGGCTGTCGAGGTCCTGAACCGGTGCTTGGCCGCTGTGACGTTCTGGATGAGGGCGAACAAATTGAAATTGAATCCAGACAAGACAGAGGTCCTACTGGTCAGTCGCAAGGCCGAACAGGGTATAGGGTTACAGCCTGTGTTAGACGGGGTCGCACTCCCCCTGAAGACGCAGGTTCGCAGTTTGGGTGTGATCCTGGACTCATCGCTGAGCCTGGAACCCCAGGTTTCGGCGGTGACCAGGGGAGCATTCGCACAATTAAAACTTGTGCGCCAACTGCGACCGTACCTTGGGAAGTCTGACTTGGCCACGGTAGTCCACGCTCTGGTTACATCCCGTCTTGACTACTGCAACGCTCTCTACGTGGGGTTGCCTTTGAAGACAGCCCGGAAGCTCCAATTAGTCCAACGGGCGGCAGCCATGATACTAACAGGAGCGGGCGCAGGGAGCACACAACTCCTCTGCTGCACCAGCTCCACTGGCTGCCGATTGCTACCGGGCTCAATTCAAAGTGCTGGCGTTGGCCTTTAAAGCCCTAAACGGTTCTGGCCCAACTTATCTATCCGAACGTATCTCAGCCTATCAGCCCACCAGGACCCTAAGATCTTCTGGAGAGTCCCTGCTCTCTATCCCGCCGGCTTCCCAAGTGCGGCTGGCGGGAACGAGAGACAGGGCCTTTTCTGTGGTGGCCCCTCAGCTTTGGAACACCCTCCCTATAGAGGTACGATCAGCCTCCTCGCTGATGGTGTTTCGGAAGAGATTAAAAACATGGATGTTTAAACAAGCATTCGGTTAATCCGTTGCAATGTATATTGATGACTAAAGGACTGGTAATCATGGACGACGAATTTTGGACTGTGATTTTAGTTACGAGATGCATGGGATTATTATTGGTGGCCCAATAATTTGTATTGAATGTGTTTTTATGTTTTTAAATTGAATACTGTTTTTAATTGTTGTAAACCGCAATGAGTCGCCGACTTAGGCTGAGATATTAGCGGTATACAAGTGTATAAATAAATAAATAAATAAATAATAAATTCTTGCTGTTAGCCGGTCTGAGTCTCTCTACGGAGGTAGAGAAGATCAGGATATAAAAGTTTTAAATAAATAAATAAATAAATAAATAAATTTGCAACCCAAAAGACAGTTGCATCTGTCAAGTAGGAAATTTAACAAATTTATGAGGCCATAAAAAATCTCCAGCAAAAAAGCATGCGGGGAATGCAGACAGTACTTCATCACTGCCGCAGATTGACGGTGAAGCAACAGCTCCCCTGGTGGCCAGAAAATTGAAATGTTAAATAGCCTCTGACTGTCTGTCTATATGTGTTGTGTGTCTATGGCATTGAATGTTTGCCATGTATATGTACATTGTAATCTGCCCTGAGTCCCCTGCGGGGTGAGAAGGGCGGAATATAAAATACTGTAAATAAATATAAGTACTGTAAATAAATATCCCAGGACTTTGTGAAACTGTGGAAAGCAGTTGACCCTACTGAAATGAAGGACCTCTGGATCATGAATCCCATAGAATCAAGCTGCAGGGCTTAGAAAATGCTCATAGAGGACATATTTTGTTAGAAGCAGATAAATAAAACTGCAAATACAGAGGCCATATTGTACTTCAAACCACCACCCCTCATGCTGGGCTACAATTCAGTTGCACAAAGCCTGGCCCAGTGGTTCTACAGCCCAAGTTCTGCAAAAAGAGCCTTCCCTATCCAAAATGACACACTGCAGCTCCCATCACTCACAACAAGCATGGCCATTGGGAAAGGCTACGATGTGATGCCAGGGAGACATACCTTTAGGCTGATGTCCGCTCCCTGTTGCTCCGTGAGCCAGAAGGTCACAGTTCCTTTTCCAACACAAGCCAGGTGCCCCACTGATGTCAGGCTAAAGGCTACTTCGTGGACTGGCTCCGAGAAGCGGGTGGAGGACATCAGGTCATACGTGTGGGCATTCCACAGGGCCAGGACCCTATCCACGTAGTCACCTGCATTCCAATATATGTAAAGAAAGAAAGAAAAATATTACAATTATACTCCATTTTTCCACTCAAGCTCAAAGCAGTTTACACAAAGATGCATTAATGCACACTCCCCCAGTGCTGCTGAATTAGCTACAGGACATGCTAAATGTTTTCCAAGAAACCTTGCAAAACAGTACAGGGAGCCCATCTATATCCTATGGGCAACTAGCAAAAATTCTCGAATAATAATAATAATAATAATAATTTTACAATACAATACAATACAACAGCCAGCGGAGTGTCTGCTGTGGACTCATCTTGTTGTGTTTCTAATAATAATAATAATAATAATAATAATAATATATTATTATTATTATTATTATTATTATTATTATTATTATTATTATTAATCTGCCTCTACTTTTGGCTCATTTCTGCTCTTTGCCATTAAGATTTATAGCTTGCACAATGAATGAAAGTGCAACAGGCCCTAATCAGGAGAACATAAGCAACATACATAAAAGTTGTTGGGTGAGTGGGTTTATTAACAAAAGACCCTCCTCATAAATGTACAGCAGAGTAACTTAACAGCAACAGAGTGACCCACCAGTAGCCCAAAGTGATAAAAAGAACAAAAACAACAGACCAATGCTATATCTTCCACGGGAGGCTTTTCTTTATAGCAAAATGATATGGTTGCACTATTTACAATAAGGTTTCCACAACACAAATGAAGCTCAGCCTTCACATTGGAGCTTCACACACAAGGCCTTTTCACACTGAGGCCTACCTTACAATCAGGCCTACTAACAATGAGACTGATTCCCTCACTGAGGCGATCTCTCACACAGAGAGACTTCTCTCACACAGTTTTACATCACACTGAGGTTTACCTCAAACTCCTCAGGTCAACACTAGCCTTGGCCCACTAACTCTGACAGGCTTCGGCCTATTCACTCTTTCAGTGTTTGACTCACACTTTTGTAATCAAAAATACCCAGAGAATTTTTAATATTTCTAACAAAGGTAAAGGTTTTCTCTGACATTAAGTTTAGTCGTGTCCAACTCTGAGGGAGGTGCTCACCTCCATTTCTAAGCCAAAGAGCCGGCGTTGTCCATCGACACCTCCAATGGAGCGCTATTACCTTCCTACAGAAGTGGTACCTATTAATCTACTCACATTTGCATGTTTTTGAACTGCTAGGTTGGCAGAAGCTGGGGCTAACAGTGGGACCTCACCCCACTCCCCGGATTTGAACCGCCAACCTTTCGGTCAGCAAGTTCAGCAGCTCAGTGGTTTAACCCGCTGCACCATCAGGGCGCCATAAGCACCATGAGAGCTTGTAAATACTGAATTTCTGGTTCTCATTCTGGAAATGAAAGCGCACACTAGGGTTTTATCTTCGATCCTTCTTCCATCTATGAAAGACTGACTGATTTCCTTTCTTTACTAGAGAAAGGAATATCATATTGGGAGTTTCTGATTCTTCTGTTCTCTTTCATCAAGAGATGGAACCCTTTCCTTCTTACTCCTGAAGTGTTTTTCTTCTTCCCTTAGAAGTAACTACATATATGACACTGTAGGTGAAGAAAAGGGTTAATTTGGGGGACATTTCAACAAGCAGAAAATTCCCAGTGTTAATGTACTGCAGAGTTTGACTGAGATCGTGGTTTCTGGTTTGAACCATGAAACTCCTTGTGTGGATCATGGCCTCCTGATCTATTCTGAAGGCTATTGTGAGAATGGAGTGAAGAAGAATAACAAGAGCCATGCATGCTGCCTTGAGCCCACCAACAAGTAAACGAAATGAGCTCCACGTGATTTTACACACCCAGCGTGACGAGGAGGCGGTCGTCTCGAGAGTAGGCCATGGCTTGCACTTGGGTCTCGTGGTGGAAGAGGACCTTCCGGCAGGCCTTGTCCTGGACGCTCCAGATGCGGATCTGGCAGCGCGAGTCTCCGCTGCCTTGACCGGAGGCAGAAGCAAGGACCTGGAAATATACTCTATGGTCACTGTTTGAGATTCAGAAATAACATAAGAGGGACCAAGGGAAGTGGACTCAACTGGCTGTTCGGTGATGCTAACCCAAACTCCAGGAGAACCTCTTCCACCATAGAAGGCACAATGGTTTGAGCAAAAAAGTTCCATACCTGGGCATCATGGCTGACCACCAACGTGGATATCTCTTCTGGGTGACCAAGCCAATGCTGTTGGGCCCCCGAGTGCAGGTCTTCCACAATGAGCACGCAGCCACAGCTGTAGGCAAAGAAACCTGGGAAGGGGATGGACATTTTGTTGGGTTTCATCCCTGGCTGCACAAGTCTCCAACTCTCAATGAGTAGCTAGCCTGGATATTAGGGATTCTTCCCCTATTTCCTGTAGCTAGGTTGTTTAAGAAGGGGTTAAAAGGAGGATTGTCTTACTGATCTTTACATGGCACTATCTCCTCCCCATTTGAATACCTAGGAATGTAATCCCACAGGGAAACGTAACTTCCTCTTTTAAAGGTATTTTTATTGCCCTGGTCTGTCTCCATGTGGCCTGTCTCCATTTTCTGGTCTCTTCTCCTTTTGTCTTCTCTAGAGTGAGGAAGCATCTTGCCATTGTCTAAGCAAGGCAAAGATGTAGCAGATATAGTTACTTTTATTATTTTTCCTTTTTCTTTTTCCTTGGATGATAGCTCAGTGAAGCTAGTTAGCTCCAAGAACTTTTCCTATCTAGAATGGATTTCTTTTATCTTCAATAAACATATTATTTTTGATCCTATGAGTTGTGGATCTGCAATCCTGTTCCATCCTGCTGAATGGAAGTCAATCATTGCTCACTACATGTCAGTTTCTGCTGTTTATATACTGTGCATCCTGCACTCTGCTATATTTTTGGTGGAATCACCCCCAGAGAGGGTTATTTTTGAGCCTAACAGCTCTTGATTCCCAACACATTCAGGCTATGGAACAGGACACGCAAAAGAGATTGAGGCCTTTTAAATCACAACACACAGTTTGTACTAATTTGGAAATCATGTGAAACAAGTAGGCACTGACCAAAGTATTCTATTACCATACTGGACAGAACTGCTGTTGACAACTCCAATTCCCCTGACATTAAGTCTAGTTGTGTCTGACTCTGGGGGGTGGTGCTCATCTCCATTTTTAAGCAAAAGAGCTGGCGTTGCCCGTAGACACCTCCTAGGTCATGTGGCCAGCATGACTGCATGGTGCGCTGTTACCTGCCTGAAGAAGTGGCACCTAATGAGCTACTCACATTTGCATGTTTTTGAATTGCTAGGTTGGCAGGAGCGGGGCTAACAGCAAGAGCTCATTCTGCTCCCTGGATTCGAACTGCCGACTGTTCAGTCAGCAAGTTCAGCAACTCAGCGGTTTAACCCACGGCACCACCAGGGCCCCCCAAAATAGTAAAGATCCTACGAATTTGACCAGCTTACATTCCCAAAACACAGGTAAGCTTTTACAGCCCTTCACCTTTGTCATTGTCTATTTTGAGGCCCCCAGAAATCAAGGACTTGTCCTCCTTCTATTACGAGCCAAGAACCAAATCCTTGGGTTCTTTTTTGTTTTATCTACATTCCAATAATGCCCCAGAAACAAAGCCTGGATGCTTTGTTACAAACATCTTCTAATCAGTCTCCAAAACAAAAGGATTTTTGATCACCTTAACTCCCGCCAAAACTGCTTAAAACCATCTCCAATGCACTGTGCAATTCTAGCGTGACTGTTCATAAGTCATACAGCATTTTTAGGAGAAAGATGGTAACCAATCTGATTATAAAGTCTGGAATTGTATTATTCAAGTACAGCCAATACCTGTATCAGGATTCCAGACCATGTTTCCCCGGCCATTCCCATTGTACCCAATGACAGTTTTGAGCTTCAGGACTTCGTTACTGGTTAGAGGAGAGGAAAATGCCTAAGGGGAAAAACATACACATAGCTTCAATAAAAATTGAGAAGAGATTTGAGACTGTTTCCTTACAACACAATAATATATTTTCCACATGAAAAAGGGCTCTTAGAAACTGATTGGAAAGTAAACTTCAAACTTATTTTTCTCAGGAACTATTCCATCAAGTCTTTCTGCAGATGTAAATGCCAACTTGGAGTTAGCTTGTATGTATGCATGCATGTACACAGACTATGATCCTCCAGGGGCCCCTGGTGGCACAGTGGGTTAAACCTCTGTGCCAGCAGGACTGAAGACTGACAGGTTGTAGGTTCGAATCCGGGGAGAGGCGGATGAGCTCCCTCTATCAGCTCCAGCTTCTCATGTGGGGACATGAGAGAAGCCTCCCACAAGGATGATAAAAACATCAATTCATCCGGGCGTCCCCTGGGCAACGTCCTTGCAGACGGCCAATTCTCTCACACTAGAAGCAACATGAAATTTCTCAAGTCGCTCCTGACACGACAAAAAAAATAAATCCTCCAGGTATTTTCAAACTGCAGTTCCCACAATCCCACAACACTGATGACAACACAAGGGTTATGCTTCCTTTTCTCCATTAATTGTTCCTTCACACATTTCCACGGCAGTCCTTACCTTTGCAGGTGCGGATGCTTTGAAACGAGGACAGAAGTGCCGGTAGCAATCTGGCCGGACATTGGTCTCGGGCACAGATCCTTTGTTTTCCTTTCCACTTTCTAGAAAATAAGAACAAAAAAGAAGCGTTCAGCACTTCTTGCACTTTCAGAATTCTTTCAGGCTGGAATTCCCAACATGTAAGTGGCTGGAGGACGGAGATGGGACACTCATAGAATTATAGAATCAAAGAGTTGGAAGAGACCTCATGGGCCATCCAGTCCAACCCCCTGCCAAGAAGCAGGAATATTGCATTCAAATCACCCCTGACAGATGGCCACCCAGCCTCTGTTTAAAAGCTTCCAAAGAAGGAGCCTCCACCACACTAAACATCATCCTCATGTGTTTTACTACCCAATTTTAAATTTACATTTTACATTAGTATTATGTTGTATTTAATGTGTTGTCAAAGGCTTTCATGGCCAGAATCATTGGGTTGCTGTGAGTCTTCCGGGATGTATGGCGATATTCCAGAAGTATTCTTTCCTGACGTTTCGCCCACATCTGTGGCAGGCATCCTCAAAGGTTATGAGGTCTGCTGAAAACTAGGCAAGTGAAGTTTATATACCTGTGAAATAATGTCCAGGGTGGGAGAAAGAACTCTTGTCTGCTTGAGGCAAGTGTGAATGTTGAAGCTGGCCATCTTGATTAGCACTGAATGGCCTTGTATTGTATTATATTGTATTTATACTATTCTATGATTTTTAAAAAAAATATTATTCTTTTTATCTATGTATTTTAGCGATACTGCCTTGAGCTGGGTAACAAATACTAATACTAATACTAGTACTAATAATAATTTACCATATTTATTTTATTACAGTAGCAACAAAAAATACATAATTTTCACCTGAGATTCTGAAATGCATCCCATTTTTAAAAAATGTTTATATAGGGAAAAGTGTGTCTTAAATTTGAAGAAATACAACTGCCCTGAGTTGCCCTTGGGCTGAGAAGGGCAGTATATAAATGTGGTTAATAAATAAATAATAAATAAATACAGTATTATTATTCCAAATCTATAAATACGGGTAGCATTTGTATGTTGGTCAGACTCCTGTGACCCTGCCCCCCCCCCCCTGATATTTTCTGTCCAAACTGTCACTCTTCTTTTCACAGAATCACAGAGTTTGAAGAGGCCTCGTGGGCCATCCAGTCCAACCCCCTGCCAAGAAGTAGGAAAAGTGTATTTAAAGCACCCCCGACAGATGGCCATCCAGCCTTTCTTTAAAAGCCTCCAAGGAAGGAGCCTCCACCACACTCTGGGGCAGAGTTCCACTGCTGAACAGCTCTCTCTCACAGTCAGGAAGTTCTTCCTAATGTTCAGGTGGAATCTCCTTTCCTGTAGTTTGAAGCCACAGACCCGCATCCTAGTCTCTAGGGCAGCAGAAAAAAAAGCTTGCTCCCTCCTCTCTATTACTTCCCCTCACATCTTTATAAATGTATCCTCTCATGATGGAAAGAAGTCAAAAATAACTTCAATATGGACAGTCACACATGTAGCTGGAAAGTGTAAATGGAAGGTGCAAGGCCCTTGTTTTATTTTATTTTTAATTAAACACATTACACAGAAAAAAATTCATAGCCAACCCATATGTACAGCCAGCATCAGGGATGGAAAATATGTGGCCCAAAAACGAAAACTGGATGGCAACTCACTCTCACTAGTGGACAACCTAGTTGGGAATGATGGGAGTTGCAGGCAACAACTGTGTGTGTGTTTACATAGTGACTCCCAATATTGGTACTGTTGTTGATATACATCTATAAGGCAACTTCATGTTGTATTGACCCCCTCATGTTTATTCTGAGGAGGTTTCTCATGGCATCCAGCTGAGGCTGGGAGAGCGTCCTTTGTCAAAGTCACCTAGTGAGTTTCCATACCTGAAACCTCTAGTCTCTCAAATTCCATCGGACCATTCTGGTTCTTCAATATCCTGACCGACCCACACTGAATCATTCACTCACCAATGTCACATTGTATATCCTGACCTAAGTAGTGCAAGCGTTACAAAACAAACAAATAAACAAGGAATTTCAACCCACCGTTTGCTGCCTGGTTATGCGGCTGGATAACTTCAGGCTTTGCCAACAGTGGCTCTTGGCTACAAATAGCTTCTTTCAAACCGGGGGCTGAGGAGACTTTGTTCCCGTCGATAACTTCTCTCCCTTTGACCTTCTGGTTCACTTCCTTCTCTTCTTCGGATTCAGAAAATGGGTCTAAAAGAGGACAAATGAAGGGCAGAGATCAGGAGGAGGACATTTGCCATTATTATTGCAGCTGAGACTAATCATAGGACAGAGTCCGTTCCATAACTACAAGAGAAAATTTCTTAGAGCTGAATGAGCAAAGTGTGGCCTATGAGCTGCTTTTGTGGCCACCAGAGAAAACCAAAAGTACAAAAAAGATTTTAAAAATTGTTTTGTTCCAAAATGTCCCCTAAGGAGCATGGAAGACATTTCCATCACATCTGGACAACCCTGAGGCTCCCAAGGGTTGAAAGGCTTCGAATTTTGAAAAACATTTTTTGTCTCATAATATTTTCAAGAATACCCCAAAATATAGTGCAAATGCCATCATGTTCCTAAAAATTGGTTTGGCGAGTACTGTTCTTCAAGGCCTTCTGTGTGGCTAAAGCACCCCCTTGGCCTTTCACCATTGCTCATCCATGCCTTAGGAGATATAAGATGTCATGTGAGAAATATATTCTCTCTGCTCCTCTTTCACATAACAATATTGTCTTCTGGTTGTTGAAGAGTTTTTTCGGGCTCTATGGACATGTTCTAGAGGCATTCTCTCCTGACATTTCGCCTGCATCTATGGAAGCATCCTCAGAGGTTGTGAGGGAATATTGTCTTCCTTCCTGACTTTTGCTTTAAATACAGTAGAGCACTACGAAATGGACGAAGTTCACCAGATTCACCTATAAGCCTTCTGAAAGTAACACTGAAAACAGAAGCCAGGCCAAAATCTCAAGGAATCATGTAACTTTATCTTCTATCCAGTGTTGCTTTCACTAAAGATAACTGGAGATTAGGACGAAGGATAATTGGAGACTAGGACGAAGAACAATGGCTTCAAACTACAGGAAAGGATATTCCACCTGAACATTAGGAAGAACTTCCTGACTGTGAGAGAGAGCTGTTCAGCAGTGGAACTCTCTGCCCCAGAGTGTGGTGGAGGCTCCTTCTTTGGAGGCTTTTAAACAGAGGCTGGATGGCCATCTGTCAGGGGTGCTCTGAATGTGATTTTCCAGCTTCTTAGCAGAATGGTTGGACTGGATGGACCTCAAGGTCTCTTCCAACTCTAGGATTCTAAAATTACAGGGACACAGTGTATTTTCGCTATAATCCTCATTCCAAACTACTGGGAATAGGAAAACACAGAGTGGCTATGTTTTGGCCAATCTAGGAACAGGACAAAAAGGGCATAAAGGTATGGAAGTTTAAAGATCCCCCAAAGAAGTTTTATTTCCATTTAACAATTGCAGCTTCCCGCCACTCACCCTTGTCTTCTGCCAGCCGTTGGATAGAGCTGAGTTCGAGGCACGGAGGAGACACAACGGTCGGCACAGGGACCAGCTGGCGAGGAGAGTCCGTGGCTATGGAGGTGACGTCTTCTTGCAATTGTTCCAGATCAGATTCTGTAAACAGAGAAGTGCTTACAAAAGTGAGCATGAATTCGTGTAGTGATACCAATGCTAGGCTGAGGAAATCTAGGTTTAAATCCCCATTAAGTTACCAATTTTGTTGTGCGGCCTTGGGCCAGTCTCTTTCATTCTCTGCCTAACCCACAGGGTTGTTGTGAGGATAAAACTGGGGACAAGAAATGCCTCAGACACATTTTCATGTTTTTGAAGCATAAAAATAATAATAAACAAACGAAACAATCCCCTTTAGTGGGTACAGACATCAGCTGTTCTGGCCTTATTAAGATTATTTTCACTATGGATTTTAAATTTATGTCCTGTGTTTACTGTATTTTAATATTTGTTCTGCGTATTTTAATATATGGATTTAATAGAAATACGTTTTTGTCAGAAATATTAAATATTAGTTAGGTATTTTTAATTACAAAAATGTGAGTCAAGCACTGAAAGGGTTAAATGGATGCAGTGACTCAGAGAAGCTGCAGTTCAGTATAAACAGGTGTGTCTCTTGCTTAGTAATCTGAGGCAGTCAATCTGAGGTAAACCTCAGTGGGAGAAAGATCTCAGTCTGTAGGCCTCACAGTGTGAGGTAGGCCTTAGTCTATGAGAAGGCCAAGTATGAGAGAAGTCTCCAGTGAGAAGGCTGCTGAGTGTAAAACTACTATGTATTTGTTTATTTGTGTTCTAGTTCTTGTAAATAGTGCAACTATATTATTTTGCTACAAAAAAGCTTCCTATGAAAGAGATAACATTGGTATGTGCGTTTTTGTTCTTTTTGTCACTTTTGGTTACAGGTGCTGGGTCACGTTGCTGCTAAGTTACTCTGTTGTCCATTTATGAGGAGGGTCCATTCTTCTATACCATTCTTCTAATTGAATTTCTTTTTTTTCTTTCCAGTTTTTTACTATTATACATCTTATACATTTTGTTTGATAAATTTATAAAAAAAAAAAAAGTAAATTAATGGAGAACATTTTCTAGAATAGTGATAATAATAATTTTATTTCTCACTTATCTGGTGGCATAACTTTACAACAACGCAAAACTTACCAACTTCAGGAGAATTCAGGGACTCAGAGGAATGAATTCTGTAATAGAAAGGGGCAGAGTTAATATCATGGAGGGAAAAAAATACAAAGCATAAATACACAAGCATTCCCAAAACAAAGAGTTTCAATGCGAAAACATGGAGTTCTTACTCGTCTTTTGAGGATTCCTCTGCAAACACACCTAGGAAGTCCCACAGAAAGATGGCATCCCCAACGCTGATGACTTGTCTTTGGTCAGGAGTGAACCTCACCTGTCGTATAGGTTCAGAATGGCCAATAAACACCTGAAAGAAATGCATAAACATGGCATTATAACACCATAGAAGAGGAAGAGACCCCAAAGGCCATCTAGTCAAACCCTCTTCTGCCAGGCAGTAAAAGCACAATTCAAGCCCTCCTGACAGATGGCTATACAGCCTTTGTTTAAAAGCCTCCAAAGAAGGAACTTCCATGAGACTCTGAAACGAAGAGTTGCACTGTTGAACAGCTCTTCTTATGGTTGAGAAGTTCTTTCTAATTAATGTTCAGGTGGAACTGCCTTTCCTGTCATTTGAACCCATTGCACCATTGAGTCCTAGCCTCCAGGGCAGCAGAAAACAAGGCCTGCTCCCTTTTCTTTAATGGCATCCTTTCAAATATTGAAACATAGCTCTCACGTCCCCTCTCAGATTTCTTTTCTTCTTCTTTTTTTAAATATATCTTTATTAAATTTTCAGTATACATTTAAAATATAGATATGTGGCCGCAGCCACTGAGAGATGTGAGAACTAAGATATCTCCGAAAAAAAAGTGAAATAGTAGAAAGCAAAAGAGAAAGTAAAGAGGATAGAAAGGAATAGAGAAACAATAAAGTAATAAATATAAGTTCAGGACCCATCACCAATTAAAAAAAAGGGGTAGAAAGAAATTTGTTTTCGACTTCCTGAGGTCTTCCAGTGGTCTACTCTACTGATCTTCTCATCTTCATTTCTTTTCCTTCTCTCCTCATATTCTTACGCTTTCTCTTCCTTCTAACTAAACAGATCATTTCAGTCACTCTTCTATGGACACTTTCCAGCTTAGAGTCAATATAGCTCTTGAATTGTGAGGCCCAAAACTGGACACAGGGTGATTCCAGGTGAGGTCTGACCAAAGACTGATAATATATTTCTAATTCTACTGCTTCGAAGATTTCCTCCAATCTGATCCATGTCTTTATTTAGTCAATCCCTCAAGCACTCATCCTAGTTTGCTGTGGTTCTGTTAAACCATAAAATTAACCTGAATGGGGTTTTGAAAATTTTAGTTTTCCCTTCTGGGCACATTACCTGAGAGTTGATGTCAAATCTCATCCCATAATCCCACACTTTGATTGCTCTGTCGCCAGCTGTCAGAAGGTACCGGGCATCAGGGCTCATCGACAACGAAGAGCACGACTGTTTGTGTACTTGTGAGATCTGCAATTGACAAAAACCCAAAGGAAACCCTTGAAATTAGGAGACTCATCCCAGAACACACAAAAAGGCCACAGGGGTTCCCTTACCACTCTGATCAAGCGGCCCGTCTTGGCATCCAGCACAAGGACCTTTTGGGAGGACGTCGTCACCAGGAGATGGCCCAGAGGGAAAGGGGCGAAGCAGAGCCTCATGGCCGCATCCAAAGCGGTGCTGTCCAGGTCCAATATGCTCACATCTATTCTCAGTAGCTGTCAGGAGGAGATAAGACAGAGAAGATTAAAATGATGAAACCCCATTGACTGGAATGAAATATTTATTTGTTTGTTTGATTTATATGCTGTTTTCTCAACCCCTAGGGAGACTCAAAACGGTTCACAACAAAGCGAAAGGTAAAATTCAATGCCTCACAATATAAAATGTATTACATAACTAAAATAACATAATAGAATAAAACTAATAAACTATAAAACATTGGATGTAAACAAACATAAAACGTAAGTCATTCAACATTACCTTGTCTAAGGTATGAGCGTCCATGAGAGTCACAATGTATTGGGAAGGCCCCACAAAGGACAAGAGGCGCCCATCGCAACTGACAGACAATGCGTCAGGACCGTGGCCAGCGTCTGGAGACACCACATTCACTGAAGGCAAAGCAATGGGTTATTACATATGAAAGAAGTCATGAAGTAAAGAAAAATGGGAAAAGAAAGAACAACCAAGGCATTTTGCAAAATCATCATAATGCCGTAAAAAGAGTTTACCCAATGATTTTATCTCAGAAAAGGACACAGGCAGGCTGAAGGTGCAGTAAGACTGTACTTGGGTCCAGTCATATAAACAGAATACCACCACCATCTCATAAATTGTTTCTTATGTTAGAGTCTAGACGGGAAAAATGACTAAAAATAAGCTGGGTTTCAATAGAACACTGAGCCAGGTTGTAGTTGAATGGAGAAACGTATAGGCTGTTGTAGTTCAGCCCATGATGGTGCCTGATATTACTGTTGGTGAGAATGGGGATTCTGGGTCTGAGATTTTAAGTCCTGAAACTGAGCAGTCTGTGTCTCCAGCTAGTCAAGGACGCATTCCAGAGAATGCAGCGGAGCCAATCTCTAGGGAAAGGAGTTCAGAGGCTGCTAGTTTGCCACAGTGCACAATTCAAAGTGCTGGCTTTAGCCTATAAAGCCCTAAACAGTTCTGGCCCAGCTTACTTGTCTGAATGTATCTCTCCTTATGAACCATCTAGTACCCTAAGATCTTCTGAGGAGGCCCTGTTCTCGGTCCCGCCTTCTTCACAGACTCGGTTGGCGGGAACAAGGGACAGGGCCTTCTCAGCGGTGGACCCTCGGATATGGAACACCCTCTCTAGGGATATCAGATCAGCCCCCACCCTCCTAATTTCAAAAAAAGTTAAAACCTGGCTTTTTGAGCAAGCTTTCCCAAATGCAGTGTAGCAGACAAATTCTGATCTTCGGAACAGCTGGACAATGCGATTGGGTAATGATTTTAGTAATGAGACACTGTGGATTTATATTTTTATTGGTTTTATCAAATGTTATTTATGCTAAATGTTTTAATTGTTCTTTGTTTTGTAGGCATCGAATTGTGCCATTTGTAAACTGCCCTGAGTCGCCTTTGGGCTGAGAAAGGCGGTATATAAATATGGTTAATAAATAAATAAATTCTAGGTGCTGAGAATAACGAGCTTCAAGATAATGGTAATGAGTTGATTGATAGGAGACCTAGTTTTAGTAAACTTTGGGCAATAATAATAATAATAATAATTATTATTATTATTATTATTATTAGTAGTAGTAGTATTATAAACTTTATTTATATCCTGCCACCATCTCCCCAAAGGGGACTCGGGGCGGCCCAAAAATAATACAGCAAAATTAGACACAAAACAACAGTAAAATTATATCACAACAAAATACATAAAGTAACAAAATAAAATAAACAATGCAAAATAACTTGGCCTGAAGTGTGGTAGTTAAGGACAGAGGTGTTTTCCTAGCCCGGAGTGCAACATAGGTGAACTCAGTTTCGTCAAATAGCCATTTAGGGAACAATCCAGAAAGAAATTCAAGGGGAAAGTGGTACTTTGTTGTTGTGTGCCTTCAGGTCATTTCCAACTTATGTTAACTCTATCACAGGGTTTTTTTGGGACTGAGTTTGTGATTGCCTAGAGTCATTCTGCGGGGTTTCATGGACGATAAAGGATTTGAACCCGTATCTCCAGAGTTCTAGTCTAAGACTCAAACCACTACCTCACACTGGCATTCAGAAAATGCTATTATTAGCACACATACATATATACAAGAACTCCCCCAGATCTCTCTGCTTATTTATTTATTTATTTATTTACTTCATTTATATACCGCTTTTCTCAGCCCTTGGGTGACTCAAAGCAGTTAACAATAGCAAAAATTCAATGCTTCCATGTTTCAACTCTTTGGGGCTGGGCAGGAGAAAATGCCATTACTAGGATATACAAGGATTATCTCAAAAGCTCAACACTCACCCAAAATTCTAACAATGTGACTTTTCTGGATGGCACAGTTATAAAGAGTCAAGGTCCCATGACTACAGCAGCTGTACATGAAATTCCCGTCTGGAGAGAAGGTCAGGCCAGTGATCGGACCACGATGCTGCCTGCAAAATGCAAGGCAAAAGGGGGAATTGATCATTACCAACCAAAATCAACAAATGACTCCAAGCATGCGGATAGGGCTAATTTAAATCCAACTCCTAGAAAACATTAGATGAAATGACAAAGAACTCTGAGTCTTTAAACTATGAGACAGATATATAAACCCATTTTCCTACTTCCAACAGACCTCACTACCTCTGAGGATGCTTGCCATAGATGCAGGCGAAACGTCAGGAGAAAATGCCTCTAGAACATGGGCATATAACCTGGAAAAACCTACAACAACCCTATGGGACTTTTTTTCATGTCAGGAGGACCTGAGGAACTGCTTCTGGTGTGAGAGAATTGGCCGTCTGCATGGATGTTGCCCAGGGGATGCACAGACGTTCTGATGTTTTACTATCCTTGTGGGAGGCTGCTCTCATGTCCCCACATGGGGAGCTGGAGCTGACAGAGGGAGCTCAACCCGCTCCCCCCAGATTCGAACTGCTGATCTATCGGTCTTAATAATAATAATAATAATAATAATAATAATAATAATCCTTTATTTATACCCCGCCACCATCTCCCTAAGGAGACTCGGGGTGGCCTACATGAAGCCAAGCCCAACAACACATCAGGTCTTCAGTCCCGCTGGCCCATTCCGCCAGCGGGGGCTCCTAACTATGGGACTGATTTTATATAATGGAAAGTGTCTAAGTTGAAAAACAAATCAGCTCTTCCCAATTATTAACTTAGAATATCTATATATATTAAACTCAAATTATGTCTGTCTGTCCCACAAAGGCTACTACTAGATGAAAATCCAGTGGCCCTTTGTGATGTCACTGGATTGGTCGTTGCCAGGCAAAGTGGCCCTTTGTGATGTCATTGGGAAAGGAAGGTGACTTGTGTATGAGGGGAAGGGAAGGGAAGGAGGAAGGGAGGGAGGGAGGAAGGAAGGAAGGAAAGCGAGAGCCTCAAAGAGAGCCATGTTGCCATGGAGATAATGTAAGGGAGGCTCTCTCAGAGCTGGAGAAGGGAGAAAGGAAGGAAAGAAAAAAAGGGAGAAGGAGGAGTGAAAAAAAAGGTGGGAAGGAAGGAAGAGAAAGGAAAGGGACATATGTATGAGGAAAAGGGAGGAAGAAAGGAAAGAATCACAAAGAGAGTCATAATTGCCATTGAAACATTATGGGGTCCTCTCAGAACTGCAGGAGGGCAACTGGAAGATGGACAGATAGATAGAAGATGGATAGATAGATAATGGATGGATGGATGGAAGGATGGATAGATGGATGGATGGATGGATGGATGGATAGGTAGGTAGGTAGGTAGATAGATAGATAGATAGATAGATAGATAGATAGAGGAAAAGAAGGGGAAGGAAAAGGAAGGGAGGGAAAAGGGAAGAAAAAGGGAGAGAGGAAGAGAAAGGAAGGGGGAAAATATAAGAAGGGAGGGAAACAAAGAAAGGATGAAAGCAGGAGCGTGAGGCCAAATGGATACTCTAGTTTAATCTACAACACTGAAACGACATGAAAGCGTACTTGTGTTCTTCCAGCAATTTTGAGGTCGCCAAGCTGATGGTTCTCACCACACCGGTGTCAAAACCACAAGCAAAGATGTGTTGCGAGGGATGGAAAGACACGGCGCAGGGTGTCTCATCAGAGGCGGTGAATTCATAGAGCTGTAGGAAAGATGGAAATGCCCTGTTCAGATCTGCCATGGCAGGAAGCAAGGAAAAAGCCTCATACTTGATCCCCACACAAGCTGTGCTGCTCTTGAATGCAAGAAAGGGAAGCAATACATTGATTTGATGTGGCAGAAGCATACACTGGTAAAAGAAAATATGAATAGGAAACTATAATAGATGGGAGTGCAGTCATTTGATTAAAGGCTCCTTAACTACTTGGACATAAGAACCAATAAATACAGTAATTTCGAAAGAGCTAACTGTCTTAATTCATTTATCACCACAAAAAGACAAATGTGTGGGGAGAGAAAGAATCTAGTACATATTCAGGCAGGCCAATTCATCTTAGAGGATTTCAATCCACTTCCTTTGATGATGTATTTATTTATCGTGTCAGAAGCGAATTGAGAGTACAGTACTCTTTTTTTTTTTTGTCATGTCAGGAGCGATTTGAGAAACTGCAAGTCGCTTCTGGTGTGAGAGTAACCACAGAGTAAGTGCTCTGTGGTTTGCCGTCTGCAAGGACATTGCCCAGGGGACGCCCGGATGATTTGATGTTTTTATCATCTTTGTGGGAGGCTTCTCTCATGTCTCCGCATGAGGAGCTGGAGCTGATAGAGGGAGCTCATCCGCCTCTCCCCGGATTCGAACCTGCGACCTGTCGGACTTCAGTCCTGCCGGCACAGGGGTTTAACCCACTATGCCACCGGGGGCTCATACAGTTATAATGTATAAAAAAACCACAATGAATTTAAAAATTTGGCATTATACTAAATTTTCTTTGACCATAAGCTGGTCACTTGGAGTGTCTCTGGTGTTGCTGTAAGAAGGTCCTCCATTATGCATTTGGCAGGGCCCAGGCTGCATTGTAGTAAGTGCTCTGTGGTTTGCTCTTTTCTACACTCATATGTCGTGGACTCCACTTCATAGCCCCATTTCTTAAGGTTGGCTCTGCATTTCATGGTCTCAGAGCACAGTCTGTTCAGTGCCTTCTAGGTCACCCAATCTTCTGTGTGCCCAAGAGAGAGTCTGTCATCTAGTATCAGCCACGGAATGAGGTTCTGGGTTTTAGCCTGCTACTTTTGGGCTCTTGCTTGCTGAGGTGTTCCTGTGAGTATCTCTGTAGATCTTAGGAAGACTTTTCTTAGTTTAAGGTGTTGGCTTGCTGACTGATATCCAAACAGAGTGTGGGCCAGAGATGTCACTGCCTTTGTCCTTTCATTGCTGGCTGCTACTTCCCGGCAGATGTCAGGTGGTTCGATATTGGCTAAACAGTATAATTTCTCCAGTGTTGTGGGGCGTAGACATCCTGTGATAATGCAGCATGTCTCATTAAGAGCCACATCCACTGTTTTAACATGTATTCCACACTGGGCATGCGTATACAGAAGCAGAGTAGCAAAGTGCAAGGGCAGATGTCTTCACTGTGTCTGGTTGTGATTCCCAGGTTGTGCCAGTGAGTTTTCATATGATATTATTTCTAGCACCCACTTTTTGCTTGACAGTCAAACAGTGCTTCTTGTAAGTCAGAGCACAGTTCAGGATAACTCCTAGGTATTTGGGTGTGCTGCAATGCTCCAGTGGGATTCTTTCCTAGGTAATCCTCAGAGCTTGAGATGCTTGTCTGTTTTTAAGGTGAAAAGCACACATCCATGTTTTAGATGGATTAGGAATCAGATGGTTTTCCCTGTAATAGGCAGCAAGAGTACCTAGAGCTTTGGAGAGCTTCTGTTCAACCATTTTAAAGCTCCCTGCTTGAGTGGTAATGGCACGATCATCAGCATAGATGAAACTCTCTGTCCCTTCTGGCAATGGCTGGTCATTTGTGCAAATGTTGAACATTGATAGATCTAGCACACTCTCCTGAGGCAGGCCGTTCTTCTGTTTCCATCTGCTTTTCTGGCCCTGGAACTCAACAAGGAAGCTCCTGTTTCGTAGCAGATTTCCTATGACGCAGGCGAGGTAGTAATACTTTGTGATATTATAAATATTTCTCATATTATAAATTGTTCTCATACATGTTTCATGCATTGATAGGAATTACACATTGTACAATACAGATGGGCAACCTAAAATGCTATGTTTTGAATAAGAGCTATGGTCAGAAAACAAGAAGTCTGAATTTAAAATGTATTTCTTCTTTGAATGGATAGAGAATACTATACATCACAAATGAGTATTTTCAAAAAGTTTAAACTCTTATGCAGACTCTTGAATAAATTATGGCAGAGCCTAAGGACATCCATTTTGGTGACAGCAGAGCAGGTTTGTATATATTAGGAGGCCCGGGTTCCTGTTATAAACTTCTAATCTGCCCCCAAACTATCTATCAAATATATGTTTGTTTAAATCAACTTTCTGTATAAGTCAAGGGCAGGCTTTGGGGCCTAAATATGGCAAGAACTGGTGGGAAGTTAAGATCAACAACATCTAAGTTGTCCAATTAAAGCTGTGATTGATTCACAGCTTAATTTATAAGAATCTACCTGCTGCATTGATTCAAGGTTCCAGATGCGGATGCTGTTATCCTGGGACACCGTCACCAGCTGTTTCTGGGATCCCTCCACAGAGAAGGCAGACACAGAATCCGCGTGGGAGCGCATGATCGTACAGTAGTCCTTAGACTGGATGTCCAGGCAGCCCACGTTCCCAGTGGCGGTCGTGCACAAAACTTTCAGATTATCTGGGCTGATTCGAACGGAAGACAGCGGGTAGTCGTGCTCTGCAGAAAGGCAAAGACCTTCTTCAGAGTCTTAACAAGATTAATCTTCTGTTTATGTTTACTAGAAAAGTAAAAAAGCCCTTCCCCATTATCCTCCCCGAATGACTGTTGTCTCTGACTGTCTTTCTCACTCTATTCCTTCCCATCTCATTAATGACACAGAGTGATATTCTCAAGTTTGTGTTAAGTTACCAAAACCTCCTGATCAGTGTGTTCTCTCTCGGTCTTTGTGTGAACGCTGCATGCAGAATATGGTCTTTTGAGTCTTTTCCCTTTGTCTGATCTTAGATGGAAATGGAGATTATAACAAGCTTCTACTTAGATTGAGTTAGACCAGTGGTTCCTAACCTTTGGTCTTCCAGGCGTTTTGAACTAACAAGCAACACCTAAAAACTGTCAGGCCACAAATGCTAATCAAGGTGGCCAATTGAAACATTAACACCTAGTTCCAACAGACAAGAGTTCTTTCTCCCACCCTGGACCTTCCACAGATATATAAACCCAATTTATAATCTATCAGGGCCAGCTAATACCTCCCTAGAAAGGATCCCCTGGCAGGAAGCAGCCAGGTTTTGAAGCTGCAAGGCCATTCATTGCTAATCAAGGTGGCCAATTGCAACGAGTTCTTTCTCCCACCCTAGACATTATTCCACAGAAATATAAGCCCTAATTGCTTTGTTTCCAACAAACCTCACAACCTCTGAGGATGCTTGCTACAGATGCAGGAGAAACATCAAGAGAGAATGCTTCTAGAACATGGCCAACATCCCAAAAAACCTACAACAACCCAATGATTCCGGCCATGAAAGCCTTCGACAATATGTTTTGAATTTCATCTCCCACAATTCCCAACAGCTGGTAAACTGGCTGGAAGTCCAAAACACCTGGAGAACCAAAGACTGGGAACCACTAAGTTAGAAAGTCTAATCTAGACCCCATCTTTACTCTCTAGAAAATATAGTTCTTTATGTTTTAATAAACTTTTTGAAGCTTGAAGGCAGACTCTGCTGCTGTTTTTAAGCTCAAGGTTCCTTCAGCCACAGTGTTGCCTCCTGCTGTGTGTGGGTAAACTACTCTGCTGTGTTTTGTCTTTTTAAATACTAGTTATTTGGGGGAATCTCTATAACAAAAGAAAAAATCACTCTGGTGATCACACTACAGATAAGATGGCTGTGATTAGTCACGCCCACGGAGCCTTCCTTATGGTGACTCTTGCAAAGATGGGGCCAAGGGAATGATTTTAAAAGGACTTTATGTTCTCTTGGCTTTACTAAAGTTGCTTAATGGTTATAGTGAAAATTAAACTGACTTTGGGAGACATCCGAATGTTACAAAATATTTATGAAAAAATGGGTGTTTCAATTTCTAAATCCTCCCAACCTTTCCTATATGTCTCAGAAATCACTTCATATGAACAAATTTAACAAATTTGATACGACTTCCTATTTTTATCCGAAATTATGCACAAGCCTAATTACTACTAGTAGAGTTTGCGGAGATCACATGCCTCACAGATGTATGGAGATCACCATCCAGCTTCCCTTTTTCTATATACAACTTTACCTGAGAGGTCTGAATTAAGCATATACTTAGTCATGGGATTATGATGCTAAAGCTATACATACCTGCTTCCAAAAAGACTTCGGAGAAGTCCAGGGGCCACAAGCGCAGGTAGCCATCTTCAGAGGCTGTGGCACAAAAGCTTGAAGAGAGACATATACTGTTCAGTGCAATCCCAGGACCTAAAAAAACAAAGATCCAATATGTTCTGAAATGTGCACGGAGCTGCAGACGGAAAACCTCAGATTCACAGGAGATCAGCAGCACTTCAGTGAACTATCCTCTCCATGGGAAGATTTTGAACTTGTTCAGGTAACCACTCCAACTATTATGAAATGGCCTTGAAAGACTCAGGGTATATCTACACTGTCAAAACAATGCAGTGTGGCATCACTTCAACTGCCTTGGCTCAATCCTGCAGAAGAGTGCTGGTGCCTCACCAAACAACTCCCATATTTCCATAGTATTGAGTCAGGGAAGTTAAAGTGGTGTTAAACCACATTAAAAATCTATCATCGTCTCAACTCCATCATTTTGGTGGTCTCAACATGCCCACCTATTATAATATGGTTCATTTACTCCTCAGTGTCTTACATATTTCTGCAATATTTTAAAATTTGTTTTGCAAACAAAATTGCCTTTAGAAAACCCTTCACACCACTGCAGATGTCATACCGGAGTTAAACGTTTGCTTTTCCCGCCGGTGAGAATGCTGCACTTCAGTTGGCATGAGGCGACGGGCATTTCTGATGGTGACGTTCTTATAGTCGATTTCCAAAACATGCCCACTCCTGCTGCAAACAAACCTACGGAAGCAACAAGAAGGACACCCAACCACAAAAGCAATTGATAATACAGTCAGAATTTATGGAATTTCTAATGCTACAAGATTTGCTGTGAAATATGCAAAGCAGCTATTCTGTATCCAAACATTGACAACGTAGTCAGTGCGCATTCAGAAGAAGACCTACAAGCCACTCTAAACACTTTTACAGAAGCATACGAGAAGATCAGCCTGTCATTGAACATCGGGAAAACTAAAGTCTTCTTCCAGCAGGCACCAGCCAATCCCTCTGCAATGCCAGAAATACAGCTCAATGGCGTAACATTAGAAAATGTTGACCATTTCCACTCCACTGACAGCCACCTCTTGACAAAAGTCAACATTGACACTGAAATACAACACCGCCTGAGCTCTGCGAGTGCAGAATGAAGCAGAGAATGTTTGAGGACTGGGACATCTATAGGGAGACGAAGGTGCTTGTTTCTAAAGCTACTGTCCTCCCAACCCTGCTATTTGCCTGTGAAACGTGGACTGTCTACACACGTCACATGCAACTCCTAGAATGATTCCATCAGCGCTGCCTCCGATAAATCCTGCAAATCTCTTGGGAAGACAGGCAGACAAATGTCAGTGTGCTGAAAGAAGCAAAGACCACCAGCATTGAAGGGATGCTCCTATGCCATTAACTCTGTTGGACTGGCCATGCTGTCGGAATACCCGATCACCATCTCCCAAAACAGTTACTCTCAACTCAAGAACAGGAAACGTAACGTTGGTGGACAGGAAAGGAGATTTAAAGATGGGCTTAAAAACTGTGGCATAGACACAGAGAAATGGGAAGCCCTGGCCCTTGAGTGCTCTAACTGGAGGTCAGCTGTGACCAGCAGTGCTGCGGAATTCAAAGAGGCACGAATGGAGGTTGAAAGGGAGAAACGTGCCAAGAGGAAGGTGCATCAAGCCAACCCTGACCAGGACTGCTTTTCATCCGGAAATGGATGTCCTCACTGCAGGAGAACATGCGGATCGAGAATAGGGCTCCATAGCCACCTACGAACCCACCACCAGGACACTAGACTTGGAGGACCACCATCCTCGGGCTACGAGGGATCACCTAAGTAAACAAAGTATCCAAACATTGTTTTTCCATCCTTAACTATATATACATATATCTACTGAATTAAAAAAATTACCCATCTTAGACAGAGGGCACTTCAGATATCTTGAAGACTACTTTGCAATATTGATATGAGTCAAAGAGCAATGTCTGAGGAGAGTAAAGCAGCTTCTTACAAGGTCCGGTCATCTGGTTCACACTGAGAGGACTGGCCGGCCTCAAAGTCCAGGTCAGTGAAGTCCAGCGACCGGTATTCACCCAAATTGACTGGACACGAACGCAGAGATCCACTTCTGACCCGCCAGAGCCTCACGTTGTCTCTGCCGCATGACACCATCCTATTATGGGAAAGAAACAAGGAAGGGTTTTGAGAGAAAAGCAATAGGATGTGGAGCAGCTTGTCCTAACAATGCTGCTTGGATGCAACTTTTGTACCCATTAGCAATGTTGCTTTGTTGTTGCTGCTGTTCATCTTGGACTAAACATCTATGTTTTGAGCAGTTATACCCATGTAAATAATGCTGGCATATCTGCAAATAGACTAGCCAAGAGAAAAACTGCACCACGCTATCCACTGCATTTACAATCTGGTGGCAGATGAAATGATCATATATCAAGTGTCCAACAACCTGGATTCAAGCAAACAAGATAGAAAGGCTATAAAATAATAATAATAATAATAATAATAATAATAATAATAATAATAATCGAATAAATAACAAATAAATAACAAACCACTAAAGATGGTTCCAGTGGTGATCAGCACGCTGGGTACGGTGCCTAAAAACCTTGGCCTGCACTTAAACACAATTGGTGTTGACAAAATTACTATCTGCCAGCCGCAAAAGGCCACCTTACTGGGATCTGCATGCATTATTTGTCGACACATCACACAGTCCTAGACACTTGGGAAGTGCCTGACATGTGATCCCATACAACAGCCAGCAGAGTGTCTGCTGTGGACTCATCTTGTTGTATTTCAAATAATAATAAACAATGTATTGCCAAAGGCTTTCATGGCCGGAATCACTGGGTTGTTGTAGGTTTTGTTTTTCGGGCTATATGGCCATGTTCTAGAGGCATTCTTTCCTGACGTTTCACCTGCATCTATGTCAAGCATCCTCAGAGGTATTGAGGTCTGTTGGAACTAGGAAAATGGGTTTACATATCTGTGGAAAGACCAGGGTGGGACAAAGAACTCTTGTCTGCTGGAGCTAGGTGTGAATGTTTCAACTGATGTTTCAACTAATCAAGGTGATCAGTTGAAACATTCACACCTACAACAACCCAATAATAATCAACTTTATTTGTAACCCACCCTCTCTCCCCAATGGGACTCAGGGCGGACCCACATTAAATTTGGGTCCCTGCAATGATGTTTGCTCCAAGAGGAAGCACGACCTGTGTTTTGGCAGTTGCATGCCTTCAAAGTAATTTCCAAGTTACAGCAACCTCAATGTGAACTTCTAATTGGCTTTTCTGTGCAAGATGTATTAAGAATAGGTTTCCCATAACTTCCCAATGAGGCTGACAGTGTGTGACATGTCCAAGTTCACCCCATGGGCTTCCATGGTCCAACTGATCTCCAAAAGTCCTAATCCAATACTCAAGATCACTACTCAAACATTGGCATTTGTGATCTTTACCTGGTATCATCAAAGAAGGCAATCTTGATGGTTTGGATGTCCACGTCTGTGTGTGCTTTGGCCAGCATCACGGCTTCTCCTCCATGATTCACATTAATGGTATTCCACACAACAACAACCTGCAAGGAAAGGAAAGGGTGACAGATGAGGCCGAGTGGGATGCAGAAGACACCCCAGGAGTTACTTTACACAGGGCCCTGCAAATAAAGCAGCTCCACACATGAGAAATTCCTGGCAACATCTTCAGAATAATTCTTATTGCTTCAAGGCAGATGACAGATTCTGGATTTTTGTCCTCTGAAGGTATAAAATGTAAGTAGCCAAATCCTACATGTAAATCTTTACATGGAAAATACTTCTCATGGAACCCATTCAAATTCCCCTCTGTCCCAATCAAGTACATTGCCCTGAAAAGTCTGTTTATAGCCATAAGTAAAGTAAAGGTTTCCCAGACATTAAATCTAGTCATGTTTGACTCTGGGGGTGGTGTTCATCTCCATTTCTAAGCCAAAGAACTGGTGTTGTCCACAGTCACCTCCAAGGTCATGTGGCTAGCATGACTGCATGAAGCACCATTACCTTCCCACAGAAATAGTACCTACTAATCTATTCACATTCACATGTTTTTGAACTGCTAGGTTAGCAGAAGCTGGGGCTAACAGCAGGAGCTCACCCCACTCTCTGGATTCGAACTGCTAACCGTTTAACCTGCTGTGTCACCAGGGGACCCGTATATAGCCATAATAATAATAATTATATTATTATTATTGTTATTTCTTCAATTGTAAGACGCCATCAATTGTGAGGCACACTCTAAGTTCAATAACACTATCACCAACAAAAATACATAAGATACACCTGTGATACTTAGAGAAAATTATATAGGAAAAAAGTGCCTTAGAATTGAAGAGATACCATACTAAAACTATCTAAAATATATGAATAACCGTGCAAAGAAGCACAATTTATTGTCAAAGGCTTTCATGGCCGGAATCACTGGGTTGTTGTAGGTTTTTTCGGGATGTATGGCCATGGTCTAGAGGCATTCTCTCCTGACGTACAATTCAAATTGTACTTTTGGGTTGTTGTAGGTTTTTTCGGGCTGTATGGCCATGGTCTAGAGGCATTCTCTCCTGACGTTTCGCCTGCACTTTGGCATGCTTGCCAAAGTGCAGGCGAAACATCAGGAGAGAATGCCTCTAGACCATGGCCATATAGCCCGAAAAAACCTACAACAACCCAGAAGTACAATTTGTTCTCCAAGTATCTTAATCATCTCCAGATAAGTATCTCATGATTTTCCAAGTAACTAGAAAACAACAATTGACTTTAGATCACAGTGTAAGCACAGGGAGGTGAATATGACTTCCTAGATGTGAGTCAGTCACAGCTCAACCTCAAAAAACCCTCTGGGAAGATATACATCTATATCCAACAATCAAGGAGATTAAATTTAACACAGTGAGCCCTTAGTATCCACTGGGGTTTGGCTGCAGGATTCTCCCATGGATATCAATGGATGCTCAGGTCCAGTTATACACAATTATATAGTAAAATGACATCTCTCGGGTAAAACAGCAAAATCAAGCTTTTGCTTTTTGGGTTGTTTTTAAATATTTTTAAGCCATGAATGGTTGAATCCATCAATGCAGAAGGTCAACTGTATGCACAAGCAATAGAATATTTCAATCGCTGTCAAAATTGCTATAGAAAACATAGAAGCACCAAAAAATTGACTTGCATTTCCTTGTCTTTATTTATTTATTTACAGCATTTCTACCCCGTCCTTCTCAACCCCCGTGGGGGGACTCAGAGAGGCTAACACTGGCAACAACTCGATGCCGCAATATCGCAATATAAAACCATAAATACATAATAGATTAAAACAATAACCTTAATTATAATTATTATAGTCATATCGCCATCTTTAGAGGAAGAAGTGGTGCTTTACTCACAGTTTTCCCATGCTTGTCCTTTCCCGTACCACACAAAACACCCCCACTGTACGATAAACTGCAAAATAGGAAGGGTGATGTGTAAATGACGGAGAACATAGAAGATGCAGCATGTTGGGCAACACTGACACCATCAAAACTAATGGCCTTAGGCTTTCCCACTTTTTCCCTCCTCCTTTACACTGCCTGCTCCTTACCTGAGACAAGAGACTGAATGCATGCCGGCTTTAAACATGCAGAGGCACTTCCCTGTCGGAAAATCCCAAAGCCGCATCACGCTGGGTTGCCCAATCTGTGCAGACGCCAGCAAGGTGCTGTTGCCATTGAACGCCAGGGCTGACACCTGTGGAATTCAGTAGAAAGAGGTCTTATCATTCCTTTCACAGCAGGAAAAATGGGGGGGGGGGGGGGGACGGGGACGGCTCATCCGTGTGATCCACATGGAGGGATTTGCAAAAAAATTTAGGTAATTGTTCTTCATAACCTGTCGGGGTTATAAGAGTTTTGGATTTTTCTCCCAAATACCACATTTCATTACATAATAGTCACACTTTTATCCTTTTTTAAATAAAAACTAGCTGTCCCCTGCCACACATTGCTGTGGCCCAGTCTGTTGATCTGGAAAATAAAGTAATGAGAAAGTGTTGGTTTCTAATATATGTAATATCTTTATGCTTGTGGGTAAACATAATTTCTTGTTATTTCTTTGTCAGTGTTGATGTGGAGAGTTTCTGGTTTGCTCACCCTGGAACATGCAACATATCATTGTCCTTCTGTAAGGGTCCCACTCCCTTTCAAATCTATGATACTATATCTCTGTGTGTGTGAATCATAGCTATCTATCTATCTATTTATCTATCTATATCTATGGCTGGGTGGCTCCTTGTTAGGAGGACTTTGATTACCTTTTCTTGCCTTGGTAAAGGAAGTTGGACTGGATGGCCTTAAGTATTTTCTCTTGGTTATGGGGGTTCTGTGTGGGAAGTTTGCCCCGATTCTGTCGTTCGTGGGGTTCAGAATGCTCTTTGATTGTAGGTGAACTGTGAATCCCAGTGACTACAACTCCCAAATGTCAAGATTCTATTTTCCCAAAACTCCACCAGTGTTCACATTTGGACATATTGAGTATTCTTGTAGAGTTTGGTCCAGATCCATCGTTGTTTGAGTTCACAGTGATCTCTGGATGTAGGTGAACTACAATTCCGAAATCAAAGGACACTGCCCACCAAACCCTTCCAGTATTTTCTGTTGGTCATGGGAGAACTGTGTGCCAAGTTTGGTTCAATTCCATAGTTGGTGGGGTTCAGAATGTTCTTTGATTGTAGTGAACTATAAATCCCAGCAACTACAACTCCCAAATGACAAAATCATTTTTTTTTGTGAAGGACATACATTAGGTTATTAGGTGTTTTGTGTCCAAATTTGGTGTTAATTCATCCAGTGGTTTTTGAGTTCCGTTAATCCCACAAACGAACATTACATTTTTATTTATATAGAAGGGGGTGCGACAATTATGCGATGAAAGAAAATCCAGCATTGATTTTCCGGTTTTTGGGTTTATAAAAATCAACTGCCTTATCTCTAAAAGGGGATGAGGAGGATTCGGGCTCAAACAAACAGCTATGTTTGTCTCCGTTTTTATAAATTGCTTCTCCCTTCTTTCTTTTTCTAAAGGCAAAGAAGTTTACAAAATCTGAAGTAGAGCTCTTTCGAGGATGAAGGAAAAAGTGGAGCTCCAGAAGCCTCAATTTCATAGTTTTTAAACTGCCTTGCCTTGGAGGGAAGGAAGAGAGAAGGGGGAATTAGCCCCAAACAGCTCTGCAACTGTTATGTGAGGAACACAACAATACCAGTTTTGCCACCCAACTATTATGCGATGAAATACAGGTATTGTCAAAGGCTTTCATGACCACAATCATTGGGTTGCTGTGAGTTTTTCTGGCTATATGGCCATGTTCCAGAAGCATTCTTTCCTAACGTTTCACCCACATCTATGGCAGGCACCCTCAGAGGTTGTGAGGTTTGTTGGAAACAAAGCAATTAGGGTTTATATATCTGTGGAATAATGTCTAGGGTGGGAGAAAGAACTCTTGTCTGTTGGAGGCAAGTGTGAACATTGCAATTGGCCACCGTGATTAGCAATGAATGGCCTTACAGCTTCAAAACCTGGCTGCTTCCTGCCTGGGGGATCCTTTGTTGGGAGGTGTTAGCTGGCCCGGGCAGATTCTTGTCTGGAATTCCCCTGTGTTCTGAGTGTTGCTCTTTATTTACTGTCCTAATTTTAGAGTTTTTAAGACTGGTAATCAGCTTTTGTTCATTTTCATGGTTTCCTCCTTTCTATTGAAATTGTCCACATGCTTGTGAAAATGAACAAAATCTGGCTACCAGTATTTAAAAAAAAAACCTCTAAAATCAGGACAGCAAATAAAGAACAACACTAAAAAAACACCAGGAGAATTCCAGACAAGAATAAATCAGGACCAGCTAACAAAGGATCCCCTCAGGCAGCAACCAGCCAGACTTTGAAACTTCAAGACCATTCAATGCTAATTAAGCTAGCCAATGCAACATTCACACTTGCCTCCCAACAGACAAAAGTTCTTTCTCCCACCCTGGACATTCCACAGATATATAAACCTCACTTGCCTAGTTTCCAACAGACCTCACAACCTCTGAGGATGCCTGCCATAGATGTGGGTGAAATGTCAGGAGAGAATGCTTCTAGAACATGGCCATACAGCCCGGAAAACTCCCAGCAGCCCAAAAATACAGGCAGTTTCAAAGCTGCAGCTGGTTGAATCTGTGGATACAGAACCCATGGATAGGGAGAGCTACATTCAGTGCTACAAACATTCTGCAATGAACCCTTTCTCAAGTTATACTCTGAAGACAAGATTACCTTATCAGTGTGGCCAGCAAGGAACGTCTGTTTGCCAGAGTCCAGTGCTATGGCTATGATCAGTGCGTGGCAGGGGTAGACCACCACAGAGCCCCCGGCAGCCCATAAAGCCTGTGTGACAAAAAAACCAAGTATAGCAATGATAACTGACCCTCTACAGATATTTTCTGCCTATACGTCGGAACAGCTCTGACCAAAATGTCTCAAGCCAATTTCACCGCATGTATTTGTAGTCAGTCATTTGATATTTCTAACATTGATTCTATCTGTAAATACAAGTTGTTTTGAACAAGATATTGTCGTAAAGAAACTCAAGGCACAGCAGAAATAATGAACTTCCAGACTTATTCCTTTATCAACTGTTCAATGGTCTCAACCCAATGATTTCAAAGGGGTTCCTTTTCAGGCAAGAAAATTAAAGATGATAGTCAGATATAATCTCAGATCGCTTACACCACACACTAATTTTTTTCAGAAACCCAACACCATCATTGCACTTTTTTGCTTTGGATCTGGTATGGATACTCAAGAAAAATGGATAGACTAACCCATCTGGTGCTGCAGCCTCCAAATCCAATGATTTTCCTCAGCTTCAGGATAGGATCTGGCAGGAGCTTCTGAAAATCAACCCATCATCAGACTGAATACATGCATGTAATACTTTCCACATTTTAATCAATTATTATTATTATTATTATTATTATTATTATTATTATTTGTGGCTCCTAATGAGATATGCCACATTATCACGGGATGTCTATGCCTTACACCACTGGAGAAATTATACTGTTTAGCCAGTACTGTACTGCCTGACATCTGTCAGGAAGGAGCAGCCAATAATGAAAGGACCAAGGCTGTGACATCTCTGGCCCATCCTCTGTTCGGATTTCAGCCAGCATGCCAATGCCTTAAATCAAGAAATAGTTTTCTAAGATCCACGGAGATACTCGCAGGAACACCTCAGCAAGCGAGAGTCCAAAAGTGGCAGGTTAAAACCCAGAAACTCGATCCATGGTTGATACCAGATGATAAACTCCCCCCCGGACACACAGCCAACTGGCCGACTTGGAAAGTGCTGAACAGGCTGCACTCTGGGACCACGAGATGCAGAGCTAACCTTAAGAATTGGAGCCACAAAGTGGAGTCCACGTCACGCGAGTGTGAAGAAGTGCAAACCACAGACCACTTGCTACAATACAGCCTGAGCCCTGACACATGCACAATGTAGGACCTTCTCACAGTGACACCAGAGACACTCCAAGTGCCAGCTTCTGGTCAAAGGAAATCTAGTATAATGCCAAGTTTTTAACTTGGTTTGTGTTTTTTTTTAAATACATTATAACTGTATCCTCAATTTGCTTCTGGCATGATAAATAAATAAATAATATTTCAATTGCTTTTATAATTTATTACTGTTGTTGGCATTGAATGAATGCCTTTGAGAAGCTGTCCTGAGTCCCCCTGTGGGGGTGAGAACGAAGGGCTACAAATATGTGAAATAAATAAATAGTAATTCATAATTTACCTTATTATTTATTTGATAATAAAATATTACTATTTTTGATGTCGTTGTGGCTATTGTTATTGTGATTATTATTCTTACCTAAACCAGACCAATGTGCTGCTTAACGTTGGAAGGAGCCGTTACTTTTTCTGCTACTGCAAGTCTGTAAACACGAGTGTCGTAAGGTTCCCTTTAATACTGCATTTATGACCAAGGAATAACTGTATTTTTAACGAAGTGCTACGGTTCAGGTACCACTTTGCTTTGAACGTTGACAACTGTAACTAGGGCCAGGGTAAGCTGCTGTTTGACATTCTGACATCAGGAGAGAATATTGATCAATGGGTCATAGGACTGATTGATATTAGGCAGCCTCTACACTAATTTTTGACCTCCATGCTTGAATAATACACTTTATTTATATTCCACTCTATCAGAGCAGATTACACTATATAGATATATAGGCAAACATTCAATGCCTTTTATACAATGAACAATGACATATAATATGCAAACAAAGGCAAAGGTTTCCCTTCCATCTCCAGCATCTGGAGATTATGCTCAACTCTGGCCATGGGGAGGTGCTCTTGTTCCATTTTCCATGTCGAGGAGCCTGTTGCCCATACACCCTCCTGGTTGTGTTTTACCAGCATGGATGCCCTTTGCCTTCCCGCCGAGGCGGTACCTATTGATCTACTCACATTACATGTTTTCGAATGCGAGGTTGGCAGAAACTAGAGCTGACAGCTGGGAGCTCACCCTGACCCATGGCTTCGAACTGCCAACCTTCCAGCAGTTCGAAGCTGAATTGCTTATGGCCACAACATCAGCAGCCACTGCAAGGAATACAGGACAGATCATTAAAAGAGGCTGAAGGGTCCTGATGTAACTCTAATCTTGAGGGAAATAAGAAGAGTTGTAAAGGCACTGAACATCCAAAAGATATATTGCAGAAGAACAAGGCCATTTCTCTTACCAGGCAGCGAGTAGAACTTCTGGCAGATATCACCTTTGACCCTGTTGTCTGTGTGTACGGATTCTGGAAATAGAGAGTGAGAAGAAAAGTTGAAAAATTGCTGATACAGTCCTTTTTCTGTTGAGCAAATACCCCACACCTCTGTTATAACAATTACATAAACTTATTTGGGGTATAGTCAATAAATGCAAAATGCCAGCTTCAGCTCCTAGCTTTAAATGACCTATCCAGGTGTCATGCCAATATTTACCAATTCCTAGTTCTTGTAAGAGAACACAGAAAGCAAGGCTCCAAACAGGCAACAGTCATGTGAACGTAAATAAACCTCACCAGGGACTTCTTCAGGGAGCAACTTTGGGCAGACTTGCTTCATTATTGTTTATGCTCTTTATAATAGTCCACTAGAGTCAAATGGTTGGATACTGGTTGGATTCTCTAATGCCCTGGAGACTAGGACTCAATGGAGCAATGGATTCAAATTACAGGAAAGGAGATTTCCCCTTGAATGTTAGGAAGAACCTCCTGACCATAAGAAGAGCTATTCAACAGTGGAACTTTGGAAGCTCCTTCAGCTCCTTCTTCGTAAGCTTTTCAACAGAGGCTGGATGGCCATCTGTGGGGGTACTTTGATTATGACTTTCCTGTCTGGCAGAAGGAGGTTCGACTAGATGGCCAGTGTGGTCTTTTCCAACTCTATTCTATGATCTGAGAAACCATTGTGTCCAAAACATTGAGGCCCCTTCTTGACAGGCCCCATATTCCAGGATCGGATCCCAGGTTTTCTGTTTATCCCAGATTATCTGTCAGTGAGGACTCGTATAATCCAGTTTAAAGCAGAAAATCTGAGATCAGATTTCGAGATACAGGGCCTATATGGAAGAGTCCCAAGTTTATTAAACTGGAAAAGCTATTTGTGTGACTATATAATAGGTATTTAGGGCGATGATGCACAGAAATTTGGTTTACCTCGTCGGAATCAACACTGACGGCATGGACAGTAACGCCACCATCTTTGTGGGCATAAACATGAATGCTGCCATCGTCCGCTGGTGATGATGGGAGGAAAGAATCACTCCTGGATTGCAGGCCTTCTCTGAAGCAGGTGCGGTCTGTCTGAAGAGGTGCAGAGACCGTTCGAGCAATTTTGGGGACGTCCTTGGTGAGAAGGGGAGACTGGCGGGGCCTCTGAGAATAAGAAGCACAATAAAACGAGATCAGGACAACCGTGTTCTACACAACTCTTCTGCTTCCAGCAAGTGCCAAATTAATTTATCAGAGGCAATTGGGAGGGATAGCCAATACCCCAGAAGACAGGAGCAGAACTCAAAACAATCTGAACAGATTAGAGAGATGGGTCGAATCTAACAAAATCAAGTTCAACAGAGACAAATGCAAGATACTCTACTTAGGCAGAAAAAATGAAATGCAAAGATACAGAATGGGGGATGGTTCCTGGCTTGATAGCAGTGATTTTTGTTGCTTTGTATTTTATTTTGTTGTGCTGTATTTTCGGGCTTCTCCTCATGTTAGCTGCCCCAAGTCCCCTTTGGGGAGATGGTGGCAGGGTATAAATAAAGATTATTATTATTATGTGTGGAAATTATCTTGGAATTCTCATGGACAACAAGTTAAACATGAGCCAATGTGATGTGACTGCTAAAAAGCCAGTGGGATTTTGGCCTGCATAAATAGGATTCTAGTGTTTAGATCCAGGGAAGTCATGCTACTCCTCTATTCTGCCTTGGTCAGACCACACCTGCAATCACACTGTGTCCGGTTCTGCACACCACAATTGAAGGGAGATGTTGACAAGCTCCTCTATGTCCAGAGGAGAGTAACTAAAATGATCAAGGGTCTGGAGAACAAGCCCTATGAGGAGCGGCTTAAAGAGCTGGGCATGTTTAGCCTTCAGAAGAGAAGGCTGAGAGGAGACATGATAGCCATGTATAAATATGTGAGGGAAAGTCATAGGGAGGAGTGAGCATGCTTGTTTTCGGCTGCCATGGAGACTAGGACGAAATGGAACAATGACTTCAAACTACAGGAAAGGAGATTCCATCTGAATGTTAGGAAGAACTTCCTGACTGTGAGAGCTGTTCAGCAGTGGAACTCTCTGCCTCGGAGTGTGGTAGAGGCTCCTTCTTTGGAGGCTTTTAAGCAGAAGCTGTATGGCCATTTGTTGAGGGTGCTTTGAATGCAATTTTCCTGCTTTTTGGCAGGGGGTTGGACTGGATGGCCCACAAGGTCTCTTCCAACTCTGATTCTAACTACCTTCAGAGTGTTGGAATTCAACCCCATACTGCTCGTCTGCAGTCCTCAGTGAGGAACAGTTTAGTTAGCTTATAATAGTCTGAGGGTTTTCCTTCCCGCATGCCTCCTGAACGACAGTTGGGAATTATCTATTTCTTCTCTCCTGTTTCTACTCTCATTCTGATTGGTTGTGTAGAATGGAAATTTTTCTACCTCAGGCCTTTTAAAATCTGACTTCTTTTTCTTACATCTTTGTATGCGCTGTGTGCTTTGAGATCTCTCTCTGCTTGTGTGCCAGAAAGATGTAGTGAATGGTGTTTCTTCCCTCTCTTTGAAACCTTAGAAGAGATGGGTGTTAGAGTAGCTCAGATGTAGTTTTTTACTATTAAGAAATGCAGTTATTTCTTATTATTGTAAATAAACCTTTTGTGATTTTTTAGATTGGACTCTGCATCTTTGCCAACCAAAGTTCTTCACAGCCACATCACACGGCACTCCACACTTTGCTAGCTGGAAGCTGATGCTCAGCTTTAAGTATCCTGTTTGATTTTTGGATCATCTCCTATATTTTAGGGTAGTTTTCCCTAACACAGAGTACAGCCAATCCTCCACATTTGTGGGCTCAACTTTTGTGGGTTTTATCAATATGGTTACTAGTAATCTTTAGGTCCTCAAATGTGACTCTTTGATCAACATCCGTTAAATGTGGACACTGAAATACAACACTGCTTGAGCTCTGCGAGTGTAGCATTCTTCTGAATGAAGCACACAGTGTTTGAGGACCAGGACATCGATAGGGATACCAAGGTGGTTGTTTATAAAGCCATTGTCCTCCTAACCCTGCTAAATGCCTGCGAAACATGGACTGTCTACAGACGTCATACGCAACTCCTGGAACGATGCCATCAGCGCTGCCTCCGAAAAATCCTGCAAATCTCTTGGGAAGACAGGCGGACAAATGTCAGCGTGCTGGAAGAAGCAAAGATCACCAGCATTGAAGCGATGCTCTTCTGCCATCAACTCCGCTGGACTGGCCATGTTGTCCGAATGCCCGATCACTGTCTCCCAAAGCAGTTACTCTAATCCGAACTCAAGAACGGAAAATGGAACGTTGGTGGACAGGAAAAGAGATTTAAAAATGGGCTTAAAGCCAACCTCAAAAACTGTGGCATAGACACTGAGAACTGGGAAGCCCTGGCTCTTGAGCCCTCTAACTGGATATCAGCTGTGACCAGAAGTGCTGCAGAATTCGAAGAGGCATGAATGGAGGGCGAAAGGGAGAAACGTGCCAAGAGGAAAGCACATCAAGCCAACCCTGACCAGGACCGCCTTCCATCTAGAAACCGATGTCTCACTGCGGGAGAATAGGGCTCCACAGCTACCTACGGTCCCGCCAAGACACCACATCTGGAGGACAATCATCCTCGAGCTATGAGGGATTGCCTAAGTAAGTAAGTGAATGTGGACTATAGAGATGTGCTGGAGGACCTAGAGATTCCTTTTTTTAAAAAAATAGCATTTATTAGTTACAGCTTTTCCATTTTTACAGGGTTTTTGGACTCCTAACCCCAGCGAATGCAAAGGACCTATTGGAGTTAACTGTTTCTGAAATTGAAGGAGACTTACCGTACCCACCTCACTTCCTGCAATTTGTGAAATGAATTTTGAAGTATACACAGCTTTGGTTTAACTTATGCTCACCTCCCTGGGACTGGTAATTTGCTGAATGAGGGAGACCCTGTCCCGAACAGGCTTGCTCAGAGTTACTTCCTTGGGAAGCTGACTGATTGGATGGTCTTCTACATGAGCAACTGAAAAGACACATATGGAACAAACATGTTTATTCTAAAACAACCCTACTCCCCAGTCTATCATGGGGCTTATACTCAGGTTTTGTTTTGTTTTTGTTTGTTTTTTTCGTGCCAAGAGCGACTTGAAGGTGAGTGTACACACAGTATTGCCATCTCAGGCTACAGCCTAAGCAAACTTTGTTGTTTTTTAATCGTGTCAGGAGAAACTTGAGAACCTGCAAATCACTTCTGATGTGAGAGAATTGGCTTTCTGCAAGGACGTTGCCCAGGGTATGCCCAGATATTTGATGTTTTACTATCCACTGGTGACACAGTGGGTTAAACCACTGAGCTGCTAAACTTGTTGACTGAAAGGTCGCAGGTTGGAATCTGGGGAGCGGCGTGAGCTTCAGCTGTCAGCCCCAATCTCTGTCAACCTAGCAGTTTGAAAACATGCAAATGTGAGTACATCAATAGGTAACGCTCTGGCGGGAAGATAACAGCACTCCATGGAGTCATGCTGGCCACATGACCTTGGAGGTGTTTACGGACAACGCCAGCTCTTTGGGTAAGAAATGGAGATGAGCACCAACCCCCAGAGTCAGACACGACTGGACTTAATGTCAGGGGAAAACCTTTACCTTTAACCTACCATCCTTGTGGGAGGCTTCTCTCATGTCCCACATGGGGAGCTAGAGCTGACAGAGGGAGCTCAACCCACTCTCCCTGGATTTGAACCGCTGACCCGTCAATCAGCAGTCCTGCCAGCACAAGGGTTTAACCCATTGCACTACCAGGAGCTCCACTTCATTGTTGTTGTTTGCCATCAAGTAGTTTCCAAGTTAGAGTGACCCTATGGTGAATCACAAGATTTTCTGAGGCTGAGCACGTGTGGCTCAGCAAAGGTCAACTCAGTTGGTTTCCACGGCCAAGTGGGAATTTATTTATTTATTTATTTACCATATTTATACTTCGCCTTTCTCAACCCCATAGGGGACTTAAGGTGGCTTAGGTATATAGGCAGCAATCCGATGCCAAAAGCACACATAATAAGAACATATACATTTAAACCACTATTAAAAACATATAAAACATAAAAACCACTTGCAATAGAGTCTCACTTATCTAACATAAACGGGTCGGCAGAACATTGGATAAGTGAAAATGTTGGATTATAAGGAGGGATTAAGGAAAAGCCTATTAAACGTCAAATTATTACATTATCACTTTACAAATTAAGAACCAAAACATCATGTTTTACAACAAATCAATAGAAAAAGCAGTTCACTACATGATGTTATGTAGTCATTACTGTATTTACGAAGTTAGCGCCAAAAGAGACAAGGATTCTTTCTTTCTCCCACCCTGGACTGCGTTGGATAATACAGAAGGTTGGATAAGTGAAGGTTGGATAAGTGAGACTCTACTATGTTTAAAATCACACAATCCAATATCATAGTCTGTGGGCATTCCAATTGCCATTGCACTATTCCATATTTTCCCTCATTGCACTAATAGATTATTTGCTGAATGCTTGGTCGCACATCCACATCTTGTGACCCTTGTCTCCAGATTTGCAGTTGAACACTCAACCCACCACACAATACCTGTGACTAAACCCTATTCAATTCAATGGGATTTATTTATTAGGAAACAGGTTACGGTATTACATAGTTGAGTGTTACAAACATCCTGAAATGGTAAATTAGGAAGAAGTAGTCTAAGGACTAGAGCAAGCCCCTATCAGCATTAGCAGTCAGAATCTCATTCAGATACTAAATGGTGATGATGAAACCCTGGGACTCGAGCAATGCAAATATATGAAAACTATAAAAACAATTGTGCTTTTACATCCTCACAACCTCTGAGGATGCCAGCCATAGATGCAGGTGAAGCGTCAGGAGAGAATGCTTCTGGAACATGGCCATACAGCCTGGAAAACTCACAACAACCCAGTGATCCTGGCCATGACAATAACTGTGCTTTCTCTGCCCCCTTCCACACAGCTGAATAAAATCCCACATTGTTTGCTTTGAACTGGAATATATGGCAGTGTGGACTCAGATAACCCAGTTCAGTAAACATGGTGGGATTTTATGCCTTGATATTCTAGATTATATGGCTGTGTGGAAGGGCCCTCAGAGATCACGCAATTGTAGCCTCTAGGACCACTCATCACTACACAAGTACTCATAGAGGCCCTTCTTTGACTTTTGATGTCACCAAAGCTTTGGTGCCTACTGAACCATCAATGGTGCAACTGTGGGATCCAACGGGTATACCATGATAGAAGATCTTGGCCTCTATGTGGCTTCTTCACACCACTATCGGTTTACAGTACATGAGATTGTGTTGTGTGGTTTAAACATGGACTTCTCCAAGGGTCTGGAGAACAAGCTCTATGAGGAGCGGCTTAAAGAGCCGGTCATGTTTAGCCTTCAGAAGAGAAGGCTGAGAGGAGAAATGATGGCCATGTATAAATATGTGAGGGAAAGTCATAGGGAGGAGGGAGCAGGTTCGTTTTCTCCTGCCCTGGAGACTAGGGCATGGAACAATGGCTTCAAACTACAGAAAAGGAGATCCCACATGAACATTAGGAAGAACTTCCTAACTGTGAGAGCTGTTTAGCAGTGGAACTCTCTGCCCTGGAGTGCTGTGGAGACTCCTTCTTTGGAGGCTTTTAAGCAAAGGCTGGATGGCCATCTGTTGGGGGTGTTTTGAATGCAATATTCCTGCTTCTTGGCAGAATGGGGTTGGACTGGATGGCCCATGAGGTCTCTTCCAACTCTATGATTCTATGACTTAGGATGGGAAATTTTTCACAAAAAGATTCCAGTTCCTTATAGCATTCATATTCAATCACTGACCTGTTGCGGGATTCAAAGTGCCTTTCTGGATAGAATCAAATGGCATCTTGGATCCATTGGAAGGGAACCTGCGCAAGATGTCAAGAGAAAAGCAGGTTTGACACTAGTATGGCAGGTGGAACAGTATTTTGGGGCAGTGACAGGCAGATGATGGACTACTAAACAGAGAACCAGACTGACAATGCATATATTCAGTTGAAGACATACATCATCGCCTTCTATTTAAGGCTTTCTATTTATGGCTTCTTTTTTTTAGAAGAAGAAAAAGAAAGCTGGAATCCTATACAGAACCCCAGAAAGAAAACTTAGCAAAACATACCGAACATAATCATAGAGGTCATGCCAGTTTTCACCTTTTGGCACAGGAAAGGCCATTTCTCTGGGCATGGGGGAGATGCCATGTAATGCCCGCCTGGACTGCTGAACCTCAGAAAAGGTCACGGCTAAAGGGATGAAGGACACAGAACCATTTGCATGGAAACAGAACACCAGTCTCTGCTAATACTCTACATATAATTTCAGTAGCTGCTTGCTTTTAAACAAATATCAGTACAATAGTCCAATTCCATGTTCTTGGACCAGCACGAGTTTCTCAGCATCCTCTTAATTAACTGGTATTCTATTGTGAGTAACAGATTACCAAATATACATACAGTAAGGCCCCATATCAATGGGGATACATTTCTGGCCAGACTGTGGTTCCCTAAAACAGTGAATATAACTGTGTCCGTTTTTCCACATATATGCAGCTCATGTGAGGATTTACATAGTTTGGGGGGTTGAAAAAGATTTTTGGGGTCTGAAAAAGCCTTCCTCGGCTTATAACGGGGTGAAGCCAGGCAGCAGAGACTGGAAGCCATTGCTTGCAACATATGATATATTTCTCTCTCCTCCCTTAACAGTGTGTTTTCTTTTCCAAATCCTCCCTCGCTCACTTACTTGAGAATGAGAGAAGCCCGTGCACATCAGGAATACCCATTAATCTTATAAAAGCATTTTCCCCTGAAATATTTGTTAATCTCTCCTATGATATAGAGGCATTTCCCCCTGCAAGCCTTTGCAATCCCTATGTACCTATATATCTGTATCTTTCTATCTATATACATTAACTTTACTTATGAATTTACCTCTCATATGCTTGCAGGTCTTTGCAAATCCTATATACATATAGATATCTAGAGATTTCCATGTACCTGTATATCTGTATCTACAGTGTTCCCTCACTTATCGCGGGGGTTCCATTCCAGGAAAAGTGAAAATCCGCAAAGTAGGGACGCCATATTAATTATAATATTTATACATTATTTTATATATTTTATATATTATTTTCTTACCCGGGTGTCCTTACCTGCCTCCTGGCCCATCCTAAGGGCACATGCCTGCCTCCCTGACCTCTGCAGAGCCTCCGGAGCCACGCAGGCAGCAGTGGGCCAGGGAGGCAGGCCTTCCCCACCACACCTCAGGCCACCACACTTCCGGGGTCTGTGAAGGCCAGGGAGGCAGGCTTTTCCCGCCATGCCTCAGGCCGCCGCACTTCCGGGGTTCCTGGCCCCCTGGATGTAAATATTTAATATTTTATTAATATTTTCAAAAACCCGCAAAACAGCAAGTCTGCTAAAATCAAACCGCGAAGTAGCGAGGGAACACTGTATATGTATACATTATTTTTATACATGAATTTTCCCCTCACGTGTTTGCAAGTCTTTGCAAATCCTATATAGATATATATGAATATAGATATATAGGGCTTGCAAATAATACGGGGGGGGGGGGTATGCACACACAAATATATATAGACATGTCTAGATGTGAATATAGCTATATAGGGCTTGCAAATATTGCAGGGGAAATGCACACACAGACATATATATATATAGAGGTGTCTAGATAGATATAAACATAGATATACAGGGCTTGCAAATATTGCAGGAGGGAAAAAGAGAGGATTTGCAAATGTTTCAGAGGGAAATGCATATGTCAAATTAGTATATATTATTATAGATCTATATTTAGCTCTGCATTGTTTATATAGGCTTTGAATGTTTGCCTGTTACTATGTTGGAAGCCGGCTTGAGTCTCCATGAGGAGATAGGATGGGATACAAATGAAGTTTTTTATTATTATTGTAATTATAAAGTTATTGTTGATCCTAATTTTCCACCTACAGAGATAGTTTACTGGGTTTTTTTTTTTTTTTGAAATACGGTAAATATTCAAAAACATTGAACATACTGATGCCTCAATTAATGTATTTTTATTGATATCTATTATTTTTTTATTTTGAATAGTAGCTGCTGCATTTCCCACCCTCGGCTTATACTCAAGTCAATAAGTTTTCCCAATTTTTTTGTGGTAAAATTAGGTGCCTTGGCTTATATTCAGATTGGCTTATACTTTAGTATATAGGGTATAATGGCCCTTGGGCCTGTTCTGAATACAACATCACAGGGTCATAGTGCAACACATGAAAAGATTAGGATGAAGAGAGTGCCCTAACCTACTGCATCTATGCGTGGTTTGGTAATTTCACGATGGCAGATAGGAAGGCACTCCAAAGGGTCACCACTTCATTGGTTGCACTCTCCCCTCTTTATAGGTTCTGCAGCCGGGTTTAAACAGCCATGAAGAGGATAACCTTGGTAGCAACTCTCCTTAGGACTCACCTGGGTCAAAGAGCAGGTCACTAGTGAACAGGTTTTTCACCAGGAGGTTGGCACAGAGTTTGACGCTCTTAAGATGGCTGTAGCCTCTATTCAAGTACAGCGAGAGAATGTAGCGGAGATCCAGCATCAGGCAAGTCCACCTTACGCTGCTGGGGGCCAAGCCGACTAGATCTGGAGAGCAGAGGCACACCAAGTGTTTGTTTGAATCTCTAGGGACATTTATAACCTCCACTCAAACCCAAATAAAATCCTAAATAATAAGAACAGACATTGTGCCTCCTCCCACCTCTTATTTTTCAAACGCTTTCAAGTATAGCAACCAAGAGAGAAGCAAATTCCGAGCTCAAACCCCCTTCTACCACAAATGTAAACGTTCGGGGAGGCAATCATTTCTTAAGTTTGTGTCCAAGACGAGCTAAGAAACAGGACCTTTGAAATGACTGCTAAAATAACAGCTCCTATGAACAGTCAGAAGTACTTTTGAGGAGGAAATTCACACTGCTTTGCTGCTTTAGCCATTACCAGCTCCTGCTCTTCATGCAAAATTAAACAGCACCCTGAGTCTTTAAGGAACTTTGATTTAATTAAAGTAGGCATGAGCAAACTTCAGCCCTCCAGGTGTTTTGGACTTCAACTCTCACAATTCCTAACAGCCGGCAGGCTGTTAGGAATTGTGGGAGTTGAAGTCTAAAACACCTGGAGAGCCGAAGTTTTCCATGCCTGAATTAGAGATTAAATCAGAACTTGTGCATCTTATGGGAGGGGAAAAGCAACCTCCAAGATTTTTGGTTGACCGTCTTTACCTCGCTTGGATGTCTTGGCTGTCTTTTCATAGACTGATCCTTTGGCTGCTCCGCATATAAAGGGGAACTGCAACCAGGTGGCTGTTGATTTGAACTCCTTAAAAAGGTTGGAAAAAGAGATGCGGACCACTTGGCTGTCCTGGGAATAAAGGCACACAAACGAGTTCATTAGGCAGTTTTCTCTGTGACAGGGAAGCAAATGCTCTGCGCTCAACACCAATACGAAACAAAGAAAACAATAATTTCTGCATAAGACAACAAACACTGTGAACAAACTTAAAGACTGGGACTTTAAGCATGATAACTCTTGCTTACTCTTAGGTTACATTTGTCATGGTACTATACCACTAGCCACTGATAATTGGGAAGGAAGCTATTGCTGTAACTCAACCACACCATGAACAAGTTTATAGTCCTCATCAAGGAAATAGATAGGCAGATCAGTTAGCTGGCAGGGAAAGCTCTTCCTATATTGGCCTCTCTGTCTGTCTGACACTCTATTCCCTCCTCCTATCACAAATAGTGCTAGTCTGATACTTCTCAAGGACACACTTCCCTTTATTCAAAGTATCCAGACACATGGAAGCTCGAGGCCCCTTCTATACTGCCATATAATCCAGATTATATAAGCAGATAATCCACATTATCTACTTTGAATAATAGTGATGCAGTTTGGTGGCGCAGTGGGTTAAACAGCTGAGCTGCTGAACTTGCTGATCGAAAGATTGCAGGTTCAAATCTGGGGAGCAGCGCGAGCTCCCACTGTTAGCCCCAATTTCTGCCAACCTAGCAGTTTGAAAACATGCAAATGTGAGTACATCAGTAGGTACCGCTCCAGCTGAATGGCAATGTTGCTCCATGCTGGCCACATGACCTTGGAGGTGTCTATGGAAAACACTGGCTCTTCGGCTTAGAAATGGAGATGAGCACCAACCCCCAGAGTCAGACTCAACTGGACTTAATGTCAGGGGAAAACCTTTACCTCCTTTGAACTGGATTTGAACTTGGTTCTTCCAATGTGCCTTTGAAGAGTGACCATATATTTCCTGTTGTTTTCTCCCACGTTGTCCTCATATTGAACTTCCTCCCACCTTACTGAAGGCTTGACTCCACTGTTCCGCCCCCCTACGAGCTCCTTCCTTACAAATATACCTTTTTATTGTTATCTCATCCAGAGTTTTATTATTTTATGTCGTGCATTTGGCCCGCCCACTGTGTGTGATTTTTTACTCTGTGATTTTGCACTGTTTTGTTTTGCTTGTATGTTTTACTTACTTTATGATGATGTTATTTTCCCCATTCTGTATTTATTTTGCTGTAATGTATTAATGGGCTTGGCCTCATTTAAGCCGCTCCAAGTCCCCTCTGGGGAGATGGTGGCGGGGAATAAATGAAGATGATGATTATGATTATTATTATATAAGTCTACACTGCTATATAATCCAGTTCAAAGCAGAAAATCTGTTTTATATGGCAGTGTAGATGGGGCCTGAGTTCTCCATTGTTTTTCTCCTGTGGACATGGAGAGAGACAAGATGTCTCCAGGTAGTTAAATAGCTTGACCATGTTTACTTCCCTCTCTAGAAATGTAATTCTTTCAGTAAAGCTCAACTCTCCTCCCATATTGATGAAGCTCATTCTCTCTATTGCTTCTGTTAAACTCATGCTTTTGATGTTGTTGCTGATTTACCTTTTTGAAATTACCCCCAAACAGCTACCACTTACCTCTGTGGCAACATCCAAGTGCACTACAAAGTATTTGGCCGGTGCAGGCTTGAAGAGGATATAGAGGTAGCGACCAGTAAGGCCCAGGGACTGCGTACTGGTTTTGGGGAGCTGGAGGTAGTTACTGGCGGGAACCGCGCCACTGATGCGATACACTGTCCCTTTCAGAGCCTTGTCCTGATTAGAGAGGATAAAACAGAGATGAATGCGTCCGTGCAGAAGATGAGGTCTGAGTCTCAAGAGAAGCTGATTATGAGACTGAGGAAATGGAAGTATAAGTCAGAATGGGACACTGAAGTGGAACAAGGCTCCAGTTGACAATCCCTGGGTTTGAGGCCTCCAGGAAATAGAGGTTGATGATACTTGTGAAAAGAGGACCAATTTGTTACTCCTAAGACCCGTTGCAGGTTACATTAACTCAGAAAATGCATGCATTTCACAAAATCTCAAGTAGAAATGTTTAGAGTTCAGTTGTCCTTTTTTCAAAATGAATTTGGGAACTGGAGCGGCTTTGACTTACATAGACTTCCTTTTTACTACCCTTTTAAATGGCTTGCGGCACTCAGTTTTGATTTGGGGATACGTACAATTATTAATCCGAGACAGAGGAGAGGCAGTGAATCATAGGATTTGCATAAATGTTTACTTAAGCTATATTCATTTAGTAGGTTTGCTCTAGTTGTGACTAATAAATGAACTTTTGACAATACCATAGAAGTTGTCACATCGCCTTCCTTGGTGGATCTTTTCCACTCCTCCACTTTAAAGTGTTTGAAGACATTCAGGTACGGATGCTGCCATACTGCAGAGGAAAGAAGGCAGTTAAAGACCATATCATGCAGTTCCTGCTGTTTAAATTATTTCCTCTTTACATCCAAAGAGAGACAAGAAATGGGAACATACTATAGCTATTCATTTTATGATGTACAGTCCAATGGGGTTCCTAAGGTGATGCACATTGGATAAAAACATTCACTTTATCCCCAACATCCCTGCCAATACCAATAATGCTATTATTTATTTATTTATCCCATCCTTCTCACCTCGAAGAGGACTCACAAAAAAGGCACAATTTGCTACTATATATACATACATAGGATAAAACAAAACATACATTAAAAGTAATAATTAAAACATCATAACCTTAAAACCAATTACTTAAAAAGGTATATTCCAGGAGCCATTCCAATAATCTCATAGTCACTTATTGCACTGCAGATTATTGTCCAAAGGCTTGGTACCACAAACATGTCTTCACTTATTTTCTGAAGGACAGGAGGGAGGGAGCTGATCTAATATAATTGGGGAAGGAGTTTCATAGCCAAAGGGCCACCATTGAGAAGGCCTGTCTCTTGTCACTACAAGTCATGCTTGTGAAGATGGTGAAACCAAGAGCAGGGCCACTCCAGATTATCTTAATCTCCAAGGTGGTTCATAAGGGGAGATGCCCAGATGTGTTACCATCCTGTGAGAGAGGCTTCTCTCATGTCCCCACATGGAAAGCTGGGGATGACAGATGGAAGCTCACCCTGTCTCGCAGATTCAACCACCGACCTTCAGGTCAGCAGTTCAAACGGACCATGGGTTTAACCCATTGCGCCACTGCGGCTCCACACTAATAATGGTAGTATCAACAACAACAATAATATCACCTTGTCAACAACTTTTCTGCTATGTAATACTGGTAATATCAATAGTAATAATAATAATAATAATAATAATAGCATTTATTCAGTTATTATTATTCTTATCTTAGTATTACCGGTATTAACAGGAAGGTTGTTGACAGAGTGATGCTATTATTATTATTATTATTATTTGAAACACTACAAGATGAGTCCACAGCAGATACTCTGCTGGCTGTTGTATTGGATCACACGTCAGACACTTTCCAAGTGTCTAGGACTGTGTGATGTATCGGCGAATAATGCATGCAGATCCCAGTAAGGTGGTCTTCTGCAGCTGGCAGATGGTAATTTTGTCAGCGCTGATTGTGTTTAAGTGCAGGCCAAGGTCTTTAGGCACTGCACCCAGTGTGCCGATCACCACTGGGACCACCTTGACTGGCTTGTGCCAGAGTCTTTGCAATTATTATTATTATTTATTATTATTATTATTATTATTATTATTATTATTATTTCAAATAGTCTACAGACAGGCCCGTAGCCAGGATTTCGTTTCGGGGGGGGGGGCTGAATTTTTTTCAGGGGGGGTTCGGGGGGGCTGAGTTTCGGGGGGGCTGAGTCTGAGTGAAAGAGGGTCTAGCCTAGCAAACCTTTTGTATCATTACCCCAATACCCCCATGCATATGGGATATATTGAGTATGGTGATCAGATCATGATATGAATAAACATAACAGTTTAAATAATGCACCAGTAAGGCCTTTTCGCAACCACCATGAGAATTTCGGGGGGGGAGAAGCCCCTCGAGCCCCCCCCCCCCCGGCTACATGCCTGTATCAACATGAATGATAATATCATTTGGTCAACAACCTTCCTGCTAATATCAATATCAGTAACATCAGTAATAATAATAATAAAATAATATCACCTTGTCAACAACCTTCCTGCTAATACCAGTAATATCAATAATAATAATAATAATAATAATATCACTCTGTAAACAATATTCCTGGCAAAATCAATAATAATAATAATAATATCCCCCTCTCAACAACATTTCTGCTAATACTGGCAATATCAATAATAATAATAATAATAATAATAATAATAATAATAATATCCCGCTGCCAAAAACATTTCTGCTAAAACTGGCAATATCAATATCAATAATAATAATAATAATAATAATAATATCCCGCTGCCAAAAACATTTCTGCTAACACTGACAATATCAATAATAATAATAATAATAATAATAATATCCCGCTGCCAAAAACATTTCTGCTAACACTGGCAATATCAATAATAATAATAATATCCCTCTGTCAACAACATTTCTGCTAATACCGGTAATAATAATAATAATAATATCCTCCTGTCAACATTTCTGCTAATACTGGCAATATCAATAATAATAATAATAATAATAATAATAATATCCCCCTGTCAATAACATTTCATAGAATCATAGAATCAAAGAGTTGGAAGAGACCTTATGGGCCATCCAGTCCAACCCCCTGCCAAGAAGCAGGAATATTGCATTCAAATCACCCCTGACAGATGGCCATCCAGCCTCTGCTTAAAAGCTTCCAAAGAAGGAGCCTCCACCACACTCCGGGGCAGAGAGTTCCACTGCTGAACGGCTCTCACAGTCAGGAAGTTCTTCCTAATGTTCAGATGGAACATTATTATTTCTGCTAATTATTTCTGGAACATTATTATTTCTGCTAATACTAGCAATAATAATAATAATAATAATAATAATAATAATAATAATAATATTGTTCTGTCAACAACATTTCTGTTAAAACTGGTGATATCAATAATAATAATAACCAAATTTCTTCTTCTTCTTCTATTATGATTATGATTATTAGGGTATTACCAATATTAGGAGGAAAGTTGTTGGCAGGGTGATGCTAGTAATTGTTATTATTATTACTAATATCCGCCTGTCACATAGATGTCTCCTAATACTAGAAATATCATCAACAGGACGACCCTCTCAAGGGGCTTTCTGCTCCTCCTGAGGACCCCCTGCCCACCTCTGGCCATGGCGGCGCCTCCGTTCTGCCTGCCTCTCTCTCTCTCTCTCTCTCTCTCTCTCTCTCTTTCTCGCTTCCCGCCGCTGCGCTCGAAGAGCCCGCCCGGCCATAGAGTCGCCTCGGGCAGAGCGGCGCCGAGGCAGCCACAGAGAGAGAGGCCTCCAGCACGCCCAGAGCAGCCCTCTCTCGCCTTCCCTGAGGCTCCTTCCTGCTAAGGCAGCCAGCTGAGCTCCAAGGCAGCCCTTCCCTCTTTCCTTATATTCCTTTTTTCTCGTTTTAACAAGGGGGCCTAAAGCTGCCATGTAATCCAAATTATCAAAGCAGGTAATCCACATTGTCTGCTTTGAAGTGGATTAGAGGAGCCTACTCTTGTAGTTTTACAAGGTCTTTAAGTTATGGGAACCTGGGAGTTGTAGTTCTGCAAGGTTTGTAAGTTATGGGAACCTGGGACTTGTAGATTTGCAAGGTCGTAAAATTGTGTGGGAGTTGTAGTTTACAAGGGCTTTAAGGTATGTGGAAATTGTAGTTTTACAAGGTCTTTAAGATATGGGAACCTGGGAGTTACAGTTTTGCAAGGTCTTTATGTGGGAGTTGTAGTTTTGCAAGGTCTTTAAGCTATGGGAATCTGGGAGTTGCAGTTTTGCAAGGTCTTTATATTATGGAATCTTGGGAGTCTGCCGGCTGAGCCAATAATTGACTATTGCTTGCCAATGGTTGTCTGTAAGTCTGTAAGAAGAAAGGTGGTTTAATAAAACCCCTTTGATATATGGTTCTGCTTCCAAACTCTCATTTGAAGCAACAAAAGTCATGTTGGTGTGCACTGATCAAAATCAGGCTAATTTGCCCTCCCATTATTAAGTGGAAGATGTGTATTATTTAGGATTCTCATCAGAACCATACTGGAAACATGCCGTTTGCTGATCCTTGCCAAACACAAAATATAGTCTTTTAGGTTGCACTCCTTTCTTGGGTATTATCCAAACTCTCTGACCAGTTCATTTAATATTAACAGTTCAATTCACTTTCATGCTCCTGGGACCAGGTGGTGCAAACAGAATTTATCCATTACCAAAGAACAACACTTACTCTAGGTGCGTGTGCTGAGACATCACATCTATGTGCTCCATTTACTCCGTTGCTATACACTTGCCACGGCCGGATGCTGAGTTGTCAGTTTTCCCCTTGACTGCAATGTCAGGCAAAAGTAAGAAAGGCATCTTCTCTGCAGAGGCTGTAGCCTAAAATATATGATTTCCACTTTGCTTGACCCTGATACTGGTAGGAAATACAGGCGCTGAACTGGATGCTAGTTAGATGAGTTGATCTAACTAGTATACTGACCAATTCCACTGTGTTATGATGACATCAAAAGGCACTATTGAGTAGCCATATCAAACCAGTTTATCCAGAATGGACTGAGATGCGATGCGCTGGTGCTCTGAACTGGGTAACTCCATGCCTCCCGCATACAGAATTTTCAACTTCATGTGGAAATGAAATTAACAACCATGTACACTGTCTCACATCAACACCTTTCTTTTGCGCATCTCGGACATGTGCCCACCATACAATACAGCAGCATGGAATTATTCTCCAAAGGAAAGACTGGCGTTTCTCCATCTGTAGGGTGATGCACAATGAAACATGGGAAAACAACTAAGAGCATAATGTGACTGAAGCACATGACCGACATTTATTTATTTATTTTATTTACATTATTTCTATCCCGCCCATTTCAGCCCGAAGGCGACCCAGGGCGGTATACACTGCACAATTTGATACCGAAACAAATTACATACATTGATAAAGCAAAAACATCAAGTGCAATTAAACATAAATGACAGTGCATAATAAACAATTTAAAAAGAAACTATGTCCTCTCGTTCAAATCTTCATCCGTTACATTGTCTTGGCCTTTCCTGGGTCAATTTCCAACTCTAGTTTGTCTGTTTACTTCGGGGTTCCGAATGCTTGCTCGAAGAGCCAAGTTTTTACTCTTTTTCGGAAAGTCAGGAGGGAGGGGGCTGATCTAATATCCCTAGGGAGGGAGTTCCACAGCCGGGGGGCCACCACAGAGAAAGCCCGACATTGCAGCAAATGACGCATAAACACAGAACCAAACTACATTTGTATAACTTCAGCAGCTCAACAGGATACTGATTCTGTCAAGGATGCCCAGCGAGACCTGACCTTCGTAGAAATTTCAGTTGATGAACAAATTCTCATTCTTGAGTTTTGTTGTTCATTCGTTCAGTCGTTTCCGACTCTTTGTGACCTCTTGGACCAGCCCACACCAGAGATCCCTGTTGACCATCACCACCCCAGCTCCTTCAAGGTCAATCCAGTCACTTCAAGGATACCATCCATCCATCTTGCCCTTGGTCGGCCCCTCTTCCTTTTTCCTTCCATTTTCCCCAGCATAATTGTCTTCTCTAAGCTTCCCTTTCTTCTCATGATGTGGCCAAAGTACTTCATCTTGGCCTCTACTATCCTTCCCTCTTCAGTTTTACAGAACAGTATAGTTGGTGTTTTCTCCAAAAGCTTTGTTCCCACCAAAATTAATTGTCAACTTTGTGATAGTACTGACCGTGCTTTAGCTTGCATTCCTGCCTGGCGGAAGGAGGTTGGACTAGATGTCCTTTGGGGTACCTTTTGGCCACAGACAAAGCATGTGCATACAGAAAGAGAAGCATATTTCAGTTCCAATTATCTGTTCAAATAGCCAAAGTCAGAAACAGAGAAGTTTCCAAAGGACCACACAGAGGAAAATATTACTTTTTAGATAGGTAAATCTAAAGTTTTTTCCCCTGACATGAAGTCCAGTCATGTCCGACTCTGGGGGGTGGTGCTCATCTCCATTTCTAAGCCAAAGAGCCGGCATTGTCCGTATACACCTCCAAGGTCATTTGGCCGGCATGACTGAATGGAGCACCGTTACCTTCCCGCTGGAGCGGTACCTATTGATCTACTCACATTTGCATGTTTTCGAACTGCTAGGTTGGCAGAAGCTGGGGCTTTTTAGATAAGAATGTTCAAATTCCTTTCCCCAGACCAGTAGAAACTGGCTTATATATAACAGAGATGCTGCCTAGAAGGTAAAAAAAACCACAATATCTAAATGACAAGGCTTCATTTATAGACATACACCTCTTTCATAATTTTCAGATAGAAGTGAGTAGTGTGGTATAATTTTAGGTGATGCAATGGATATTTTAGCAGTCACGACACTTTAGGTAAATGGAGAAGAACCCAACTTTATAAATCCCTCTTTAAGTTTGCATGCTTTAGATAAAACTAGGCTGCTGTGAGTCCTCTCCCAGATTTTCTTGCCTTTCTGCAGAAAGCATGAATAAAGGTTGTAGCTAGTCTTCTGTATTTGGAGTTGTTTTCCTCTTTTAAACAGCAGCAACACTCATCTTGCCAGCCTCGTCATAATATGTACCTTCGCCTTCCTCGGCAGGTTATTCCTTTGGAGAGCTGCAGGTCAGGGTGAGCTCCCGCTGTCAGCCCTAGCTTCTGCTTACCTAGCAGTTCAAAAACAGCAATGCGAATAGGTAAATAGGTACTGCTTTGGCGGGGAGGTATAAGGCGCCCCTGAAGACACAGGCAATTCGATCAGGAAGGCATCCATGGATACCAGCCTCCTCACCGTGGAAACATGGAACAATAGCACCTCACCATGGCCAAATCTAGCACAGCCTCCAGATGCCAGAGATAGAAAAGAGGGAAGCCTTTTTATGTACTGTCAGTCTTTGTTGTTAATTGTATAACGGCATTGAATGTTTGCCATATATGTACTCTGTAATCCATTCTGAGTCCTCTCAGGGAGATAGAGCAGAATACAAATAAAGTATATTATTATTATTATTATTATTATTATTATTATTATTATTGACACAAAGCTCAGTATGTCACAGCAAATGAGATCTATATGCTGGATTTCGTATCAAAAAATCACAAGTCGAACACTTCCCAAGTGTCTAGGACTGTGTGATGTATTTTCGAATGATGCACGCAGATCCAAGTCAGGTGGCCTTTTGCAGTTGACAGATCGTGATTTTGTCGATGTTTATTGTTTCCAAATGCCTGCTGAGATCTTTTGGCATGGCACCCAGTGCGCCAATGAACACTGGGACCACCTGCGCTGGTTTATGCCAGAGCCTTTGCAGTTCGATTTTGAGGTCTTGATAGAGGCTGAGTTTTTCCTGTTGTTTTTCCTCAATGGCGACATCAATAATCCAGACTTTTTTCTTTTCCACAATCGTGATGTCTGGTGCATTGTGTTCCAAATCTTTCTGTCTGGATTCGAAAGTCCCACAGTATTTTTGCATGTTCATTTTCCACAACCTTTGCGGGTTTATGATCCCACCAATTCTTTACTGATGGCAGGTGATACTTGTGACATACCGTAAGTTCCAGTGAATCATCTGGGCCACAGAGTTGTATATTATTATATTATTGTGTATTAAAGTATATTATTATTATTATCATCAAGGATGTACAGCGAGCCAAGCAAGTCACAGCCATAGGATAAAGCCTTACTGGGGGAGTAAGCTGTGATGGAAAGATAGTTGTGCAGAGTAGGAGCAGTGCCTTTTCCTCCTCAAACCTTCGTCTTTAGGATGGATTACTATCATTTCAATGCTTTGCTGGCAAGGCCAATGAGACGATGGCCCATTGGGTACCTCTCATTTATTCTATGTGTGGATGACATGCAAAAACATTAAGACCATTTTGGGTTTGTTTTAAAAATAAAAAGGCCTCATTTTGGGGACCAAATGGATACCTATAGGCATCATCATCATTCCTTATATCCTCCTTTTTCTGTCCCAAAAGGAGACTCGAAGCAGTGAACCAAAGTTCCAACAGAAACAACCCCCTTAACCCACCACTCGTAAATTCAAACAACTCCTTTCCAGATGATTTATTTTTAAATTACAGCAAAAATGGAAAACAGAAAGACATTAGTAACATCCAGTCCCTGGCCGTGATGCCACCAACCATAGCTTTTGCGTCACATTTGTTGACTTACCAACATGCATACAAAAAGCATTTTGAACACCACTTTTATTTTTTGCTAATAGGAAGGAGTGTCCATTAAAAGAGGAAACAAATGCCAGTGTATTGTTGTTGGTGCTTTCAAAATTCTTGTTGAAGCTGCCTCGTAATTATACTGGCACCAGTTAAATGCCTGTGGATACAGACATATATCATCTGGGATTAAATTGAGCAGCTCTACTGAGAGACAAGTGCACTATTTGCAAATTCTCCGTAAAATGTCCTTCTTAAGATAGCCTTTACCATACTCGTAATATGGTTAGTTATTTATACAGTATTTTCCCCCTATATATATATTTTTGCTTGTTAAAGGTCACAGTATAATGGTTCAGACAATTCTTCACGCAACAAAAGGGAAAGGAGAGGAGTCTAATAGGATCAGAGACAGTTTAATGCATTTGGCACTTAATTTCAACATATTATCTGCACATATCAGCATCAGGACCCACAGCCTGAACCTACCTGCTCCCCAGATTTACTCTGAGCCTATCTTAAATATGAAATAGATCTCTACATAAGAACCTAGGCTGAGGAATCCACTTTAGGAATGGCTACTATACTCCCATTTTGCATCTTTAAGGTTCACCAGTAAAAAGTACTTGCTGATCAAGGCATTTGGGGAGGAAAAGATGGAATCATTGTACAATGTATTTGGACCGGTAGCAGTAGAAGCCCTTACTCTAGGAGCACTTCTCTTCTTCCACACAGCTCCAAACCCACACTGCTAACTAGTCTAATGGAAACTGAAGTAAAAGGATGTACGCATGGCCTCAAAGGCTCTTCCCATAAAAACCAACCCCTCACCCCTTCCTTCTATGTCTCCGGTCAACATCTTTGGACAGAGCATCACAAAAGTTTCTCAGAGATGGTACTAATAAATACTTGGGTCTTTCCCAATCCTGTCATGAATCCATTCCACCAAGCGATCCCAAACCCAAGTCCTGAAAGGGAGGAGGATAATCTCCTTATGCAACCTTTATCCCAACTGGCTCCATGTTCATCAAAGCATGCACTATAAATCGTTGCGGAACCTACAACTAGGAATAATCTAGTGCTGTGCCGGAACCTAATGATACAAATCTCATACCCTGAAAAATAAAACTTACTTCACCGACACTTGCATAGGCTTAGCACAAATCTTTTTCTAGCTTCTGGCAGAGTCCTGCGATCCTGCGCTGAGAAATGCTCTGATAAAACTGCACTCCATTGCATTGGTCACAACAATGCCTACTATGTGGGAAAGGACAGGATGAGGGTTAGTAGAGGAATTATTTGTCCTAAAGCCATCTGCTAGTCCCAACTTTTGAGATGCACTGAATCAAATGGTATTTACAAACTTGCATTGAGCCAATGGATCTGCTCTATGTGCTTTCAAAACATTTGCCAATCCCATAAATTTCATGGGGTTTTCTTTGAGTTCCCTTGGGGAGATAGAGTGGGTTATAAATAAAGTATTATTATTATTATTATTATTATTATTATTATTATTATTATTAAAGCTGGAGCTGACAGATGAGAGTTCACCCCGCTCCCTGGATTCAAACTGTCAAACTTTTGGTCAGCAGTTCTGCCGCCACAAGGGTTTAACCTATTGTGCCACCGGGGGCTCCTAATTATAAGATGGAGGCAACAAGGTAAGTTCAATATTCATATACCGAGCCATTTATAGGAAGAGCAGGGAGTTGTCTTTGTATTACATTTCCAATTGACTTGGAGAAAACAGAAGAAGTACAGTCCAGTTATGGGCTATTCCCATTTAGACTATGGAATATCCTCCATAATTCAATCATATTTGGGATCAAGTTTCTCCCAGGTTCGTAGTCAATGCGAGAGTCATCATGCTCATGATCAGTGCTTAAATTAATGAGTGCTGGGAACGAGACTTTCAAGGGAAGCTTGGGAAGCTAATTCCCTGCCACTTTTATGCAGAGAGAAATAGTGAAACCTTGATGAAATGACTAGCCCAGGTTAATGTCCCCTTCCCATCCTAGAAAAGCATTGGATTATAGGAAACACAGTAAAAGCATTTAGAAACAGAACTGGATTGCTATCTCATTAAATAACCCCAGCTGCAAGAAAAATAACTTTGCCTAAAAGAGCCCATATTTAGAGAGCTTTTCAGCCTATAGTTTCACTGCACAGAGCAATCATATAATGCCTGCTAGATACAGATATGTGCTCAGTACTTAATGCTGTTTTCAGAATATCAGTAACTTAGCAAAACAAAAAAACTATTGATAATTCACAGCCTTCTTCAACAGAGCGGTTTCTCCTGTTAAGACTTAAAACCAAATTCTTAGATGCAAGCAATTAAATTGGGGAGACCCGTGCAGTTAATTCTGTGTAACGGAGCTCCAAATATATCGGTTACTAAACCACGTTTCTGCAAAACATTATAAAGCTGAAGGTGATCACACACACACACACTCATCTCTTTCCTGTCCCAGCACAGAAAAGAGTGGGAATATCCCTTAATAAATTATTGACTTATAAAATACATTACAAATACGTTATTATGCTGTAATCCTACTGGAATAAATACGCCTTGAGAATATAGGTTATAAGACACTCGCACTTGGCCACAAACACACTTAAAGTGCCCACCCCCCTGGCTTGTGTTATAGCTCCTGCTTCCAAAAATAAATAACAGCAGCTTCTCCGACACGGCAGAAGAGCTTTTGTGCCTGTAGAAATCAAATATTGCTTTGCGTAGCCCTTGGTCATGGCACCCGCTTACTAGCCCTGAGACCAGGGACGGGGCCGAGATCGACTCATTTATTGCTCATAGACCTGAGGAAGGAAAGGGGGGCAATCAGGGCTGACTCCTTTAAGAAAAGAAGCTATTTCAGTGCAGGGAAACGTGTGTATCTTTCTGGCCCGTTCACAGGGGCCAAAGGGTATAAGACGGCAATAGCCAGCCCTGTAACAGCTGAGATTAACTTTCCTAATAGAAGTCTGGTCTATCCCTCCCCTCGCCTCAAATCTATTCAGGTACACAGTAGCGTTCCGCATCTTAGCCCTGCTACCAAGGAACCTTCTGCACCTTGTTTAAAATGGCACCACAAAAATGTCCCAAGGTTAATTTTTTTGCTACACGAGAAAAGACAGCTCCGCAGTCTCCTAGTAGGTAAGGCAATGCCACATAGCTCCACGTCTGTGTAGAGTTATGCCAGCAGGAAAGAGCCCTTTAACCATAGGAATCGTGTAAAATCCATGCAAAACAAACAAAAAAAAACCCAGAAAGTGATATGATGCATTCTAATGCACAGGTCTGTTCATACCCAATCCCCAGTTTTCAAGATTGGGAATTATTCCCAGGGAGAGAGAAAAAATGACAACTTCAAGCAGCTCCCATCAGGTCCGGATTTGTGGTTCTCCGGATGGCCCTTCCTAGGCCTCATCATTCAGGGCTCTTTGGCTCCATCGAGGGTCAGGTCAGGTCAGCCCTGAGAAAGGCATCTGGTCCTAGCAGTTCTCTCCTTCATCTTTAAGCTGCTCCTAGATGGTGCTATCTAGAAATCAGGGAGCTGCTCTGGGATTGGTTGGAAGATGTGGTCACTCCACTCAGCTGTGAAAAGCCACTGTTGCAAGATTCCAGGCTTGTCATGGACCCCCTGGGAAAGAAAGAAAGAGTTTCTTACACACCCAGAATGCTTTCAGGTGCATTAAAACATTGTTCTCCACTGGTACAGTTTAAAGAGTTCCACTGGCTGCCATCCTGTTTAAAGAGCTCCACTGGCTGCCGTTCATTTTCCGGTCCCAATTCAAGGTGCAGGTTCTTACCTACAAAGCCCTGAACTGTTTGGGACCCTCCTACCTGTGTGACCACATCTCTGTGTACGAACCCACATGATCCCTTCGATCATCTGAAGAGGCCCTGCTCACGCTCCCACCTCTATCGCAGGCGCGATTGGTGGGGATAAGGGAGAGGGCTTTCTCGGTGGTGGCCCCTCGACTCTGGAACTCACTCCCCAAGGACATCAGGCATGCCCCAACCTTGGCAGTCTTTAGGAGGAACCTGAAAACGTGGTTGTTCCAGTGTGCCTTCCCAGAATAAGGAAWCTCCCAGCAATATGTCCTCGAAATGCACTTTACTATTGATCTAGGAATGTCTGCACGCCCCGTCCRTCTCTGAAAACACTATCCTAGTTCATATTTCATCTGTTCATGCTCAGCATTATTCTTACATTTTAATTATTACATTTGGCCCAGCCATAGGTTTTAAATGTCGTTGTGTTACTGCTATTGTTTATTGTTTATTGTTTGTTATGAGTTTTATTTTATTCTTTGTATTGATTGTTGTTATTGCTTTATCATTGATGTACTGTGGGCTCGGCCTCATGTAAGCCGCACCGAGTCCCTTGGGAGATGGTAGCGGGGTATAAATAAAGTTTATTGTTACTATTATTATTACAGGATCCATCCTGGCTCCCAAAGTGCCCTAAGAGAATTCAGCTGACATTCACAAATCTTACCACCTTCAGAAAGATGGCTTTAATCAATGAAGGCTATTCACAAAGCAGAACCAGCTCTGGTCATTTCGGGTCACAACAGCACGATGAACAATCAACAATCCCTCCAACTCAATCATGTTTTGGCAGTGCTAAAGCAGGCTGCGTTTCCATACACATTCTGCTTTGTTACAGTTGTATAGCCACAACATGGGGCCAGCACTGCATATTCAACTTTGCACATAGGATGTATGCTCTTGTTTGAATTTTTATTGTGCAAAGAGAAAAGATTTAGCAAACAGGAGACCACTTTGCTTTTTATCTCCCCCACCCAGGGATTGTTTTTCCTCTACTTTTTTCTACTTAACATTTTGGTTTTGAAGCTGTGTTGGAAAAGACTGCTGGAAAAGTCGCGAAGAAAGAAATAGTTGGGTTGCTGTGAGTTTTCTGGGCTGTATGGCCATGTTCCAGAAGCATTCTCTCCTGACATTTCGCCCACATCTATGGCAGGCATTCTCAGAGGTTGTGAGGTCTGTTGGAAACTAGGCAAGTGGGGTTTATATATATGTGAATTTTCAGGGTGGGAGAAAGCTCTCTTGTCTGCCTGGGCAAGTGGGAAACAAACAAAAATGTCCAACAAAGGATTCCCCCAGGCAGGAAACAGCCAGGTTTTGAACTTGCAAGGCAATTCAAGGCCAATTGCAACATTCACACTTGACCTAGGCAGAAAAGAGTTCTTTCTCCTACGCTGGACATTCCACAGATATATAAACTCCACTTGCCTAATTTCCAACAGACCTCACAACCTCTGAGGATGCCTGCCATAGTTGTGGGTGAAACATCAGCAGAGAATGCTTCTGGAACATGGCCAGACAGCCCCAAAAACTCACAGCAACCCAGTGATTCCAGCCATGAAAACCTTTGACAACACAAAAAAATAGCTAATGCTGTACACCAGCATCACTTCTCCCCTAAAACTATTCTTGCTCCAGGCAGAAGAGTGAAAGACAAAGACAGGGAATCACATACGTGCTACTGAAATAATCCATCCACTTTGGAAGAGAACATTCAAAAGGGCAGAACTGAAATATTCTGTGGAAAGTGAGCTCTGTTAACAGGAGCATAGTGGGATACCATCCTGCTACAAATATTCAGATGAGTGCATTTCGATAGTACGGAAAACACGCATTGATAACGAAAGCAGAAGTCGAAGACAGTTGCTAATAGCCCAAGGAATCAAATAGGCAGAGCAAAACAAAAAACTCAGCGCTGTCTCTGAATTAATCAGAGAATGTCTCTAAACAGGCATTCTGGAGCATAACACTAAGTTTATGGGCTCAGAAGTAAAGCAAAGCATCATTCGACACAACATGAGCTTTAGGACACAGGGAATGAGGGAAGCGAGACAGGCCCGTTGCTTTCTAGAATAGAACCAAGAAGCACCTGATGGCTTCTGCATAGCAAGTCACACAAGAGACCGCCTCCCAAGAGCCCTCCTACCTGAACTCCTTGGAAGCCAACACTTCGTAGTAATACATGATCTTGCACTTGTGGTTGGAGACTTGGAGCGTGGCCAGGACATCGTCCACCCGAGAGAGGCTGCTCCCAGCACAGGGGCTTGGGCTGTGCATTTTCCACTGAAGGATATAAAAGCCTGGCCAGCGAGTCACGTGGGAACCCTGCAAAGCAACAGAGGATGAGAAATGCAGGTAAGAGGCATGGACAAGGCCCCGTTTTGCTAATCAGTTTTTGTTTGTTGGATTGTTGTTTACATGATTTTAATATGTTGTAAGCAGCTTTGCTTCCCGTGAAGGAGAAAAGGGGAATATAAATAAAGATTTGTTGTTGTTATTGTTTTTGTTACAGATTTGATTATCCTCAGACTTTATTAATACGTTCTGTCAAGGTCTTCCAATGCTATCTTCATTTTTGGCATATTGAAACGACAGCCACAGCAAAACTGCAAAAAGGCCTCAAGTGAAGTTGAACTCGGGAACGTATCATAGGAATCCTGTAAGACATCTACAGGTGTCAACTGGTTGTCTGTCACTGATACATCCCAGTTAACTGAGCTGAGCTCTCCAACACAGGAAGCAGCCTGTGTTTTCCCTATCTTCCAAAATGGTCAAATACAGCTTTTCAAATTGTAGTCTCAGGAGTTATTTTGAAGATTATCGGGAACTCCTCAACAACATTCTTAAAAATGACAGACAAGCTTTCCTGACAGGCAGTTTTCCTGGCTGATATTTAATCTTTCCTGAAGCTTGCTGCCAAAGAAAGATATTGGGTGTATTCCAAATAGAGCTTTTGGTTCACATGGGGTTATGGTGAAGCTTGACCCGGTGTTTCAAACATGTCCCATGACAGATATGCAAGTAGATATTTTGAGGCCAAAAAGATTCCCTAATGGAAGACACTTTGGACACATACAGAGAGCTAATATTTGTGCAACGGTTTTCCCCAGTGTCAGGGGTGAGGCCAATGCATTCAGAGCATATTGTGCTTTAACATGGAAAGTCTCCATGCTCCCTGGGATTCATTTCTCTATCTGTTAAGTGAGGAGGGAAGGAACAAAGATGAAAGTAACTAAGGATAGCATCCTGAAAATTTTCAAAAAATATATTAAGAAAATCCCAAAACAGCACATAAGAAGTACAGGTGACTCTCCAGGTTTGCGGCTTTCATTTTTACATATTTGATAATAACAACAACAACAACAACAACAATAATAATACTTTATTTATATTCCACCCTATCTCCCCAGGGGGACTCAGGTTAAATCCAAACATACAAAGGCAAACATTCAGTGCCTCCATAGAACAAACAAGTATCGACATAATAATCCCAGAAAACCCTCACATATGAAAACAACATTAGAACTAACATCAATAAATTAAACCAAACGTAATCAAACAATAATTATATAATGACATAAAATCTGAACTTAAAACATCCACATTGATTTACAGAAGCCAACTAGAGTTCACAAAGTTGTGTGGGTTGGTTGTGTGGCCAGTGATGGTAACTGGGCTAACATGGACTAGAAGAGCCTGGATACGATAATAGTTCTCAACCAGAGGTCCGGTAGTGATCGCTCATTGTCTAATCCTCCTCCTCTCCACATGCTAGTAAGTCTTCAGTTGTTTTTTTGAAGGAGAGTAGGGAGGGGGACAGCTTTGGTTTATTAGGGAGGGAGTTCCACAAGTGGTGGGGGGGAGGCCATCATGGAGAAGGCCCTCTTTCTCATTCCCACCAGCTGTGCTTGAGATTGGGGTGGGACTGAGAGCAGGGCCTCCTCTGCTGATTGCAGCGCCCAAGCTGGTTTGTAAGAGGGGATGCAATTGGTTAAATAGGCTGGGTTCAATCCGTTTACAGCTTTAAAGGCAAAGACCAGCACTTTGTATTTAGCCAGGAAGCAGTCGGGCAGCCAGTGGAGCTGCCAGAACATGGGAGTGGATCTCTCCCTGTACAGGGTTCCAGTTAGTAATCTGGCTGCCAATCGCTGAAACAGTTAAAGCTTCTGAATCATCTTCAGAGGCAGTCCCAAGAAGAGAGTGTTACAGTAGTCTAAGTGGGATGTCACTAAGGTGCAAACTACCATGGCCAAATTTGGTGTCTCAGGGCAAGGGATTTGATTAAAATTAATCAGATTTTATTAATACGTTCTCTCAAGGTCTTCCAGAGTGATTCAATGGCCAATATATGGCTGTAGAATCACATTGGCTGTTGAATCACACTGGAGATTCCTAAAGAGATGTTATCTCAGGTTAATAAATAGTGTGTGTGTGTAGCGGGGGGGGGGAGGTGTTTTCCCCCCCACACCTTAGCAGGAATCCCAGCGAATGTGTAGGCTGACTGTAGGTGTTTGGTCATGGCCACCTGCAATGGTTGTTCAAATGCTCCAAGCTCAAGATGGAATTTCTGGGAACAAATTGCTATTAGATACTGATTACAAGCCCAGTGCAAGTGAACTGACAGAGAGACCCCACTGACCTGTATGCTTTCACCTTCCCGGCAGGTGAGGGGAGACTCCACGCGGCTATAGTCCACTCCCAGGATCCAGCTCTTGCCGATCAGCTGGACGTTATCCCCAGTGGACAATGCATTGGGCATAGCAGGCTCCTTCCGGCTGGTCTCAGGTGCTCGCTTGGAATGGAAGAGGCTGAAGACTACATCTCCCTTCAAGATATCGAAGTCCCAGGTGATTACGGACTCCCCTTCCAAGATCTCCACCACTATCTGGATTGCACAGAGAGAAGAGGCAGTGCTCAGGCACATTAGTGTTCTACAAAATGCTCACATTAAAAAACCAATCCAATAACTTGATGCAGCAATGTCTGGTCCAATGCTTAGGGACAGAGTTAGGGTTCCGCAAGGGGGGAAACTTATTTGGAAGGGTGCCCTGATCAGAAGAAATCAGGCACTGCCAGTGGTTTGGCTGCTACGCCTTCAAACGTTTTTACTAACTAGATTGTCCTCCCATCCTACCTCATGGGGAGCCCCTTTGAAAACATTTGCAGAGTGGTAGATGGTTTCCGTCCAGAGACGTATGTGGTCAGAAATCTCCGGCTCTTCATCTGTTTGATACAGCGATTTGGGGACAAGACCACCTTCAGGCACATTACACTGAGGAAAGAATAAAAGCAAGGAAAAAGTAAAACATAGATTAATATATAGTGTGCATCATCTACTGTACTTTCCACATAGCAAGGATCAATGTTCTGCTAGTTCACAAAGACAAGGAAATCAAACTCCCTTAGCCATATATGTAAACACTGTCAATATTATTATTATTATTATTTATAAACTACCGTATTTCCCTGGGGGGGCTGATTTGGAGCTTCATGCTTCCAAATAAGCCATGATTTATAAACAAAAGGGTTGCAATTTTGATTAAGAAAATATTGCTAAGGATTTTATAATTTTCTCCAAACTTACCACACACTCTCCTCCCAGGAAATCTGGAATCACGTCTTTGTCAATGTAGTCTACGAGCCCTCCAGGACCCTGATAGTTGTTGCCACTGTAAATGAGGAATTTCTGCCTGGTATTCTCATTGATAAAAGGACTGACCTGAAAAAAAGAGGATTGATCTTCTTCTTATTCCAAAAGTATTTCCACTAACTCAAAGCCCAGGATGTATTTTAATATGTAAAAGAGCAGAAACAAATCTCTTCCAAAACAGCATCAAATTAGATCTGGCCAAACAGTATTTGTTTTTTTTTTAAAAAAAACCAACTATTTGTCAATTTAACTTTGATGCCAAAAGTCCTCTCAAACAAGTTACATTTCCAAATGATGTTTAGTCTTGAAACTGTATGGATCCTGAACTACGGTGGGATCTGCAGTGATGGAGCAGACAGAAAAAGGCTCTTTTATCTGAAACTAATATAGAGGCATGTTTATTAAGAGAGTCTTAAGAGATCATAGGGAGAGACAGAATGTATGATATCCCTAAACTTTTTAGAGTTTTGTTAGGAAAAGTCTAATTTGTAACTCACGTATAAAGGAGATGAGAGGCCAATGTGGTTTAGTCTAGAATGCTGAACTAGGTTTGGAAAATCTGGGTTCAAGTTCCTTAGGGATATGAAATTCAATGGATGATCTTGGGGTTCTCTCTATCAGCCTGATTAATTTCTTGTAATCTAGCTAAGAGGACAGAAAGGGTAGGAGGAGAGCCATTTTCCCTATCCTGAGCTTGTCATGAAATATGATGTATGGTTTGAATGGAATTGTATGAAAGGAGTATGAATAGGGTCTAATTGGGCTAAAGACACAATTCTAAAATATTGAGGCCTGGAAAACCACTACACTCAGGAACTATAATTAAAAGTTGCTGATGAGAATTGTGACAAAAGATTAACGGTTGACATCGCTGACCTGTTGAACTTTTGGTGAAAGACAACATGTTTACATTACCAGAGACAATGATTCTTTAAGTTGAGGAAATGTTTACAAGATTCCTTACATTAAGAAGGAAGTCAACACAAGGCTCCTTACATTTAACAACACCAATTAAGGAGAGTCAACATCTGTCCAGGAACTGAGATGGAATCAACATGTTTCAGGTTGGAAAAATATCTATCATTCATTTGCAACTTTGGAACAACATCATCAAGAAATATTGCTATATAAGAGACCTTCTAATATTCCAAAAGTGTGACAGACAGCTGTGCTATTCACCCGCTATGCTCTGCTCCTTGGGAAGGAAAGGGGTGGTGTACCTTTGGGAGTGACAAATCTGCAATGAAATGCAATCTGGTCACTTGCCTCTTTTTCTCAAGGGAAGAGAAAGGAGTGAGATTTTGGAATCATGATAAGTTAGCAAGGGGTGTCAGATCTGCTATGGGAAAGCAGGATTCTGATCCTTGGCATTGTTCATAGGGAAAGAGGATGCATTTTGAAGTTTTGGAAGTTATGAAACTCTGTGTTGGCGGATTTGCAGGAAAGCAGTCTGGACTAAGAGGCGTTCTTCTCCAGGAGATGACGGAAGAAGAATGGTGATGTATGAATGACGATGAGTGAATGTTTATATGTGTAAGTGAATGCTGAGTAGATGTGGAATCCCCTTTTTTGTTTGTTAGCCAATGAAACTGTGAGTTGGTTTTGGATTCAGTGTAGTTACATAGAATCTGTATGTCTGTTTGTCCAATGTCATTCAATGTCAAAGTGTAAAAGTTCTGATACCCCCTTTCTTACTGGAAAATTGCAATAACTATGCATTAAAGTTACTGAAAAGCTAATCATAACAAGCTCATGGGAGAAAAGATGGGATATAAATGTTAACTAAAATAAATAAAAATAAAATGAAATGAAAGGCGGGTGAAGAAGTCAACTACAGGATGTGGGTTGAGTGTTTGGCCTGAGACCAGAGTTCGTGTGGGATATCCACTCAGCCATACAAATCCAATTGGGAAAGTTATACTTTCTCATCCTTAGAGGGAAGCAATGGCTTATTTTCTCGGAACAACTCCTTCCAAGAAAATGATATGACCATAAAGCAAAAGGTGAGTTGAAGGCACACAACAATTACATGTCTGCTCAATCAGGTCTTTACAATTGTACCTTTCTTGTCTTGGTGGGTTCTTTACAGACTCATATGCGGCCATAGCAAAACATACGTAGGATACTCTCTGCTCATCTGACTCACCAGAGTCCACAGAACAGGGAACACCCTGGGCGCACGCACAATCAGAAGCCTTCCGAGGGTCTCTGGGTAGTTGTCTTCGACAACCTCAATGATACGGAGCAGTGCTTTCACTCCAGGGCGCCAGAGGTGGCGCATGTTCAGCCCTTCGAGGTCAACGAGGCAAGTCCAGGATCTGGAAATAACACACACAGTTTGGCCACTTCCTAAACTAACCATTGGGGCTCTACAACTTGCTGGCCTGCCCTGAATAAGAAGGGGGAAAATGACTCAAATATTTGAAAGGATGTCCTAAGAAAGAGGGAGCAGGCTTGTTTCCTGCTACCTTGGAAACTAGAACTCAATGGAGCCATGGGTATAAATGACAGGAAAGGAACACGAGGAAGAACTTCCCGACCATAAGAAGAGTTCTTTAACAGTGGAACTCTCTACCTTGGAGTCCGTTGGAAGCTCCTTTTAAACAGAGGCTGGATGGTCATCTGTTGGGGGGCTTTGGTTGTACTTTTCCTGAATGGCAGGGAGATGGATTGGATGGCTCATGGGGATATCTTCCAACTCTAGGATTCCATGATTTGACTATCTATCTATCTATCTATCTATCTATCTATCTATCTATCTATCTATCTATCTATCTATATGTGGGAGTTGGATTGGATGGCCTTTGGGGTCTCTTCCAACTCTAGGATTCCATGATTCATCTATCTATCTATCTATCTATCTATCTATCTATCTATCTATCTATCTATCTATCTATGGGAGTTGGACTAGATGGCCCTTGGTGTCTCTTCCAACTATAGGATTCCATGAATCAACTATCTCTCTCTCCTTCTCTTCCTCTATCTATCTGTCTGTCTGTCTGTCTGTCTGTCTGTCTGTCTGTCTGTCTGTCTATCTATCTATCTATCTATCTATCTATCTATCTATCTATCTATCTATCTATCGGAGTTGGACTGGGTGGCCCTTGGGGTCTCTTTCAACTCTAGGAGTCCATTATTCTAAGGCACCCCTTCTACACTGCCAGATAATTCAGGTTATCAAAGCAGAACATCCACGTTATCTGAATTGGATTATAGTCTACAATGCCATACAATCCAGTTAAAAGCAGGTAATGTGGATTTTATACAGCTGTGTAGAAGGGGCCTAAGAGAACTAGGCTGTTTTCTCCTTTTATAACTGCTGCTTAACAGTATTAAACTCTCCCTACATTTGTAAACACTTTCCAGACATTTTCCAGATGCCCAGCAATAGCCATGAAAACATTCCCACCTATCCTCTCTCAAACATCAATATGTCCATTTAAAAAGATGTTCCCTTATGGCTACAGCTTACGTGACTATAACATAACCGGTTGCATACTAACGTGATGGGGCGGCCAAAGAGATTGGTATTTTCTTCACACCTCTTTTGTCCTTCTTCATTGATTGATAGCACCTAAAACAAGAACAGGTACAAAACGCAGCTATTATGCCTTGTCTGCACTCATTTATAGGCTTTTTAAATAATGGTGTATCAATATTTATGATTGGGAATTGCATCTATATCCAGTGTGGTTCTCCTGATACATGCTCTACACATAAAAAGCTTGCATTCAAAGTCTTAGTGGCTTGTAAACAAAGGAAGGCAAGATGGAACCCTATATGTTTAAACCTCATAGACCACTTTTTTAAAAAGGTATTTCAGTTTACAACTGATTCCCTAAGAAAAATCAAAAGATGATTGGGTTGCTGTGAGTTTTCCGGGCTGTATGGCTATGTTCCAGAAGCATTCTCTCCTAACGTTTCGCCCACATCTATAGGAGGCACCTTAAGAGGTTGTGATGATTGATGGCCGAAGGTCAAGTGTTGCACGTCCATCTTCAAACGCATGTATATTAATGCTATTTTTATAGTCAATTCGTCAATTATTACAATCAGTCCCCACATCTGTGGGTTTAACTTTGTGGATTTGATTACTAGATTCTGTCTATGAATCTCAAGGTCCTCAAGTAGGACTTAGAAACTTCTAGGGAAGCATTCTCTAGTATTTAAAAAAATCAGTAAATTATAATATGCATTTTTTCTCTTTTCACAGTAGTCCTGTGCCCATATCTCCCGTGAAAGTGGAGTGTTTGCTGTATTTACAAAACAAATGAGAAAAATAGTAATAATTGAGCCTTAGCCCAGAAAATAGGTTGTAAATACGTAATATAGAGGAAGATACAGGTGATGTGGAACTAGATGGTAAGACGGAAAAGATTCACACTTGGGCCTCCTTGAGTGGCTTTAAGGTCCATCACTTCTTTAGAGGGGGAAAGCACACAAACAATTTGGAGAGATCATATAAAAGCATATCTTACATGACGAAGGAGAGATTCTTCTCCCAGGGCCTTCACAAGTCCTTTAGTGTCCATTTGACCCAGTCGAAGAATGTAGAGGGGTCTTCCATCTTTGAAAACAAACAAAAAAGGCAAAATCTGAACCCCCCCAAATGCAAGAGTTTCTCTTCCATTATTACCACATAACACCAAATGTCAAAATAGCAGATATTTGGATACCTCATCATGCACAAGAGTGGAGGATTTTACTGTATTCTATCTGCATCATCCACAAATGGGAATCTGACCGATCAAGTCTGTCCCTGCTCCAATTTCTTTTTAGAAAAGAGGACAGCTCAGGTGGCTTCACTGCATTTTTTTCTGAAAATACTTATTTAAAGTGAACAGAAAAGGGCCAGAGCAACCCTACCTCGATCCAAAGGGAGAGGTGGGTAAAACATTATTATTATTATTATTATTATTATTATTATTATTATTATTAGTGTGTTGTGTGGTTATTATTAGTGGCTATATGGCTGTGTTCTAGCAACATTTTCTATTGACGTTTCTCCTGCATCTGTGGCTGGCATCCAATTCTCATGATGCAATCGAATGACTTAAAGGGACACCCCACCTTTGTCGTGGTAATGCCACCCGCCGGTATAATATTCCTCCAGGAGGGACGGAGGCCGCCACGTTTGCAGGATGTAGTCCACTTGGTACTGCTTGCGCCAGGTCAGCGACTGGCAGAGCATCTCTCGGGCCTTGTCGATATTGAAGTCGCGGGCCCGCAGAAATCGGAGGATGTGTTCATCTTTGGGAATCTGAGCAATGAAGACAAGGACAGCACTGCCATTCAGGCTCACCTTATAAGAACCAAAGGCCCATAAACATGTCTTTGGTACCTACTGAAAAAGGAATTACTCTTAAAATAGAGAAAGCTAAGTCTCCGACCTGCCAGAGCCATAAGTGGCTTCTAAGCCATGTTTTTAAGAGTTCCCAGAGCCTCCAGTGCATCTCTTTTGGCCATATATTGTAAGCAGAATGCTCACCATTTTGATTTACAGAGGGGAAAAAAAGTATTTTGGAGCCCAGATGAATGGATGCACCTGATGGATAGGTGCAGAGATGAGGATTGCTTCCGTTACACACACAATTTTACCCAGCATATTAAAATCCTGAAATGTTTCCTATATTCAACAGCAATCTAGGACACAGCTAACTTTAAGCCCAAGATATTGGATTCTCTCCCCCCCCCCCCACACACACACATTTTTTCTACTGAACACTGCATTTTAATGCTCAAATTAGCTACCCTGAATGCAGATTGATGTCTTCCTCTCTTTTCAACAATGGATAAAGTATATGAGATATACACATAATAAGATACACAAAGTCACAAGTGCTGGAGTATCGCAAATATTTTACTTACTGTTTCTTCCTCCAAAGAGAGTTGGTGCTTACCTTGCCTTTGTGCGTTTCTTGCAGCCACTGCCGGAGTCTGATCAGGCAGCTTTCCTGCATGGGAGTCAGCTGCCCAAGGTACCTTTCGATATAATCAGTATCCAGCTTGTCAGCTGAGGAAGAAAGTGAGCAAGATCAGTGAAAAACTTGTCACTTTTGACCGATAATAACACTACACAGTACTTTTAGGCATCTTCACAAAGAGTACTTGTACAGCTGCAAGAAGAAGCAGGTATTATTATTAATGTTGCTGCTGCTGCTGCCTCTCTTCACAACAAGAAATGCCATTTTGGAATATTTATTTATTTATTTACAGTATTTATACTCCACCCTTCTCACCCCAAAGGTGACCCTGGGCAGATCACAGAATACATATATGGCAAATATTCAATGCTGCTTATATAATGATCAGACAGACAACAGATAGAGGTGTATATATAGGTTTTTCCCCCATCTTTCGGCATCTTTGGAGATTGTGCTCGGTTCCAGCCAGAGGGTGCTGTTGCTCCATCTCCTTACTGAAGAGTTTTCTTTGCTTGTAAACTTTCCTCCTTTTCTGATTGAAATGTGCCTAAAATACCTCCCCTGCTTAATGCAGTTCCTATTCATCTACTCATATTGCTGTTTTTGATCCGCTATGTGGGCAGGGAGCTGGGCTGAAGGTCAGGAGCTCACCCTGACCTGGCTTCAAACTGTCAACTTTTTGGTTGGCAAGATTTACTGCAGATGCAGCTGTTGATTAACACTGTGTGCTAAAGCTGGAATATTATTATTATATTAATGGATTGCTTGAGCTTGTTGACCAAAAGGTCGCAGGTTGGATTTTGGGGAGCGGCGTGAGCTTCCGCTGTCAGCTCCAGCTTCTGCCAACCTAGCAGTTTGAAAACATGCAAATGTGAGTAGATCAATAGGCACCGCTCCGGGGAGAAGGTAACAGCGCTCCATGCAGTCATGCCGGTCACATGACCTTGTCTATGGACAACGCCGGCTCTTCGGCTTAGAAATGGAGATGAGCACCACACCCCAGAGTAAGACATGACTGGACTTAATGTCAGGGGACAACCTTTAAATAGGATGATAATTACTAGTAGTAATGATAATAATAATAAGAAGAAGAAGAAGATGTTGAGTGGTTTCCAGGCTCTATGGCCATGTCCTAGCACCTTTTTCTCCTGATGTTTTGCCTGCATCTGTGGCTGACATCTTTAGAGAATCTGATGGTGGTCAAGCAAGTGGAGTATATATGCCTGTAGAATGTCCAGGGTGGGAGGAAAGAACCATTGTCTGTTAAACAAGTGTAAAGGATGCAATTAAGAAGAACTAGATTTTTATGCATTGAGTGGGATACACCCATTAGCGTGTGAGTAGGTCATCTGCAAGGAAGTAGCCTGGCCTTTGTCCCCTTTGAACTGTTTGCTGCCTAGAAATATCCTGTGTCTGGGTGACGTTCATTAATCAGTGTCTTGAATCTTAATTCTGGTAGCCAAATTTTGTTCATTTTCATGGTTTCTTCCTTTTTGTTGAAATTATCCATGTGCCTGTGGACTTCAGTGGCTTCTCTGTGTAGTCTGACATAATAATTGTCAGAGTGGTCCAGAATTACTGTGTTCACAAATAAATATTCTGTGCCTAGCTAGGTTTATCATGTGTTCTGCTATTGCTAATTTGTCTGGTTGAATTAGTCTACAGTGCCTTTCGAGGACGACAACAACAACAACAATAATACAGTTAGGCTAACTGTAACATAGTCAGTCCTCATTCTCTGCAATTAGGGGCACAAGGCTCCATGAAAATGAAAAACCACAATTTTAAAAAAATGTGACTTTTTTTTGCTTGCCAGAACACCTTTTTTTAGGAATCTCTATGTCCTCCAGCATAACTCTGGTCAAATTCTGCTGGAAGCTAACTATAGAATTGTTTTGAAGCACCTAGAGCAGGTATGGGCAAACTTGGACCCTCCAGATGGTTTGGACTTCAACTCCCACAATTCCTAACAGCCTCAGGCTTAAGTGGCTGAGGGGAAAAGGAAGGGGCCTGAGGCTGTTAGGAATTGTGGGAGTTATTTATTTATTTATTTATTTACAGTTCTTATATTCCGCCCTTCTCACCCCGCAGGGGACTCAGGGCGGATTACAGTAAACACATATATGGCAAACATTCAATGCCAGTTTGACAAACAACATTTAACACACAAATACACCAAGGCTATTTAACTTTTTTTTTTCTGGCCGCCAGGGGAGCTGCTGCTTTTCATCGTCCATCAACGACACCGATGAAGTTCTTCCGCATTCCACATTCCCCGGAGTCTTTTTTCTTTATGGCCTCATAAATTAGTTAAATTTAGCCTCCCACACAAGGTGGTCCCTTATTTTCCTACTTGACAGATGCAACTGTCTTTCGGGTTGCAAAGGTCGACAACGGGCTACACAATGGCTGGACACCCACTCCAGCCCGGGCTGGCTTCGAACTCATGACCTTTTGGTCAGAGTGATCTTAATGCAGCTGACACTCAGCCAGCTGCGCCACAATCCCGGTGGTAAAGTTGAAGTCCAAAACACCTGGAAGGCCCAAGTTTGCCCATGCCTGGCCAAAAGGTTCCTCAAAAAATGTTTGAATCGAATGAACACAAAATAAACTCTGCAAATGTAGAGAACCGACTGTACTCCTTTAATGCATGCCATCAGGACAGGACTGTATGGGGAGTGCTATTATTAACGATGCTTGGGAGAATATTTGGACAAAAGGCAAACTGTGGATACACGGACAGCCTCTGGATCTATGGGAAGAAGAGAGAAATAGAGAGGGACCTCTGCAGACAGTGTTTGGAGGAGAGAAAACAGATGTGGACCTGGAGGCCTGTGCAGCCAGCCGCTTGGAAAGAGGCCTCGGTACCAGGAGGCGAGTGTCATGGGACTGCAGCTGCACTGGAAGCAAATGGGGACATAAGCGGACTGACAAGAGGTAGAACGAGGGGAAGGGATTTTCTAGGTCGGCGTTACATGCAGGCAGCAGTATGATGTATTGCTTTTCTCATTTCACAAACATGCTAGTTTACAAAAAGACGCTAAGAGAGCTGAAATGCCTCAGGACACCCAGCTGCCAGACTTCAGGGACCTCACAGTCAAAATAAGGCTATGCCAAATGATATTGGGATCCTGATATCAGGACTGCAGATTGTACAAGGGATGGAAGGAGAGTAAGTGGTTGCGTCTGCTCAAGGTTCAAGCAGATAAGAGCATTCTAGCCAAGATGGACTTGACAGCTGGCTCTATGTCAACGTTTCTCAATCTGGAGGTTGGGACCCCCGGGGAGGGGGGTCCCGAAGGAGTGTCAAAGGAGTCACCAAAGACCATCAGAAAGCATGGTATTTTCTGTTAGTCATGGGGGTTCTGTGTGAGAAGTTTAGCCCAATTTCATCATTGGTGTGGTTCAGAATGCTCTTTGATTGTAGGTGAACTATAAATTCCCAGCAACTACAACTCCCAAATGTTAAGGTCTGTTTTCCCCAAACTCCACCAGTGTTCACATTTGGCCATATTGAGTATTCATGCCAAGTTTGGTCCAGATCTATCATTGAGTCCATAGTGCTCTCTGGATGTAGGTGAACTGCAACTCCCAAACTCAAGGTCAATGCTCACCAAACCCTTCCAGTATTTTTTGCTGGTCATGAGAGTTCTGTCTGCCACGTTTGGTTCAATTCCATCCTTGGTGGAGTTCAGAATGCTCTTTGATTGTAGGTGAACTATAAATCCCAGCAACTACAACTCCCAAATATCAAGGTCTATATTCTCCAAACTCCACATTTGACCATATCGAGTATTCATGCCAAGCTTGGTCCAGATCTATTATTGTTTGAGTCCATAATGCTCTCTGGATGTAGGTGAACTACAACTCCCAAACTCAAGGTCAATGCCCACCAAACCCTTCCAGTATTTTCCATTGGTCATGGGAGTTCTGTCTGCCAAGTTTGGTTCAATTCCGTCCGTAGTGGAGTTCAGAACGCTCTTTGATTGTAGGTGAACTATAAATCCTAGCAACTACAACTCCCAAATGACAAAGTCAACCTACCACCCAACTCCATCAGTATTCGAATTAGGGTGTATCACGTATTTGTGCCAAATTTGGTGCAGTGAATGAAAATACTTCCTGCATATCAGATATTTACATTACGATTCATAACGGTAGTAAAATTACAGTTATGATGTAGCAACGAAAATAATTGTATGGTTGGGGTTCACCACAACATGAGGAATTGTATTAAGGGGTCGCAGCATTAGGAAGGTTGAGAAACACTGTTCTATGTGCACCTACCATCAGGAGTGGATGCCTCCCCAGAAGGACAGCTGGTGCCTCGCTGCTCCTTCTCACTTCCATGCAAGTGGGATTCTGGCAGAAGGGTGCCACTGCTGCGCCTGGATGGAGTCCTCGGGTCGGGTTCCCCCTTTTCTGCAGGAGGAGTCCACCGGGGAATAAAAGTGATCCCTTGGGAAATCAGCTCCTTCAGATAATGTTCGATGACTTCTTTGCCCTGAAATGAAGCACTTTATTACATTTGTAGCCTGCTTCCTTGACTTACAGAGATTGCACATTAACAAAGAATCGTGCATTGTAAACAAACTTGGTCTCGATGACTCAAAAAGGCAAGTAGGCAGAAAGAGCTACTCTATCACTTCTAAGACACCACTGATTACAAGGCATATATTAATTTCAGACCCCTCAACCTCTGAGGATGCTTGCCATAGATGTGGGCAAAACGTCAGGAGAGAATGCTTCTGGAATATGGCCATATAACTCACCCTCCTTAGAATGACACCAGTTTTGGCCCACTGACTCTTCATCCTACTAACTCTTTCAGTGCTTGGCTCACACTTTTGTAATCAAAAATACCCAGTTAAATTTTAATATTTCTGACAATAGAGTTGGAAATGACCACATGGGCCATCTAGTCCAACCCCCTGCCATGCAAGAAAAGCACAATCCTTGGCAGATAACCATCCAGCCTCTGTTTAAAAGCTTCCAAGGAAAGAAAAGCTCCATTTAGGTTTACAAAAAAGCACCTGAAATTCTAAGATGCATCCCCTTTTTAGAGATGTTTATATAGAGTGTCAGGATCGGATTTCCAATGTTCGAAGAAACACCATAAATCCTCCCTTGACAGTTTGAGGCCAGGAGGAGGTGCCAGTGAGAGACTGGGTGAATCACTGGACATACTTCCCATTAGAAAAATTTGATAAGGCGTTTGGGGGACTTTTTGCTGGCTGTAGAGCCCTAAGAATAAATCGTATTTCCAAGATCTTCACTTGTGAGTGGAGTATATTAGTAGAGAGATTCTGCTGTGGTTGACATGGAGAAAAAACAGTGTCTTGGAACTGAAGAAATACATTCAATTACAGTAGACTTTCACTTATCCAACATAAATGGGCCGGGCAGAGTGTTGGAAAAAGCGAAAATGTTGGATAATAAGGAGGGATTAAGAAAAAACCTATTAAACATTATGATTTTACAAATTAGGCACCAAAACATCATGTTTTAAAAACAAATCGACAGAAAAAGCAGTTCCATACACATAATCTTATATACTAATTGCTGGATTTACGAATTTAGCACCAAAACATTGCAATGTATTGAAACAGCTGTGGATCCGGGCAGGAGGCAGACTGCATTGGATAATACAGAATCCTGGATGAGTAAAGGTTGGATAAGCGAGACTCTACTGTAGCCGCATTTTCATGCAACATGTCAATGAAGAGGCTTTCCTTCTTCTTGGCCAGAACAGCAATGTACATTTCTGTATGGACCAGGGAAAGGCTGGTAAATGAAGAATAGCTATCAGGCAGTAGTTTCCCTTCTGCTCATGTATGAAAGGGTCTATCTCCTTCCTTGCTCAGCACTGAAACCATGTGAGCTAGAGAGATTATTTTCCCTCCTCTGTTTGTGATGGACAAGAATGTGTTGGCCACAGAAGGAAGGGTCTTGCTTTATCTGCACTCCAAGACAAAACAAAGTGAACAGGAAGCGTGCACTCAATTTCTCCATCTTCTGACGCTCACCCACTTGATTGCGTTCCATGAACTTGGCCTGATGTAATTCCTCCCTGCCAAATCTTTAAATACAAGGCAGGTCTAAAATGTGTTGTCAAAGGCTTTCATGGATGGAATCACTGGGTATGGCTATGTTCCAGAAGCATTTTCTCCTGATGCTTCACCTCTGAGGATGCCTGCCATAGATGTAGGTGAAACGTCAGAAGAGAATGCTTCTGAAACATAGCCATACAGCTCAGAAAACTCACAACAACCCAGGTCTAAAATAGTTTAAGGTAATCTACTGCAATTTAACAGAGGCGTGGAACAGAGGCTGCTTACCCGCTTGATGTTGGCTGTGTATTGCTTCATGGCAACCTTCTCCACCGTGTTTTCAAAGCCAAAGAATGATTTGATGTCAAGAGATGCAGACTGTTCAAAGCATGTCCAGTTTTCGTTCTCAGGGTGAACCTAAGCCCAGACACAAGGCAAGGCAAAGTAAGAACTAGCACAACAGACCATTGGTTTTTGGTTGTTTGTTGTTGTTGTTGTTGTTGTTGTTGTGTCAGGAGTGACTTGAGAAACTGCAAGTCGCTTCTGGTATGAGAGAACTGCCGTCTGCAAGGATGTTGCCCAGAGGACACCCGGATGTTTGGATGTTTTACCATCCTTGTGGGAGGCTTCTCTCATGTCCCCGCATGGAGAGCTGGAGCTGATAGAGGGAGCTCATCCACCTCTCCCCGGATTCGAACCTGCGACCTGTCGGTCTTCAGTCCTGCCAGCACAGGGGTTAAACCCACTGCACCCCCGGGGGCTCCAACAGACTGTTGGCGACAGAAGAAACTGGGAAGCCGGTTCCCAAATGTGCCTTTTTCCTGTTAGCTGTCCTTCCAAGAAAACTGGATGTTTCTAAGATCTGAGACCTGAGCAAGTGACACCTATTGATCCCGGGATTGCAATGGCAGGATTCTTTCGCTGGAGATATTGATGATTTTCCCACTTTCACAAGGTAGCTGCACCTGTAATCCCAAAGAAGGTGGAGGGGTGACTGTAATCTATAAAATCACCCCATTTCCCCTTGTCTGAGGGCCCTTCCACACAGTCCTATATCTCAGGATATCAAGGCAGAAAATCCCACAATATCTGCTTTGAACTAGTTTATCCGAGTCCACACACAGATAATGTGGGATTTCCTGCCTTGATATTCTGGGATATAGGGCTGTGTGGAAGCGCTCTGAGACATAAAGGTGTGCTCCATTTCATGCCACAATTCCTCAAGCTTCAATGAGGTGGAAGTTAATTCTAGAAGTTGTGACGGCAAATCCCAAGAATTGGATGCAACAAGCAACAGCCGAAGAAGTCACAGCAACCTTGAAATCACCTCTACAGCTTTCCAGCTGTTTTGGCCATGACCTACATTCAAAGACACAGGTCTGCTGCCTTCACATATCATTGCAACCACGAGAAAACTAAAGTGACAGGTGGGCAAAGTGCCACTGGATTGAAGAGCAGCCACACGCAAGACTGGGGCTCTAGGGACACCATGAAATGTAAGAGACCTGTGGATTTTAGTCTCAAAGGTCAGCAAGGCTGCATTTTCCAAGTGTCTCGGCTTTCAAGAAGCAGTTCTCTTGAATAGGCTCCAACAAAGCAGGTAAGTAACACAACCCGGGCTTTTGTTTACCCCACACAAAAGGGCATCACATGTCTTCCAGAGATTGACAAAGCTGGTCTTGAATGTCACAGACAGAACAAAGCAATAAAACTCTGTTGAATTAGAAATGGTCTTATGTGGCAGGTGATGAGAATATATGATAATTGCTCCCTAAGTACATTGTGATGGGGTTGAAGCAAAGATAACAAGCAGAAGAAATCTGGGGCAAGTAATTTAGGAACAGGATTCACACACATTGTTCCTGCTTTTTCTGGCTGTTTCAATGAGTACAATGAATGTATACATATTCTTAGATTTTGTAAAAAAATGTGCATGTGCATATCTGTATGAACATGTGACAGTCTGGGGGGGGACCCCAAAATGTTCATAAATAAAGCTTTCCCACTATTTTTCAAAGCCTTCTTCCGCCTGAAAAACTGGAAATTTTGATTGTGAAATATTTTGTTTTGGAACAATGAAGAGAATGTGTTTAACACAAAATGTTCATATATGTCGTACACCAGAGCAAGAACACCTCTGACCTTAAACACAGCAAGCAGTTTATTAAAGAATATAAGGAAGCGAAGCAGTGAAATTAGCAAAAATAGTAAAGTTTCAAAGCAAAGGTAAGTCCATGAGCTTCAGGGCAAAATTAGATCCATAGGTATAAAAATCCATGAAACAGGCACAAGAATCCATGAAACAAGGCAGCATGAAAACTCCAATACACAAATAAGGAGCTTGGCAAAAACTTGGTACATGAAACTAAGAACACTTGAAAAGCAAGACCGTGATAAAATTCCAACATTGACCCAACTGAGGCAACTCTTTTCCATGAATCAATATAAAGGTTTTCCGGATCCCAAAAGCAAAAGGAATGCATTTCTCTTGACCTTACCACCAGATAAAGGTTTCTTATCTCTCTTTTCCTGTAAACAAACTGATCTTCTTTGTGCTTGAGCACTCTGTCTCTGTTTACAAAAGCCTTGCTTTCTATCTACACTCTCATTAACTTGACTCTCATTAACTTCTGCACCTGACGAATCATCTTCAGACAGTTGCTCTGAGAAAGACTGTGAAAGGCTTCACCCAGGAATATGACCTTGTGAATCTTCATGTGGCAGCTTCATGAGACAAGCCTCTTGTCTGAGCTTAACTCAGGCCCAGGCAAACCCGCATCCCCATTGTCAACAGACTCAAGCCCACCATCAGGAACATCATCCCCATCATGAACATCAGACACAATCACAGACCGACATACAACAACTTATTTATTTTCAAACCATTATAGAACTATATTTAGAAAAAAACTAGTTAGTTTTCCCAGAATTTGTAAAATAGCCCTCACTTATAAAGACTGTCACAGCTAATAATCCTACCAAATAAGGCACAAATCTAGATAACAAAAACCTGTATTCTAACATCTGCCTAAAAACTATTAACAACAAAAGTTGACGACTACAAAGCCCAGCATACTGCAAACCAATAGATTGCCAACAACATAAGAGAAGGAGATTTGGTAGAGAGAACACTTACTGAGTAGCTACAGGTCTCCAGCACCATGACCCGACTGGCAAATGTCTCATTATGAGCCTCAATAAGGAGAGTCCTCTCTTTCCAGTTCACTGTGTTTTTCTGTATGAAGAAGACATACTCTACACCAGCAATCTGAAAAAGAAGAAATAAGAACAGCATGCTGTCGTAGCCTGGTCAGAGTCTAAGTGCTCAGAAGATGAGGAAGAGGATACTGTGATAGATTCGGAGGGCCCAGAGGAGGATGAAAGTGGCCTGGAGAGAGTTGTTGTGGAATCTTCTGGCAGTTCCCATGAGACTGGAGAAAGTCATATCCGTTCTCATGAGAATCTGCCAGAAGTGCAGGCGGAAAGAAGTGGGGGAGACTAATGTTTGTCCAGATCCAGGCGCTTGGAACTTTGGAGTCAGAGCATACAACAGAGACAGACTTGCTTTTCCCAGCGGCTTAGAGATAAGGAGAGGAAAAGTAAGTGTGTGAGGAATGATGTCATGGGAGGGATTGAGACCTTTTAAGTGGTTTTCTGCTGGTGTAATTCTTTGTGAGAGCAGCATTGTATTCAGGGGAACAGCTCTCAGTTCCTGGTCCTACATTTGTGTATCCAAGTATTCTAGTTTCTAAGTTTGTTCCTGGTTCTAGTTTCATGTGTGGCATAGGTTGCCTGCATTTATGCTATCATGTTTATGGCTATATCTGGGGATTGACTCTTGAGACTAATTTGAAAGGATTTTAGAATCTTGGCTATCTTGGAAATAACTTTTTGAGCTTTGATTCTCCTTTTTAGATTTGCTTGTTTTTATATATACTCTTCTCTTAATAAACTTTTACTTACTGGATTACCTGGACAGAACGTGGTTTGTGGTAAAAAGGTGTTTTGGGGCTCTAGTGCAACACATGCAAGGAAACGCGTGATCAAGGGACATTGTAAGGTCCAAAATTTTACAAAGCAACAACAAATGCCTATATGAGGTCTTAACTCTTACCTTCTTCAGCAATCGAGGCACATCCACATTTAATTTGCAACTTCGCTCAATGATATGAAGGGCTCCATCATCACTCTTGGATTCCCGAAGAATCTCACTACCCAGGAAAACCGGGATCTCGGGGCAAGTGGGGAAGCGTTTTTCATAAGCCTGAGGAACAGACACATGGTCAGTACTAGAAGGGTCATCCTTTTCTGCTGCTGCAGTAGATGAAATAACAGTTTCCATGTCCGAGAAGCACTGGATCCCGTTCACTGCAGGGTAAAACAATACACTATCTCTAGGAATGATTGTGGAGTAAAAAAAAAAAAAGGCCTCTCCACTGCAGAGCCTTTGCTGCATTGTTTATCACCATGGTGGCGCAAAGGATTAAACCACTAAGGTGCTGAACTTGCTGACTGGAAGGTAGGCAGTTCAAATCTTTGGGATGAAGTGAGTTCCTGCTGTTAGCCCCAGCTTCTGCCAAACTAGCAGTTTGAAAACATGCAAATGTGAGTAGATCAATAAGTACTGCCTCGGTGGGAAGGTTAACGGCGCTCCATGCAGTCATGCTGGCATCTACGGGCAACGCTGGCTCTTCGCCTTAGAAATGGAGATGAGCTCCACTCCCTAAAGCCGGAGATGAGCACCACCCCTCAGAGCTGGAAGGGGAAGGCTTTACCTTTACCTGTGTTTCGTTGTTTCTAGGCATTGAAAGTTTGCCTTTGTGGGTGGTTGTAGGTTTTTCAGGCTGTATGACCATGTTCCAGAAGCATTCTCTCCTGACATTTCACCTGCATCTATGGCAGGCATCCTCAGAGGTTGTGAGGTCTTTGTGTTTGTGTATGCTGGAATCTGCCCTGGGTCCTCTTGGGGAGATAGGGCAAAATATAAATGAATTATTATGATTATGATTATTATATAAAACTTTCTGTATGAAAGGAACTATCTCAGTGTTGGACATTGAGCAAAGTTTTAGGGAGCCTGGAACTAGACCCAGATCTGGAACAGCAAACTTGTTTGTCATACTAATATTTCCATGCTAGTACTACTTCATTGCCTCTTCCTTCACCTTTCTACTGTATTCCAATTGAATGCATTCATAAACCAAGCACTTCTTCTGCCATGGAATTTCTAAGACCAAGGAAATGGAACCCTCCAAATATTTTATGAGAGTCATCTCTCCATATCTGTGGTTTTGACTTTTGCAGATTTGCTTGTTTACAGATTTGATTGAAACCATTCTCTCCAGTATCACTCAAGCCATGCTGGAAGACCTAGAAATATCTAAAGAGAACACCTTTCTAGGAATTTCTAATGCAATTCTAAGGTTTGCTCCCAGAAGGAGTTGACTGGAGAATCTCTAGAACAGCCGCGACCCCTTAATACAGTTCCTCATGTTGTGGTGACCCCCAACCATAAAATTATTTTCGTTGTTATTTCATAACTGTTATTTTGCTACTGTTCTGAATCATAATGTAAATATCTGAAATGCAGGATGTATTTTCATTCACTGCACCAAATTTGGCACAAATACCTGATATGCCCAAATTTGAATACTGGTGGGGTTGGGGGGGGGGGGGAATTGATTTTGTCATTTGGGAGTTGTAGTTCCTGGGATTTATAGTTAACATACAATCAAAGAGCATTCTGAACTCCATCAAGGATGGAATTGAACCACACTTGGCACACAGAACTTCCATGACTAACAGAAAATACTGGAAAAGTTGGTGGGCGTTGTCCTTGAGTTTTGGAGTTGTAGTTCGCCTACATCCAGAAAGCACTGTGAACTCAAACAATGAGAGATCTGGACCAAACTTGGCATGAATACTCAATATGCCATAATACGAAAACTGGTGGAGTTTGGGAAACACAGTCCTTGACATTTGGGAGTTGTAGTTTCTGTGATTTATAGTTCACCTACAATCAAAGAGCATTCTGAACCCCACCAATGATAGAATTGGGCCAAATTTCCCACACATCACCCACATGACCAACAGAAAATATCATGTTTTCTTTGGCGACCCCTCTGACACCCCCTCGTGACCCCTCCAGGGGTCCCGACTCCCAGGTTGAGAAACACTGTGCTAGAAATTCCCAGAGAAATGTCCTCTTAAAGAAACAGCAATTCCTTTACTCATGGTTTTTTACTTTCATGTTTTGTTTTGTTTTTCGTGTCAGGAGCGATTTGAGAAACTGCAAGTCACTTCTGGTGTTCGAGAATTAGCCATCTGCAAGGACGTTGCCCAGAGGACGCCTGGATGTGTTACCATCCTGTGGAGACTTATCTCATGTCCCTGCATGGGAAGCTGGAGCTGACAGGGCTCATCCCACTCCCCAGACTCGAACTGCTGACCTTTCAGTCAGCAGTCCTGCCGGCACAAGAGTTTAACCCATTGCACCATCAGTGTCTCCTACTTTCATGGGGGTCCTGGGCCCCTAACCTCAGTGAATGTGGCGGGATGCTTGTACTATCTCCTTCATGTCTACTATAGTTTCTTACCACTTTGGGGACAATCTGACAGAGTGAAGCAGGAATAAAACATGAGGAAGTTTCAAGGACAGAAAACTGGGCAAAGTTTGTTGGCAGGGAAAGCACAAGTTCAGGCAAAGGGAACAATTAGTTTGCAAAAACAATACCTGCATCATTTGGTGATTGACAGCTTCAGGGTGCCAGAAAGTACTGCAAGAATATATTATCAAAATGGAAGCTGGGTCAGCACTTTCTAGCCACAACTTTGCATCTCCCCAAAGGTTGGGAAATTTCATTCCAAGGAATCAAAGTGTCCAGTTTTCCATGCTTGAAAGAGGACCCGATATCAAAGGCTTCTCTCTTACATGACACCACGTTAGCCGGCCGGTTGGAGACAGGCGCTCGCAGGATCATTATAGCCGCCTTCTTCAACAGGCAGTGGCCTAGCTTGAACCCAGCTTTTTTTCTATTTGCAAGACCATATTATTGCAGCACATGGTGATCAGGCTGCAAGCATTAACACGAAGGAAAAGTTTATGGCTGAATGCAGATCCTAGGCACAGTGTGCATATGGATATCTTTACTCGACACAGTCATGTCAGAGCGCTCTTCCAAAGTCCTTAATTAAGGAAACAATTCCCAACTGAAAGGTTACAAGTGCAGCCATGTGAATTTTAAAAAATGCCCATTTGTCAATAAGAGGAAATGTTTAACTGTATATGTCATGAAGCTGTATATGCTCCATAGATCCCCACGCAGTGCAGTGCAACCCCCTTACCCATGGATTTGGCCCAAATCTATCTAACTATCTACCTATCTATCTCTATCTCTATTTCTCTATCCATCCCATTCAGAAGTACTTGTGAGTCTGAAGTGCTTGGAGGCAAGTGAGAATGTTGCAATTGGCCATCATGATTAGCATTTAATGGCCTTGCAGCTTCAACCAGCCAGGCTTTGAAGCTGCAAGGTCATTAAGTGCTAATTGAGCTGGACAATTGCAGCATTCAAACTTGCCTCAAGTAGACAAGAGTTCTTTCTCCCACCCTGGACATTCCACAGATATATAAACCCCATTAGCCTAGTTTCCAACAGACCACCCAATCTCTGAGGATGCCTGCCAAAGATGTGGGCAAAATGTCAGGAGAGAATGTTTCTGGAACATGGACATACAGCCCAGAAAAGTTACAGAAACCCATCGTGATAAGCACTGAATGGCGTATCAATGCTTATCAATGGCACTGTAGACTCGCCCAACCAGAGAAGTCAGCCATAGCAGAGCACCTGATGAACCAACCTGGACACAGGATATTATTTGAGAACACAGACATGCTGGACCACTCTCACAACCACCATGTCAGGCTACACAGAGAAGACACTGAAATCCACAAGCATGTGGACAATTTGAACAAAAAGGATGAAACCATGAAAATGAACAAAATCTGGCTCCCAGAATTTTAAAAACTCTAAAATAAGGACAGTAAATAAACAGCAACACTTAAAAATACAGTGGATTTCCAAAGAGGAAACAATCAGGGCCAGCTAACACCTCCCAACAAAGAATCCTCAGGCAGAAAGCAGCCAGGCTTTGAACCTGCAAGGCCATTAAATGCTAATCAAGGTGTTCAATTGCAACATTCACACTTGTCTCAAGCAGACAAGAGTTCTTTCTCCCAGGCTTTGAATCTGCAAGGCCATTAAATGCTAATCAAGGTGTCCAATTGCAACATTCACACTTGCCTCAAGCAGACAACAGTTCTTTCTCTCAGGCTTTGAAGCTGCAAGGCCATTAAATGCTAATCAAGGTGACCAATTGCAACATACACACTTGCCTCAAGCAGACAAGAGCTCTTTCTCCCAGGCTTTGAAGCTGCTAGGCCATTAAATACTAATCATGGTGGCCAACTGCAACATTCAAGAGTTATTTCTCCCACCCTGATATTCCACAGATATATAAAACCCCACTTGCCTAGTTTCCAACAGATCTCACAACAGGTTCTTGTGGGTTTTTTCGGGCTATAGGGCCATGTTCTGGAGGCATTTCTCCTGACGTTTCGCCTGCATCTATGGCAAGCATCCTCAGAGGTAGTGAGGTCTGTTGGAATTAGGACAATGGGTTTATATATCTGTGGAATGGCTGGGGTGGGGCAAAGGAGCTCTTCTCTGCGGAGAAAGGTGTGAATGTTTCAACTGACCACCTTCATTAGCATTTGAGGATGCTTGCCATAGATGCAGGCGAAACGTCAGGAGAAATGCCTCTAGAACATGGCCCTATAGCCCGAAAAAACCCACAAGAACCTAGTGATTCCAGCCATGAAAGCCTTCGACAAGATCTCACAACCTCTGAGAATACCTGCCACAGATGTAGGCGAAACATCGGGAGATAATGTTTCTGGAACATGAGCATACAGCCCGGAAAACTCACAGCAACCTGTGATTCCAGCCATGAAAGCCTTTGATAACACAAAGCCTTTGACAACACACTCCTCAGAAGTGTTTGTGCGCTTTTCTAGGAGTGCATCTACACTGTAAAATTAGTACAGTTTGATCCCACTTTAATTTCCATGGCTCAGTGCTATGGAATCATGGTAGTTGTAGTTTTACAGAGTCTTTAGCTTCCTCTACCAATGAGTGCTGGTGCCTTACCAAACTCCAACTCCCATTATTCCATAGCATTGAGCCCTGGCAGCTAAAGTAATGT